CACTTCCTACGGTGCCGATGACGAGCTCTGCTTGCAGCTGCGTGTTCTGCTTGGCCCTGACGCGTCGCGTGTCGCGACACGCGACACGCTTTCCAGCAAGATAGGGGCTTTTGGAGTACCAACTTCAACAGACTTCAAGATGAGGTCGCCTGCTCTCATTTTCATCAGGCACGAGGGTGATACTAAGGGTTTTCATGTAGAAGAACAAATCGTTGGGACCTAACAGTTATCATTCTTTGTAATACATTCTGGGGGCTTCTGCACCAGCTCATTTGACTAGGTTCTCCTTGATATCTAGACTCCGCGGTCCCAACAAAATGTTTGAAATATCCACATTAGTCACTCCACATCTCTAGAATAGAGTCACTGCTCATGCGTCCGGTGATCTAGTCACTGTGTCGTCGATTTCAGTGCATTCTCCCAAATCCGGGTCCGTGGGAATGCACGGCTTGCTGGTGGGCGTTGCCCACCACCAAATGCTGTGCCCAAGGTACAGTTTCCCACGACCACAGACTTTCCCACATTCTGGGCACACCGCCTGAGTACTGTGATCCCACGTCAGAATACACGGCCAAATTTCTAAAATGCCTGGAATATTTTTGAGACATGCAATCGTGCTAAATTTAGGTTTGGAAACCCGTCCGGACATAAGCTCTCATCTAAAAAATCCCTGAAGTGTCAAAGTTGCGGGATCCCTCTTGATTCAAGGATCGGTGAATTTGGACGTTATTCGTCAGAATGCACGGCTTGTAATGCTTCCGGTGGCGGTGGTTCACGCCAAATTGGGAAGGAAGGCGGCTTAGGCGAGCCCCAAAAAGGGAATACGGGTTCATTAATCGCGTGTCGCTAACGGCGTTACGGTGGCTATTGGGCGTGATAACATCCCTAGAGCGAGTTCTTCAGCTATTTGAAGTTATAGAGAGTTCCTGCCCTTATGATATGCCCAATTGTATCTTAAAGTCAGCTCAAGAGGCGTACTTAGCACCCTTGGCCTATTCAAGCTGTATAGCGCAACTGTATGAGCGCGTAAAGTTTGATAAAGCTCTAAATTTTTTCAAAGTAGCCCATTTTTCACCTTCTAGTACTCGTAGCTCGTCATCCAGATGTTACCCGGCCCTACAAACGTTATGGCACATTGAATATGATCCAAACATAATTGTCATGAATTTACTTTGAGAGTTTTGCACGGGAAACGGGCTAGAAAGCGAAGTGTGCATCCTGACGTGGGTGTGTATTCTGACGTGGGATCACAGTAAGCAGCTGGCGGGACACCGAGGCAAGCCCGAGGCCAATCGACAAGTGTGGGACCAGGAAACTATGTCAAACCGCGACTTGATCTCACATCATTCAAACCAACTGTCTAAGTGACTCAGCACGACGTCCTCAGCAAACGTCCTCTACGCGTTTTAACTGCTGGCCATCAGTACTTGACCCAGCTAACGCTTCGGCCCAGCCCTCGGTCGACTATAGTCTGTCCCAGCGACGAGCTATGGTACCGTCTATCTCTGTGTGACGATGCGTTGTCGCTACCGACTCAGCCAACCCTCTGCTGGGTATAAAACGCGATGGTAGGCATCTCACCCTGGCTCATTCTGCAGTTACACCCCAGCCAGCGACGTCATCTCCACCATCGAATTCGCCAACATGAGCTCCGACAAACAGATCACCCTCTACTATTCCAAGATGAGCGTCAACGTCCACAGGGTCAGTCCCTAGTTTTTCTGCTACAGCTCAAAATCTCGGGTAGCTGATGATGTACAGGTGTGTATGGCCCTTGAAGAGGCGAAACTGAGCTACAAGACATACCCCATTCAAATCGCCGCACCCAAGCCAGCCTGGTACCTCGAGAAGATCAACCCAAAGGGCCTCGTAAGTCGCCCTGCTCACACCACCAAAAAAAACACTAAGCAGCAACTCGGACAGATACCCGCGATCACCTACGGCGGCCCCGACGTCCCCGGCGACCATCCCTCACCCTCCGCCACCGTCATCACCGAATCGCCCATCATCATGGAATTCATCGCGGACCTCCGCCCGCACGCCGGCCTGCTCCCCGCGGACCCCGTCGCGCGCGCCAAGGTCCGCATGTTCATCGACACCGTCAACACGCAGCTCGTGCCCGCGTTTCTGCGCTTCCTCAAGGAGGGCGCGTCGTACGAGCCCGTGCTCGACGGCGTGCGCGCCGTGCAGAGGCTGCTCCCCGAATACTATGAGAACGGGAACGGGACGTGGGCGGTCGGCGACACGTTCACGATCGCCGACATCGCGGCTGCGCCGTTCGTCGCGCGCGTCAGGCTCCCGGGGAAATACAGTGTTGGCAAGTACGCCGCGGGCGAGGAAAGACTCCTCCAGGACGCGCTGGATTCTCCAGAGTTCGCGAGGTTCAAAGCGTACGGTGTGCGCCTGTTCGAGCGCCCGAGCTTCAAGGCGACCTATGACGAGGTGAGCGGAGTCTCGTACTGTGAAGGATAAGTAGACGGCCGCTGACGAAGCTTGCAGGACCACATCGTCAGCGAATGGAGGAGGCTCCTCGCCTGATAGTGGCGAAGTTTCGGTCCTTGTTTATTATCTTCGTCTGTTGTACTATTTGTGTTACAGCCTTGTAAGAATGCCATCAATACTTGACTTAGCACTAGCACAAGCTCCGTGCACGCCCAAGATGCCCAAGATGCATTAATGCCTTCGTACCCAAACCTTCTCAAGCCACCAGCAGGCGAAGAACAGCCAAACAAAAGCAAAAACAACTAACAATTTAATCTACTTTATATACCAATACGAGAATACATCGAAACAGACTTAAGAGGGTGACGTCGATTCCTATTGCACCGTGACTCCAGACCTTTATGTAGAAAGGGAGATATTACCACGCGAACGACTGGTAGGAAGGGGAGTCGATGTTGGATTTAACACGAGAGTAAGTTTGTAAGAGGCCGGCCCGGAGCACCGGGCTCTGGGCCGGTAACGGAGGACCGAGAGATGGCGGATTAGACATGCACTGTGACGGACGGACGTGCGTCCACTAAGTGCCTGTATGCGAAGGAGGGGGGAGATTGCGGGGTATATCATGTTCTTGTGGTAGATGGTAGATGAAGCAGACGCCGAGCAGCGGCCGAGGAACGCGAGACCGGGAACAGACGCAATGGAAGAGGGCGCATATACGCACACTCGCGCTTACGCGCCGTCGACAGCGAGCAGCCTGAAATCCGTGCCCTTGCCTGGGTCCTTGGTCTCCTTCAGAAGCTCGCACGAGAGCGTATGCTCGCCCGGCGCGAGGTCCTCCGTGATCGTCGCGGTCCTATCATCCACCCACGCACCTATCAGCCCTGCCCAAAAGAAAACGGAAAGAAACGCACTGCGACACGTGAATATTCTTCACCTCCCAATACCCATCCAGCCGCGTCCCCTTATCCCGCTGCCCATCCGGCCAACACCACACGCTGCCGAGCCCATAGTCCATGCTCCGGAGATACGTCACGCGCAGCCGCCCCACGGCCGCCGTGCGTAGCCTGAACACGGCCTTGGCGCCGGGCGCGGTCGCGCGGAGGAAGAGCTTGCCGGGGTTCTGCGGGTGCGACCATTTCTCCCAGCCGTGCGAGAGCTTCGGGTCCGGGACGAGCGGGTGGCGCGTCGTGGACATGGTCATGCACGATGGGTTCGGCGCGAGGAGGGAGGTGTGCGGTTCGTATTTGTCGAACATGGATATCTATGTGGAAAACCCCCGTCGGCCACCCCGAACCCCACAGAGAGAGAGAGAGAAGGAAAGCCGACGCACCCGCGGAACGTACTCGCCCGTCTCCGAGTCGGGGATAAAGCTCCCCTTCTCCGGCGCGAACCCGACCAGGCCCTCGGCGACCCAGTCCCGCTCGCCCGCATCCATCTCTCCCAGCCACCCGCTCTTCTTCCCGTCCTCGCCGAGCGCCTTGCGCGCTCTCTCCTCCCTCACCCCCTCGCACGCGACGCGCGCGGTGAACGAGCCGAGCAAGTCCGCCATGAGCTCGTGCCCGCGCCAGTTCATGTGCCGCGTGTCGACGACGCCGTCGCCCTGGACGTGGAACCAGTGCTTCACGACGTCGTCGCTCGCGCGCCCGTCCTGGGTCATGGAGAGGACGTAGGGGAGGAGCATGTTGCGCACGGAGACGATCGGCGTGTCGTAGTACTGCGCGACGGCGCTGTGCAGGTCGCCGCCCATGGTGATTGTCGCGAAGGAGAGGGCCATGATCTGGTGTTCCAATGGTTGGTTAGATAGAAGGGGCACCTGTGCATGCGCGACGCACCTGGAGATTGATGATCGCGGGCTTGCTCTTGAGCTCAAAGATGCCCCGGATGAGATTATCGTACCCCTTCGCGAGGCGCTCGAGGCGCTGATCATTGATCGCGAGCTCGATCACGACAATGTCGACGTCCTCGGGAATATGCTCGAGGAAGCACGTCTCCATGTACTCGCTGACGGTGGCGCCGACGCCGCCGTTGACGACCTCGACGTCGATGCCGAGGACGTCAGTGAGGAACTTGCCGTAGCGCGTCGTCCAGTTCTGGTCGCGGTTGACCGAGTGCCCCTTGGTGACGCTCCCGCCGAGCATACCGATCTTGAGCTTCTTGCCTGAGCGGCCTTTAGCGAGGACGCGCTTGAGGCGGGCGTTGGGGCCTTCGTAGGCGCGTGAGCGGGCGAGGTTGAAGGGGCTGAGTGTGGGGTCAGCAGGGGAGTAAAAGGGGGGCAAGCCAAATGAAAGGAGACATTGCAAGGGGACGGTAATCAAAGATAGGATTTTGTGATGGGCCGAAGAGAAAGAGAGAAGCCGACGTACCCATACTTCTGACAGATCTTATCGTCCGGCCCACAGTAGTCACAGTAGCCAGGAAGCGCGTCCTGTTTAGGCTTGGATTTGGGCGTCTCGATAACTTTGACCTCCTCTTGTGATGGTGGCGAGTATGGCTTGGTAAAGTCTTCCGTGCTCTTTGAGCTATTGCTCTCAAGGTTCTCGTAACCAAGAACATTATTGACGGCGTCGGGTATTCGCCAGTCGTTGGGGTCGGTGTAGTCGACGATGACGTTGTAGGCCTGTTCGCGGCGGATGAAGGCGAGGAAGAGGAGTGCGGCGAGGACTGTGCCAAGGAGGATGAAACGTGGTGAGCGCATTGCATAGACGGTCATGGTCGTGGAAGTGGATTGTGAGTAGATCAGAGCATCAAACAGCGGCAACACAGCGCAAGACAAGCAAGTATGTAAGTGAACGAGTGTGTGATACGAGAGGAGGAAATGTATGCCGAGGGGGAAGAGGAGAAAGGAGCGTGTGCAGAAGAAAATGTCCGTTTGCTTGGCGGCCAGGGCAGCGCAATGAAATGACCCCGACACCCGTCATGTCGTTCCCAGGCACAGGGCCCGACGCCGTTCACTACTGCCCGCCGTCCTTGGCGGTCCCGATGTTTGAGGCTTTCTGTCACCTTTATATTCTCATCTTCGCAACGCTAGCCTGCGACGCCTTTCGAGCTCAGTTCCTCGCTAATATTGGGTTTTGGAAACAGATGAAAACAGACGGGCCTTATGCACATGTGCGAACACTGTCTATCACTGTGGAGCACAGGCACCACGTTGGTTGTGACAACTTCCGATCCGATCACGGCACGCTGTGCTGCGGAACTGTCGACTCGCAATCTTGACCTCTCCTCTTCAGCTTATATATAATTATCCACCCCTTGGACCTCGCTCCTTGCCACGTAATCTCGCGTTCGCAGTCGGATACAAGTCAGAAGACCCCCGTCCAAGTTATCATATTGGATGGATAGCTATTGAATTCTGCCCTTGCCTGCCCTTGCTTGTCTTCTTTCTCGCACGCGAACTTGAATTCACTGTAACAAAGTCCCTCGAGTGCTAAACAACGAAATGAAGCAATATACGTGCCAAATCAACCACCTCCTCGACAACAGACAAACCCTATGTGATTCATCTTCTCGGCCGACATTCATCGCTGCATCTTCGGTCGGACTCTTCTGCGCATCCTCTCGTTCCACAGCCTGCTTGTACTGGATGTCATTGACGAACCATCTGGTGTAAACGCCCAGCGTGGCAAAAACTCGTCCAGCTTTGTCTTCCCCTCCTTCTACGCTCGTGTCAAGGCAATCGTGCCACCCAGTATTTGAGACTGTCTGAAGCCAGCGCTACTGGGCGCTCCGATTCCTACGTGGATAGGCCTTCTGATCTCTCAACACACTGCGCAGAGAAAACTGGAGCGTCTGGCACGATAGTGACTCCTATGTCTGCTGGCTCTTCTTCGTCTAGCTTCACCCTCGCCGAGGCTAAGGCCGCGCGCGCGTTCGAGGAGAAAGCGGCGCTCTGTGACGCTGCGGGCAAGAAAGAGCACTTCTCACATAAAACTGGTGGTGATGCGGAAGAGGAGGCGCCTAGCGAGTTCCGCGAAGATGTCTCACCTATGTGCCATGACCTTACTCAATCATATTTGGCCTCCCTCTTTTCATAACGAGTTGGCTAGTCGCTCACCTTCGTTGTTTGTAGAGCAGAAGGGGCTCTCCGCCACTGCGATGTAACTGTGCAAGTAACTGTGACACTGACTCGTGAACAACAGACCTCATCGGATGGTGTCCAGCCTAGAGCATAGTGAGGGCGTGGGTCACAATCATGTCTTTGAACCCCGGCATTTCCATAACAATTGCGTTCTTTTCAGAGGCGAGAGGGGGTGTCAGACAGTGTTGGTACACGGAGCTACGGCGTCATGAAGCGCGAACACAGTGCTAGTGAACCATGCCTGGGAGTTTATCGGCGTCTAATGGACGCGCTTGTGAGTACTGTCTTGTCCAACGTCTCACCTCGGGCCGTGCTTAGGCTCAGCCGTGATCTCCGTCGTACGTTCCATTGTCCTGAGTTTGTCAGTGAATTCAGCAGTCATCTAACGCTGGATACTTCACATCTCTTTGTGCAGGTTCCGTATTGAATGATGGGCGCCTCTCCGGGTAAACTATCTCAGCACTAGTGCGTCCTCGCTCTGATATTTGATGGATGTTCTTCGATACCATGCTTGTATGCGGTCGCTGCTCGTGGTGGGGAGAAGCGATGCTCGCCCGTTCAGGAGGCACCAGTCCTTTACATGTCCATCTTCATCTGATTCAACCCGTGTAAGGGACATGCGACTGGCCAGCCATGAACATGGATTGTACTGGACGACTTTATCCCAGGTACTTAGTCTGTGCCAGAGCTTACCCTGTCGACGACATCAAGATCTCATCTTTCATAACTGCTCCGTTTCGTTCGCAGGAGTGTACTCGGCTTGGAGAACTCCGTCTTTGTCCGGCCCTCGTATGCTTCATTAGCTTGCAAAGCGTCACCGCTCTCTTCTTTAGCCTCGCTTCCTTGACCTTCTCCCAAATGATGGCAACTCAGATGTACGCGAGATATTGAACTCTTTGATGGGCATACAGGTGTTAGAACGGCTGACGTTATGGCTTGTGACCTTTACGTTGGGTTGTACCTTAAGCGTTGTAGTAGTACGTAACTCACTAGGAAACATAAGAGTGATAAGAGAGTGCAGTGTTAATGGGCACCCTACGACGGACCTTAAAGGGTTCTTTAGAGTCCGCCAAAGTCGGCGCACCCGGCACTGCAGACAAATTTCGATCCCCCCGCAACCAAAAGTGAAAGAAAAAGGCGGAGCGATGAAAGCCTTTTCCAGTTAACTTTTCTCTACACAGCGTAAAGGCATGGAATGCGACAGCGGAAAATCATGGGAAAATGTCAGAATATACCATAAATAAGCACAAAATTCGACTACAATGTTCCACTAGGCAAATTCTTTGAGAATGCGACACTTTGCAACCAATATCGAAGCAATATGTCGGCCGAAGTTCTCCCTTAGCAAATATGATTGCAATAAGAGCTTCTTTTTCCCTTGCTCGGATCCCTATTGTAATACGCTTCTAGCTACGCTCGCGCTGCTCCCACCGGCTTCCACTGGACTTAGACAGAAGCAAATTCGATGTAATTCACGTAGTTAGAAGTGAATAAGGACAGCAATGAGTATCATAAAGCGAGAGCGAATGCACGGGCTCGTCGACGACGCCTCCGAGCCCCACCCTCGCAATGGACCAGCCTGTCTCTGCAGCTGACTCTCTGCTGCCCGACGAAAACGCGCATGTCGACCCCAGCGAGCCCAAACCGCCCCCGATCGGCGGGTACTTGGCCGCGTTGAATACACCGGGGCTGCCGTTCCGCATGGCCGAGTTCGATAAGCCGACTACGAGCTCGCAACGTTCGAGCAGCGTGTGGCCTCCGGCAAGCGCTGGTAGCAAAGGCAGCGGCATAGGAGTATCGTCGTCAGCGATTGTTGCGAGGGTATCAAAAATGGAGAACGACCTAACGTACCTCAAAAAACGGCTTGATGCTGTGATTAACCAGGGAATACCTGCCTTGCAGGACGGGCTGTCTGAGCTCAAGGGTGATCTTGACGCGCAGGTGGAAGGGGTGTTGGAGGCAGTCCGGGAGAAGATTGACGAGGCAGAGGCAGGGTTTGAGGAAGTTTTGAAGAGGGAATTGGAGCGTAAGAAAGCGGCCGGTGGGGAGGAGGGGGATAGTGACGAAGAACAGAGGGACGAGGCCGCCGAACGCGCACGACAGGCCGATGTCGAGGCGTACAAGGATGTTAACATGAAGGTTAGTCTACTAGCTTCACCTCTGAATTATGAATGGCTTACCGTCGTCTGCTCCAGGCTATTACCCGGAGCGCGTACATGGTGCAGATGGGCATTGCGAAACTAACCGCGCCATTCCTTCCCGCTTATCCGGAGGACGAGGCGGACTGGCCGTGTGCGAGTGATTCTGATCCGAGTAGCGAGAGTGGCTCGGATGGCGACGATGAGGGCGAGGGCGACAGCGATGAGGGGAGTGGGAAGGGAGAGGAGGGAGGGAAGAAAAAGAAGAAGGCCCGTAAGCTTCTCCGGTTTCGATGGGAAGAGAGCTGGGACGAGGGCGTCAACCACAAGAACATCAAACGGATCGTTCGATGGATCAAGAACAAGGGTTCCAAGTACTCACCTGCCGCTGCTAAAGTCATCGCCACCATTAGTGACGAGTCGCTTGATAACCGAGTTATGGACCAGTTCCACGCGCTCGTAAAAAAGCTGCGCGAGGCCGAGCGATCCAGCGAGGTCGAGGCTGTTCCAGAGCCCATGGATACTGGCGCCGAGACTGATGGTACACGCGCACCATCATCCCCACCGCCCTCCGAGATCTCCGTGTCAAGGCCCAAGGTCAGGTTGCCCAAGCGTGCGGGGGCTCGGGCTGTCAAGGCTGAGAACAAGTCGGAAAGGACGCTGTCGTCCTCCATGCTTCAGGCTCGTCAGAAAGGAGTAAGGCATGTTCACGTACCTCTATGATTTATTGCTGATAGCTGTCACCTAGAAAAAAGAGGTACGCGACAGAAAAAGAGAGGTTATGCCGAAGCCTGAGGGAGGAAGATGGAGTGACGCACGATATGACAAAGGGCTTCAGTACCAGCTCATGTCGGATGACGAGGATTCCGTGGACGAAGAAGGGAAGTGGAAGGGGTATTATCGATCACGACGACCGAAGTTTCGGAGTGATGAGGTGCGTCAGTTCATGCTATGCAATTAGAGATACACTGATGGATACGTACCTGCAGCATCACGAGTTTTTGATGGCGGTTGATGCGGTCGAAGACCCTGAGCCAAGCATCAGATATGTCAAGCGCCTTCGTGGGGAGGAGACTGAGGTACCTATACCTTATATTATTGATCCCAGCGTCCGGGCCCGCAGGTGGCAGATCAAAGTCGATTGGCTGGAGGAGGAGGATAACAAGAAGTGGGACCGACCTAATAGAATCACGGAGAACGGGAAGGAGTGGGGCAATGACGAGGATCCAGAGGAGTTGATTGCGAAGAAGAGGAAGGTGAAGGAAGAGAAGGGCCAGAAAAAGCGCGCCAGGGTGAGTGCAACACCCAAAGAGGGGAAAGGGAAGGCGAAGGCGAGTGTGAAACTCGTGAAGGCAACGACAGCAAAACCGAAGGCAGCAAAACCGAAGATGGCGAGGGCGAAAGGGAAGGAAAAAGAGGGTGTAGACGAGGGCGCTATCGCAGGGCCGTCGAAACCGCGTGCGCAGGTGGTCCAATTGAATGATGAGTGATGGGAGGGGAGGTATGCAAGTCTTGATGTTCTTGTGATCCCTTGATCGCGATGAGGATGCTGGTGTGTTCGTCTACTCAAAAAATTCTTCTGGCTCCGTGCCAGCCTTTTGTTCCATCAGTAGACAACTGTAATTGAAGTACGATAAAAGACTTACATGGTCGAATGAAACGGCAGCCCACAATGGCCGTGGGCAGCTGCAAAGTGTGATGGGGATAAGGCCAATCGAGCACTGAATGCTCGACACTGGGATGACCTCAAAGGGACGGAAGACGTCTGCATAGCAGACGTAGATCCCAAGCATGGTCGAACTATGTGATTGAGCTAGTCAGCAACACAAGATCACGAGTGAGGACTTACAACATTCCCCAAGGGAGGGCCGGTATGTTCTCATCCGAAACGAGACGCTCAATGACAGCGCAAACGTGCGGCTGTTTATCGCCCACGACAACCGAATACAGCGAGTGGATACGTACCGGGACGCGAACAGAATCGCTGTCATTGATAAATGCAAAAGCGTCGGCCTGCGTCCGTCGATTTGTGGTGGAACCATAACGGATGCCATCCTTGCGCACATAGCTCAGAGCACGCGCGACACGATGTGACACGAAGGGTGTCGTGTCAGGGCGGCAGCTACGATCACTGGCAAGCTTGAGATCAGGCCATAACCGCCTGCAGTATCCGAGTAGCAGGCGGTAGAGGTCTGGCGAGGTGTTTGACTGTTCTGCGCGCAAGTTCACAAACTTGGCGGCTCGACTGGGTAAACGGACATTATCTAAACAAGTGGGCATTAGTGTGACATGGCACCGTAGAAATAAAATTACCTTCAGCTGCCTCACTTTGATAGATGGCAATTTCAGTCATCATAGCTCCCCGATTGCGTGCCTGAGTCTTGATGATCTCGTCGAGCGCGTCTCGTTCGAGTTTGTGAGCACCGGGCGGCAGAGAGATTAGGTACTCATAGATTAGATGACCCTGGACCCATGCTCGCATGAGCGTGAGCTCCATCTCCCCACCATCGTGGCCGTTGTGCTTGACGCGCTCGAGCATACCGTTGAAGCGCTCAAACGCGAAGAGCCACCATGCGTACACGGGACCAAACAGCCGAATGACATCAGCAGTGTGCATGGCAACATGATGGTTAGGGCGGAGGGGGATACCAAGAGCAATGAAGCGCTCGCAGTACTGTGCGAGGAATGACTGGCCGATTCGAGCTTGATCCATGGAGATCTCTCGAGAAGAGAGGATTCGTACGGCGGCGCAGAGGAGCAAGATTGCGTCGTATAGCTGTTGTCGGTTACGAGAGAACGACGGCGCGGTTGTGTTGGGCGGCAGGACTGGTTCCGAGTGAGGGATGACATCGTCTTCATCACGCCAAGTCCACCAGAGCAAGACTGGGGTGATGGCGATCAGGCGACGCCATTCGTCGGCCTTCTTCAGTGAATGATTTTCACCGAGCTGTAAGAGCAAATGAAATTGAAAGAAGAAGAAGAAACTGTGATACGCACGTTCTTGGGAAGTCTGGTGATATGACTTGGCCATGATATTGAATTAATGAGTGACTCGAACCGAGCCTTGGCCGAGTTTGCACCGCCAACGCCAGTCATCACATATCCGCCAAAGATGACGACGTCATATAAATGGGGAATAATACCTTTATGCATTAGAAACGACCAGCAAACAGTGAGCTGATAAGCCACTTACCTAGGAAGACAGCGTGCATGAAGTCTGGTGCCGTCTTGGTCTTAGGAAGCCAGCCTGGGATCAGATCGAGGACAACAAACCGTTTGCCATGGTCTTCAAGTATCTGGGCCTGTCGAGCTTCGGTAGCGTTGCGTGAACGGTAAGCATGTCGTAGAAGCTTGAAATCATCTTTGAGGTTGGACGCTGTGGAGAGTGACATGTCAGCGAAAATGAGTTAATGGGACGACTTACTGTGGTCATAGCCTGATGGTTTGTCGATGTCGAGGATATTTGCCTCACAGTAGAGGCATGGATGCATGTCGCTAGAGTGACTCGAAGTCCCATTACACTTGTGGGATGCGGGCATGTCGCAATCGAGACATGCACAGTCCGCATAAATGCTGGCCTGCTCATCCTCGCCGTGCACATCCATATCAACACCTAATAACTGATAGCATCCGTGAGTTAAATTGATAAGCTGTCACAACGTACCATTTCGAAGGAGCCCGACCTCCTTTGCCATTGGCTCCATGCAATGGCTAATTTGACGTGAGTCCGGCTCCTTGGGTCCAGGCATGACACTCAGGCAGATTGTGTTGACTTGTAAGAATCGTTGGTCGCGCGGGAGATCGTTGATGGCGATGTACATAGCACCGGTTGAATGCGGCCGATTTTCGAGTATCCCCATCCTAAATCGAAATGTTAGCGACGACCGTGTGTGCATGAGCCATACCAATCAACGTTGCATGTCAGATGCAGCCCATATCGGTGTGATGTGAGTTTTGGTGCAGTATCGCGGCCGTCTTCGGGGCGATCGCGAACATGGCCGCGTTCGCCAACTTCGCGGACTGTATGGGTGTCGAGTTGGTGCCAAAGCGCACCGTCGTGCATGTCTCGCATGATGAAACCACTATCGTCGTTTCTATTAGATACGTCAGCTCGACTGTCCCTGATCATGTGTGCAAACCCGGGTCGCATGAACATGCGACGCAACGAGGCAATGAGGGACACTTGGGGATGGGCTTTGATGGGCTTGCGAATGTGTTTGCCCCTCGCGTTGACTGTGTCGACATAGACGTTGCCAGAGCAGCCGGTGACAGTGCATATAGGGGACTCCAGAGCCATAAGATCATTCGGGTGGTAGTGCTTCCAGCAGTCCGGACAAACAGCGTATTTGATGATGTACTGGTCAGCGTCGATCCCGAGACGTCGTTTGGCACTTTGAAGGGTCTTGACGGGCTTGGGATAGATCGGTAGAGGAGCCACAATAGATAGATTATCTAGCATGAACGAAAGGAGCTTAGACGCGTTGAGCACCGGAACCTTGTTGAAGACGTTCTCCAAAACCGCCCTGAGGTATGCGTGCCGAATCTCGGGCTTCTCTTTGAACGCTCTCGGTACCAGGGTAGGCGGTTCGTAGGGCTCAGGCGCATCGTCGTCGTCGTCCGGTCCAGCTAGATCGCTGTGTACGCGTGCATCAAGCTCGACACGCCGGTAGACCTGATCAAGCACCAAGGGAGGAGTCGGCATGCGAGAGGGCGGCATGGAGCGCTGTCCAGAGCTTTCATAACCATCGTAGTCGTTGTAGCCGTCGCCATAATAGTAGTTCATGTCGTCGTAGACTTGCTGCCGGCCTACGAGCTCGAAATCGCCTGAAGGTTCCTCCCGCATAGACACGGGAGGTGAGGACGGGGACCGCTGAGAGGCTGCCTGAGGATCCGGGAGCGTCTTGATCTTCGGGTACTTTTTCTTGTGTCGCTCGATCTCGCTCGCAGTGTGGAAGACGAATCCGGAGAGAGTCGCCGAGCATCGTGCACATTGACATTTGAGGCGTCGAAGAGCTCTTGCTTTTGGTTTGGACTTCGGTTTGCTTGTGCTAGAGACGATTTTGAGGGGGCGCTTGCGGGGCATCGTGGAAGGAGCGAGGAAGAATGGGTAGCAAGCTAGCTATATGCGCGTCGTAGAGCTCGACGTCGGCCTCGAGAGCGCGATCGACGGAGAGGGCAGGGAGGCCCAAAGCAATAATTAGTCCTAAGTCCAGTCGATCGCGCGTCGATCACGCACGCGCCAGCGAGCCGCCGGCCCGATCAAACTATTCTAACAATAGTACTGATCATCGCTCGTCTATATTTTACATTCCATATTATTAGAATATTCTTAGGATATTCTACAATACGCCAACTTTTTCACACAGCAGATTCTTTGCTTTTACGCTGTGCTAAGAAAAGCCATCGAAAAGTTAAAATTTCGCCTCAGGGTTTGTATTTTGGGGCGGAGATTGGATGTTAGTTTGTCCACATTTGGAAGGTCTGTGCCAAATTTGGTAACCCATCTTTTTACCAGCGCGAGCAGACTCCTACCCAGTCGGTCAGACATTTTGGTGACCCGGCACCGGAGTTGCCTTATTTGTAACAAGTTACAAGGTCAGTTGTCTGACCGACTGGCAACACTTGTTCGGCTAAAATTTTCCCATACGCCAAATGGTGGCGATTTGAGGGGCATTTGGCGGATGGGAAAATCTGAGCCGCGACATTTGTTGCCAGTCCGTCAGACACTGACCTTGTAACTTGTTACAAATAAGGCAATTCAGCCGGGTCAGCGGACCGTCTGACGGACTGGTTAGGAGTCTGCAGTGCGAGATGTTGGCTAAAAGAAAGCCTTTTCCTGTGTCATAAAAGGGTAGAAAACTTGGAAGCAAAGGCTTTCATCTCGCCGCCTCTTTTTCTTGATTTCGTCTCAGATAACATCGTCGTTTGTCCGCAGTGCGGGTTCCAGTAACGGAGTTTAAAGAGGTAGTCGGAGTTTCCCGTTGTCGCTTCTCTTTTTCGCATGTCTCGAATGGGCTCACAACCAAAACACGACATGGCCCTTCAACAGCTGGTGAACATCGTAAGCCTAGCTTGCCATTGCTCAGTCTCTCTCATGCCTTACAAAACCAGCTTCCTCATGCCGTCACCGAAGCTTTGGTAAGCAGCCTCTCCAGCCCCCATTGGATTGGCCTATCTCCTGTGACATTGATGCTGACGTGTATGGGCGGGCGCAGCAAAAAGCGGCAGACTCTCCATATTCTAGTTACGGCAACACGAATGGATCCGCATCATTGGCGGACATTGGCACAGTTTTCAAGATTGTTGAGGACCTATCGGCTTTGATTTGCACCCTTGACGCTGCCGTTGCCATGTTGACGTCGTGCAAAGTGCATCTGGTACAGTCACGAGCTGATCACTCTCGGTTCGTATCGGCCCTTTGGCGCCTCCCAGTGGAGATCATGGCAGAGATCTTCCAGCTGTCTGTGCCGCATCAGATACGGCGAGGCGCCATCTTAGATGGTCTTCGCGGCCGAGGGCCAGCTCTGAATGTCGCTCAAGTGTGTCGCCATTGGAGAAGCGTCGCACTTGCTACTCCAAGCCTTTGGGAAGTTGTGCGTATCCGCGTACCCGTCAAGATCTATAGCTCTGATGTCATGGACTCAATCGACCTGTACGAAAGCGAACTGGAGCTTCTGTCGCGAGGATCACCCGCACCCTTCTACCTCGTTAGCACTGTTAACATGGAAGGTCTCAGGTTCGCCCCCAAGGCCAACTCTATACCCATCCCTTGCAACGACACTTCATTCGTTGAAAGGTTAGAGTCTTGCTGGGGTCTTGACGTTGGCTCCGTGGTCTTCTCGACATACAAACCGATGTTTGCTGCGATGAAGAACCTGAGGCGGTTGATGACGATGACAAGCGGCTTGAACTCCTTTGACGTTTCCCCTTATCCTCTTCTCACCCACCTCTCAATGCACGTTTCATATACATCGCGCACGATGCTTTCTGACTGGTTCTCCTCTGTACGATGTTATCATCTTACCACGTTAATCATGCTCGTCGGGGCCAGGGAGGACGACTCTCAATTCGAAGTGGATATTACCAGGCTGGTTCAGAGCTTTCCCCGCCTCGAACACTTGTACATGGAGATACCAGGCTTGGAGCTGACACCGCCAAACGTCGCTTTCTCCCACCCGACCCTCAAGACGCTGTCCATAGCATGCACCAACGGCCCTGACACAGCCTACGAGCTTTCCACTCTCGGATCATTATTTGCGCTCGCGACCTTCCCCTCCCTTTCCGAGCTCATACTTCACGACGAATCGGTAAGGGACCTGGTCGAGTATAGGTCCCCTCATGCAGTCGATGCCTGGCTAGCGCTACTAGCGACGTTCTGCAGGCGTTCACAGTGTACTTTACGCCGTATAGGACTGGAATGGAGAACCAACACGATAGATGAAGCACGGCGTCAGTTGGCTGGATTGGTCCAAAACCTGATCAGAGCATTCCCGGACGTTTCCATTGACTTTTACACCTACGAGAACACCGTATCATCGAGGCTTTACGAGAGTTGGTATGCGCCATTGAATCCCACATGGATCCCCTAGACCGTTTCCTTGTACGCCGTTGTCATTTTCAAGCATATCACACATGCCTAACGTTCCACAGCAGATGTCTGTCACGGAACTCGATAGGTAATCTATGCGAGCTTGTTGGACCGAGACGCATAGAGATAGATATGTAAAGTGTTTGTAAGAATGGCCATAGGAAGCCCTAGCCTTTTCCCACCCGATCTATCTTTCTACCTACAAAGCTCAGTCCAACATGCGAGCCCGCATTTCGAAGCTGAAGCGCTGACAGCGCTGAGGAGCTACCTCGCACGTTTCCGGGGATCACCGAGAACGACTAAGTAGAGTTTGTATAACTTCAAGGCTATTAAGGCCCAGCCTTCTGTCTTCTCCCCGTCCCTTAGAATGAATTGCTGAGCGAAGATAATTAGTTGCCGGTTCATACCTGACTTAGAGGACCGCCCCAAGAAGAGTCTCGAAACTTCAGGAGAGTCATGAGTTGGTCTCACACATTTAATAATGCTAGTAGTTGCTGCTTTGACTTTGTGTAAGTGCGATTGGATTAGCCTTGGCACATTCAGTCACTGCCTCCCACTCCGTGAACTGATCGAGGAAATAGACGGTATCTTTATGATGTCGGCGCACATGTGCTTCTGATATCGAGCGGGAAATTAGTGAAGATCAGCGAGTCAAGAAGTAACTGACCCTATAAGTGCCACCTCAAATCCCAGCATCACGGAGCTTGATCATCAGTATTTGTCCAATGAGAGTAACTAGATGCATCTCTTGGGCATTTTCAGTTCCGCTCTTGGATGATAAGCTCTCGATAGGCCAGAAAATATGCTTTAACATGTCAGCGAATGCGCCTTAATGGAGCTATTGTGCGAAGTCTTGAATCGAGTTCAATACATAGCTCACGTCAAAAGTGTCGATGGACTATGATGTGGGCCTCATAATGCGGTACGTGTATACATGGGCGTGCTACCTGTCTTCTTCTTTGGTTCCTAGGTCACGATGGCTTTTGCGCCTTGGAAAGTTGTATAAAATGAGAATGTATGAGCCCGGTGCGCTTTCGTATTCCCATTCAATGGCATTGGTCAAAAGCATCCTTCTTATCTCGTCCTCCCTCTCAGTCGAGGCGTGCTTGACGCCTCCAGGTGTCTCGAAGAAAGGGGAGAGAATCCCGTACACATCCTTCAATCTCGACCTCCTGGAGCTGGTCGCAGAGCGCGTAGCACCTTTTATCACTAGGGTAAGTGTCTGATGTTCTTCCTACCAGTACTATTCGCTGGAGGACAAAGCGGCAAGTCGTTGTACTTATGCTGATCTTACAGGCTTTGATCGTTGTAGTAGCGGTCGCGGAGGCCGTTACTATAATCGCAAGCGAGCATCCTCATTTGTTCCCGTCGGGTAGGGTCTCCACGCTCAACCGCGGAGCAGCCCTCCCGTCGGCTATTCCCAACGCACTCTTCATCACGGGCGCGCTGCTTGCCCTCGCAGGCAGTCAGCTACGCCTGCTTTGCTTTCGCACACTCGGGAAGCATTTCGTGTTCAACGTCGCCTTGAAGAAGAACCATCGTCTCATCACGTCTGGTCCCTATTCCATCGTTCGACATCCAAGCTGTTAGGATGCGATAGTTCGCGTCCACCGCATCACGGTTAGTGCTGCCGACAGAAGCACTGTCCGAAGCGTCTGGCATGGAATGCTGGTGAGGTATACTCGAACCAGCGTTCCTCGTCTCTCTTCCCTCACTCGTTATGCACCACACCGAGTGAGGGTAAGCACGTTCTCTCTACGATACATGACCACGATGCTTACATTGCTCTGTACCTAGTCTGACATATCATAGGTACAGAATATACTCGTTATGCACCACACCGAGTGAGGTCTGACATATCATAGTTCTAACAGGTTATGAGCGCCCTGCGTTTCTTTTGACCCAGACCCGGTGCTAGAGTCCCTGCCTGACCCGCAGGATACTTCTCGTGTTCTTGTTGTTTTCTTCATGTCTTCTCGTCGAGGTCGTGGTACCTCTCCCAGCGGCTCATCCATGGATTTGACGTCTGTTTATAACAGCAGCCCGTATTTGCCTTTACGTTCTATTCATCGCCCTAGCTCTTCTTCCTCTCGTCCTCCTCAGGGACAACTCCCCAGCAGTCTCTCTCGTCACATCCATATCCGCCGTCCTTCCTCCCGTAGCTCATACCGCACCGCTGACGCGGGCTCCGAAGACTCCGAGGGCACTCCGCCCCCAGTCTCCCCGCCTCGGCGTTATCAGAATTTGCCTCGCGATTCTCTTCCTCGATGCTCTCGCCAGACACGTCAGGCGCCTCCCCATCTCTCTGACTCAATTGCCCCCTCCGTTTCTCAGGGCCATATACGCCTTCGTCGTGTCGATTCTCGTCAACAGCTCCACGCTCCCGTTGACACTCTTGCTCCCTCGCTTTCTCCGCTCCCTCAGCAGCCTCAGTCTCCGCCCTCTCAGCAGCCTCTCCTCGCCCAGCATTCCTTCACTCAACCTCTCCTCGAACAGCATTCCTTCCCTCAGGCTCCACAGCAGCCCCTTCCCCAGCAGCCTTCTTTCTCCGATCAGCAATTTCCGCAGCAGCCATTCTTTCCCTACGCGCAGTATGCCTTCCCGTATTCCTTGCCTTATTCCGCCTTTGCATACCAACAGCCTACCCTTCCACCGGCTCCACAATACACTACTGCGCCCGCACCCGCGCCCGCTCATGCGCCGGCCTTCTTTGCCGCGCCCGCTCCAGCGCCTGCGCCCACACCGGCACCTGCTCGCGCTCCTGCCCCAGCAGGGGCGTTTGCTGCCGCCGCGCCAGCGCCCGCTCCTGCCCCAGCAGGGGCATGTGCTGCTGCCGCGCCTGTGCCCGCTCCTGCCCCAGCAGGAGCGCCCGCACCTGCTGTTTCTGCTCCTCTGGGAGTGCTGCCCCGTGGCGTTGGTCCTCGAGCGTACCTTCTGCCGCCGCGTCCGGGGAAACTTTCGAACGCCAAGATCGAGCTGCATCACGCTGCTGCTATCCCGGTACTCGATCGTGCAAAAGGGAATTGGCTCCAGTTTAGCGTTGCGTTCCAGAACTTTCTGCGCATGCACAATCTAGACGGTTTCTTCGACGGTCTCTATCCCGTCCCCGATGACTCCTCGTCGTACGACGACGCTGTTGCTTGGGGCCAGCTCAACAATGCTATTTTTGGCTTACTCATGGAGAAGCTCGCGCCCGAGGAGCGCCAGTACATTGCTACGGAGGCTACATGCATGTCAGCTTACGCGATCCTCAAGGATCGCCACGAGAAGCTTGCTCCACTCATGGAGGTCGAGCTTTGGCAGAAGCTCTTCAGCACCTTCTTTGCACGGAGCGATCGCCTTGACTCTACTGTCAAGTGGATCCGAGAGACTTGTCACTCTCTCTTGCTGATGGGACCGCTCTCCGAGGAGAAGCTCATGGCGATCACTCTCATGAACGCCTTGACGCGCGACTTTGGGCACATCAAGAACGATGTCGCGACGCTCCTCTCCGATGCCGGGTCCCATGCTGATTTTTCCACTGCACTGACCCGCATCCTCTGTCGCATTGAGACGGAGCAGAGCGCCCTTGACGTTGATCGTCGAGATCCTGACACAGCCTTGGCTGCTCGCATGCCGGGAAACCGGCCACTACCACCTTGTCGGACTTGTGGTGGTCGACATCCCACAGACCGCTGTTGGCAGCCCGGCGGCGCTCTCGAGGGTCGTCGCCCCGAAGCGCCTGATCCACGTCGCCCCCACACGTTTGTGCCCTCTTCCACTCGGGCGCAAGCGTCCCCTCGCAGGCTCTACTTCTTCGACAACGTCTCCCAGAGCTTTATGCCTGACGTCGACGACCAGTCTTCGGGGGTCATTGCCGAGGACTTGCTCACCGACGAACAGCTCGCCGCTGTTGACGTCGACGCGAACGTCCAGGAACATCAATCGTACTTCCTCAACTCCGAAGAGCTGCGTGCGTCCGTCGACTGGTCTTCGTTGTCGCCCCCTTCTCCAACTGCCCTCATTGCGTGTTCTGCTCCGAACCAGCGCACGCCCACCGTCGTTGACCCCGACGTTGTGCCGTTCTATCTGGACTCTGGAGCATCGGCACACATCTCCAGTGACGCCTCGGACTTCTACCAGCTCACGCGTATCACCCCACGTGTCGTCCATGGCGTCGGGGGGACGGTGATTCACGCTGAGGGCATTGGCACCATCCGTCTCTCCTTTGGCAAAGGACTGCACGTTGATTTAGACAATGCTCTATACATCCCAGCTGCCTCTGTTCGTCTCGTCTCTGTCTCTTCGCTCGCTCGCTCGTCCAAGTTCAGGTCTACCTTTGACGATGCCAACTGTTTCATCCGCAATCCTAGCGGTGCCATAGTCATGCGCGGCTCACTCACATGCACAAACCTCTACCGTCTCCTGGGATCGCGCCCTCTTGCTCTGCACGTTTTCCTTGCCTCTCGGGTCCCCTCCTTGCTGACCTGGCACCGTCGTCTAGGTCACGCCAGCTACCAGTCCGTTGTTGATCTGGTACGCGGTCGCATGGCAACTGGCTTGTCTATCGACCTCTCCGAACTGCCACCGAAATGCGAACACTGTATTCTGGGGAAGCAGACGCGTTCGAGTGTGCCCAAAGTTTGTGAGGGCGCCAGGGCTACTAGGAGGCTAGGGCGAGTGCATGTAGACTTGATGGATAACTCGGGTAGTCCATCCTCTCGCGGCCACTTGTACATTATGAATATTGTCGACGATTATAGCCGCTTTTCTTGGTCCATTCCGCTACGTTCCAAGGCTGACGCCTTCTCGGCACTGCGCGACTGGGAACGCGCTGTGTCTCTGGAAACCGGTTTGACCATCGGCATTTTCTGTTTTGACAACGGTGAACTCAAACGCACCGATCTTCGAGAGTGGCTTGCTACGAGGGGAACACAGGTCCAGTTCACAGCACCGTATACGTCAGCTCAGAACGGCCTAGTAGAACGTTACCATCGCACTGTCATGGGACGCGCTCGGGCCATGCGCATTGCGTGTGGCTTGCCTCCTCGGTATTGGGACGAGTTCATCTCCACTGCGACTTACCTTGCAGTGCGAACGCCCTGCCGAGCAGTTCGAGACAAGACGCCTTACGAGCTATGGCACGACCGCAAGCCTGACCTCTCCAATCTTCGGGAGATCGGCTCCAGGGCGTTTGTCTTAGCCCAGCCACATAATCCTAAGATTCAGGCGCGCTCGGTAGAGTGCGTGCTTGTCGGGTATGCAGCTGACTCGAAGGCATACAGATGTTATCACAAGGCGACAGGGCGTATTCTAACGTCGTACCACGTCTCTTTCATCGAATCGCATGACGATGAACGTTTCGTGAGCCGCCCATCTTCTGTTTCTCCTTCATCTTCATCTGCTCCTGATCCCGAACCTTCCGTACCTGTGCCACCCCCATCTCTCGCGTCGCCTTCACCTACAGCTTCACCTCCACTTCGTCGCTCTTCTCGCGTGCCTAAACCTTCCGAGAAAATCGCCGAAGTCAGCCACCTGGACTGGCGACAGCGCTTCGACCGCGTGCTAGGTGATATTCACGCCAATTTCTCTGCGCTCGCCTTCCCCGCTATCAAAGTGGACTCCAGCTATCGCGACCCTCTTACCATCAAGGAGGCGCTTGCGTCCGAATTCGGACCACAGTGGGATGGCGCGCTGGTCGACGAATTCGCGAGCATTCGGGCCCGAGGTGTCTACAAGCTCGTCCCCGAGTCATCAGTGCCAGCCAACAAGACCATCATGAGTGGGAAAGCGGTATTCAAGCTCAAGATGGACGAGCTTGGCATACCGGACAGATTCAAAGCGCGCTGGGTTTGCCGTGGTTTTGAAGCTATCTACGGCCACAACTACACCAACACCACTTCGCCCACTGCCCGTCTTGAGTCCTTCTGCATCCTACTCAACCTTGCCGCTGCCTTTGACCTTGAATGTGAGCAGATAGACGTCAAAACTGCTTACCTGTATGGCGATCTCGACCCCGAAGAATATTGCTACATGTACCAGCCAAAAGGTTACGAAGAACCCAACTCCGAGGGCATGGTTTGGCAGGTATGCAAGGGTCTCTACGGTTTAAAGCAGGGGGGGCGTGTCTGGAACAAGACCTTACACAAGGCCTTGACGGAATGGGGGTATACGCGTCTCTCTTGCGAACACTGCGTCTATTACCGACGTGAGGGCTCTTCGTTCACTGCTCTCGCTGTTCATGTTGACGATTTCGGCGTTGCCGGCAAGACCCAAGCCGACATCGACCGTCTCAAAGCCAAGATGAAGACGCTATGGGAGATATCCGAGCTGGGGCCTATCAAGTTCTGCGTTGGTTTGGGTATCCAACGCGATCGTGCTCGTCGCACTGTCTCCCTGTCTCAGACGGCTCTCATAGATAAGGTTCTTGCACAGTTCAACATGATGCATGCTAATCCTGTCGACACTCCCATGGAGTCCGACATTGTGTCGAAGATTTGTCGCACTCCACACTCCCTTATGGATCCGTCTATTCTCGCTGAAGTTCGCAAGCTCCCCTACCGATCACTAGTTGGTTCCCTCAACTACCTCGCTGTCGGTACCAGACCCGATATCGCCTACACTGTTCAGTGGCTCAGCCAATACCTCGATGCTTACAGCCACGAGCACTGGGCTGTCGCCAAACGCGTTTTACGCTATCTGCGCGGCACACGGGACTTGTCGCTCACACTTGGCGGCTTCGGCACTTTTGAGCTCTCTGCATGGTCGGATTCTAACTATGCCGCATGTCCTGACACTAGACGCTCCGTCACTGGCTACTGCACGACTCTCGGCGGCGGCTGCGTCACTTGGTCCTCTCGCAAACAACCTATCGTCACAGGCTCTACTTGCGAAGCCGAATACGTCGCCGCCAATGGCGCAGTCAAGGAGGTTATGTGGATCCGGAACCTTCTCGCCGGCCTAGGCCTCCCTCGCTCTGGTCCCACACACATCTGGTGCGACAATCGCTCCGCCGTTCACATTGCTGAAGACCCGTACAACTTCGCCGCCACTAAACACATCGATGTTCGCTACCATTTCATACGCGAGCGTGTCGAGGACAATACCATTCGTCTTCTCGACATCCCATCAGCAGACAACGTCGCGGATATCTTCATGAAGCCACTCCCTCGCCCTGCCTTCGTGAAACTTCGCCACAGCCTCGGGTTGCGATGACTCAAGACGTGCGGGGGGGGATGTTTGGGCTCAGGAGGAGTGGTCGGGGTGATGATGGCTCAGGAGGAGTAGCTGATGAGGTTAGCAGGATGAGAGAGAGTTTCCGCGGTGAGGAGGAGTGTTAGGATGCGATAGTTCGCGTCCACCGTGTCACGGTTAGTGCTGCCGACAGAAGCACTGTCCGAAGCGTCTGGCATGGAATGCTGGTGAGGTATACTCGAACCAGCGTTCCTCGTCTCTCTTCCCTCACTCGTTATGCACCACACCGAGTGAGGGTAAGCACGTTCTCTCTACGATACATGACCACGATGCTTACATTGCTCTGTACCTAGTCTGACATATCATAGGTACAGAATATACTCGTTATGCACCACACCGAGTGAGGTCTGACATATCATAGTTCTAACACAAGCTACTCGGGCTGGCAAGTCGCGTTCGGGGGCATCCTCATGGCGTATATGAGTCCGGGATCATGGCTTCGCACGTCAGGTTGGCTTGACACGACGCCTGGACGGATTGTATTTGGGTTATGGGCAGTTCTCATAGTTTACGGTACATTAGCGAGTTTCTTTCGACCGCTAGTTGAGGATCGTGTTTTACGCGAGCATTTTGGAGAGGAGTGGGAGAGGTATGCACGTAGAGTGAGATGGAGGTTAATTCCTGGAATCTTCTGAAACGAATTAACTATTAATTGGTCTATACTTTAGATTGATCACTCCGTCCACGTAGAAATATGCGAGGATTCGTTGCGACATGACAGAATTGTGCAGGAGCTTGGTAAGGAAGAAATGAAATGCGCAAGCAATGGACGCGTTGGGTGATTCAGGGGGCTTTGAGTCATCGTGAGAAAGCATTGCGTCATCATGTTCAACGTCTCCCACAGCTTGCAGCTTGAAGGACGTGCACCTACGTGCACGAACGATCGTATTCACTTTCAGATGGGGACTTGGGCGGGGAGCTCCTTCCTGTGCCACCCGACTATCCGATGAGCCTCTCGTCAAGCGCATCCTTGAGCCGAGGCTGGCTGATCGTTTCATCAGTAATCACAGTAAGTACTAGGACTTCTACCTCCCATATCCTGATAATTGTTTGAAATAACTGTAGGCTACCGCTGGTAAGACTTAGGTATGTTTTCATGGGAACAGCGCTCGCGGGCAGATTCAAAACCCGTCTGCTTCTTTGATACATAGGCGCGGTTCGAATGTTCGTGTACGTAAATTCGGACACCCGGCGATGCTCTTCCCCGGAAAGCAGTGAATACTGCACAATGTCTCGAACATGTGTAGGTGAGCGAATTCTCATTTTATGAAAGTACTTGTGGCCTATAAAGTGACAGATTTGAGCTGTATGATGTCTTGTGGACTTCGTCTAATGAAAAGTACCATTTTACCAACAGAATATCTCTGGGGTGCAAGCATGATTCATCCCGAGACAGGGTGTTTGTTTCCTTATGGAGCTCCTCAAACTTATGTCTTTGGCGACGCGACATGTAATACTAAGATGCGCCCGAGCTCAGGGATGCCACAAATTGACCGCCGCAGCTGGAACACCACCATTGCATACTTGCTTCACGCTCTTTTTCCTCCGCTGACGGCTCGACATGGATCACAGCTACCCTCCATCCCCTACGGCCGAGTACCAAGCCGTCCGCCCCCGTCCAGATCTGTCTCCGGTCACAAGCGAGACTCTAACCACGTTCAACTGGTCGAAAGAGGACGTGCCTACGCCAGTCGACGAGAATTTCGATGGACGGTCTATGCAGCCTATTCTGCGGCATGGTGCGTATCACGTTACTTGATGGCCCCACTCTCCCATATTTCCTCAAGGTCAACGACCACCGCCAAAGGTCGACACACAGTATCGTTGGTGGTACATATCCGAATATCACCTATGTTTTGCCCTGCATGGCTTCTTGGTCGTGATGCACATTGCGTTCCTTGCGGCTGGTAGCGTTGGCGCAATTGACCGTGTAGTCGTCGAAAGCAAGAACTACAGTTTCTATGCAGCTATTCTTGCGATTGTTCCCCAAGCCGTAGCCGCGGTAAGCTTAGACTTCTCTATTGCATACCTCTCACTAACTGTAGGCAAAGATGATCTCGGCGGCGCTCGTTTACTATACTCAACGACTAGCCACGCGACGCGCGTTCAAGCGGAGCCAGACACTCACCGCCCTCCACGACCAGATGTCTGCGTGGATAGGCCTGGGATCCGCCGCGATGGCTCTCTTCGACCAATATACCCTGCCTGCTAGCGTAGTTGGTACCTGCTCTATCATGCTATACCTCGGTTTAATTACCGTCATCCACATCACGACACCCACACTCATTACCCTCGAACCCACCGAGTTACCTATCACGTCCCTCATCAACACGACCTTGGGAACGCCTAATCTAACTTCATTGTGGGAATCTATTTACTATCACGCTACTGACTCTCTAACTATCGGTTTAAGTATTCCTTGGACAGAGCCTGGCACCGACAATCCTGACCAGCTCATCGAAATCATGTCGCCTCTTATGTCCGTGCTCGGTCCAAGTGGAGATGGTACTCACTCCGATCTTCTAGTCACCACGGGCCTGGCAAACGGTACGTTGTATGATGTCGTCGAGCCTAACAACGCCAGTCAGCCGATTCGAGTCAACGCCACGACATTCGATGTATGTATACCAGTCCGTTTAAAATCCTATATTGACCGCCTATTTAGGTGTCTTGCGGATACTTATCAGATTTCCAAATTCAGTGGAAGCCCGCAACGAATACGGAGTTCTCTTATCAAACGTCGCGAATGCCTTCTTTCAACATCTCGAACGGTTTGTTGTCGTGGACAGATCTCACCATAGCAGATCTCGGTTGGTACTTCTTGGTTCCAGGCTGAACATACCTTGCTGACGCCAAAACACACAGCACCAAGTTCCTTACGAGTCATGACACAATCTTCGAGAGGTGTTACACTGAATTTAACACGACTAGTAAAACCGGTACGTCGTGAAAAAATGCTGGAGGTATATATCTGACAATGACATCTAATGACAGAGTCCGTATAACATCTTCGTATCCACCGTCAACTTCACGGATTCGTCAGGCAGTGCCGGCCATATCATTTCCCTTCCGGGAGGCATGAACCCCAACGCCGATAACTGGCAACGGATATGGACACTTCAGATGATCGGATGCACCCTGGACATCAGCCACTCGTTCATGGAGGTCGATCCGACGACGCGGACGCTCGCCGAGCCAAACTACGCTGCGCTGAGGAACAGTTCGAAATGGGAAGCTTGGATACCACCGCCGACCGTCAAGCCTCCATCGAGAATAGATCAAGCAATGCTCGATCTGGTGAGGCGTCTCAGTAGCTTCAAATGTGACGGATGGTTCTTACGTCCTATTCTCTCCAGTGGCCTTACGCGTTCCAAGCTGCAGCGCCTTCGTCGTACGTTGCCGGTCTGATAACTATGGACCCTGCTCAGATTGCGGCCACAATTCCGAGCAATGTTGCCGTTCTCAATGTGATAGAAAAGTACCCTTTGCTATCTTGTTTGCGTCGCATATGGTCGTCTGATCCCGGCTCGTCTAGGTATCTGGCGCTCACTCTCGACCTCTTCCCCGTTACCAACAGCAAGCGCTACGTGATACCAGAAGATTACCCACCTCCTCCCCCTCTAACTCTGCATCATCTTGAGAATGCACTGTCGAGCGCTACTGCCGCCTCATTCTACGCTGGTCAGCATTCTCAAATTTCCCCACATGTCTCATGTTTTCTCGTATCCAATGATCCTCTTTACAGCGCTCCATTCTCAACCAACGGCACTCGACAATACTCGAATGTTACCCGATAACTCCGCCATTATCAACGCTACAATGTCAGGCACGAGCGAGATGTTATACATGGTCTCTGCCTCAAGACTAAGCGTGAGTAACTTGTTTGTTACGTTTGAGCTACTCTGACAGTTGCGTGTAGTTCAATATGATCAATGTACGTCGCTCCTTACTTCCAGCGCAATACACCTCTCTGACGGCAGGGTAGATCGCAGTCGGCCTCGCGGCTTCGACAATTCTTCTCGCTCTGGCTATTAGCCTCGTACGCGATCTGGATGGACCTGAGCCGCTTGTGTGCGGCGCCGGCATTCTTCAGACCATGTGGCTGGCGCATGGTGATCCCGAGTTTTTGGACCGCGTTTCCAGGGTGGGGGAGCCTACGACAGAGGAGCTGAGGAAAGCCGGGATGGAGGTTGTTCGGCTCGGAAAGATACGTAACCAAGAAGACCGGTGCTGAGCAGATGCGCAATTTCAAGTGTCACAGTTGAGGATCATACCACCCGGCCCATGAATGCCCATTTGGACCTGCCGAGCTACGTTACTTGCTGTGTTTCGACACTATACTTTTACGTCGAAATATTAAACTGTTTGTGTTTGACCAAGTTCACTCTTAAATGCGGCGAGATGTTTTCTCCTACAACACGAAAACTGAAGGTTATCTCCGACATCGTCACTCAAGTCGTGCTGTACAGCATCACCGGGAAGTCTACTTTAGAACATTGAATCGTTTTTGACGACTATCATCTACCTAATATTGTCACGACGAAGATGAGAGGATAACAAGCAGTTGGTGCATCCAAGCACTATCCCATCACTAAGCAGAATGGTGTTGAGTGTTACCCGTTGCCAGTAAGCTTTGTGATCGTGACGGCATCGCGTGTAGATTCCAAGTACTTTAAGACATAACTCTGATGCTACGAACGAAATGAAGCATTCCGAAGGGAGTGAAGTGACATGTAGAGCAGAGCAACGCAAGTGATACGGATAGCACAACAAAAGCCAAACTCCAATTGACCACATGTCTATTTCCTGCAGGAGCAGTTCCCTGCTCAAACTGTGTGCCCAACACTGCAAACGCGTATATACCTGATTTTAATGTACCCGATGTTTGATTTGCTAAAATCACATACCTTTGACCTGATTTTGAAGTCATGTACCCGGACCTATTCATCAAGCCATGTACCTGGGACTGAAATGCGAAACCATGTTCACGGTGACGTCGCGGTGGTGTCGGTGGCTCCACTCCTAACAAACAAATGCAAATGTTGAACTTATTCTTCTCGCGTTGCGCCCTCACAGTGCAATCCATCGGCAAATGGCTGAGGAATTTCAGGAGATGCGCGATCGAGGGACGGCTGCCGCTCCTGCTCATATTCTAACGCCATGGGTTGAGGTGCTAGTCCGTTGGCACGCAGAAGTTCTGTGGGTGTGAAAACACATATGTTTGTTACGATCTCAACATTTCGCAAGAAGAGTTAACGAACCCATAGGCGCATACCGGAAAACAAAAGTTGCTATAGCCCCAGGAATGGTGTCAGCTTCGTACCACACGGGACTGTCCTCGTCATGCATAACTTGTCCAAGCCTGTTATCGACCATCCAAGTAAGCGACGGACGGTGTTGGGAGTTCCAGGTAACTCACTCCGTTCCTTTGTAGCGATTGTTTTCCGGAAGCTCAACCCCGGTGGATTCCATACAGCGTCTTACGTTCTCAGCTCTCAGAATGGAAATCCGTATCTCCCTTTTGTCCAACGCTTTGGCTGCAGGTGGAGCTTGAGTGTTCTCATCTATAAGACACAGCACTATGAGGACTGAGATCGATATTCGCAATAGAGAATCAACGCACCTGCTGGAGTCAATGATGCAAACTTAAACGACCTGTACTTCGTTTCTGAAATATCAATGCCGGTGATGTGACCACCAACTTTCCCTTTTAAGACTTCGTCCCTTTTGACCGGCCGATCGTACCGTGTTGGAATTATATGTTCAAATCTCGCTCGCATCATGACGTTTCGTACGTTATCTTATTATATCCGAGTTTTTCGTAGTATATATTCTTGTCGTAGCTAGTCGCAATCTTCACGCGATTGCCCTTTGGGCACCCTCCTCTTGCCCGGGACAAACGCGCTGTGCGTCGTCGCGAGCCCAACGACCTCAAATTTCTACATACCGCTTGACGAGAGAACTCCCGGAGAGTTCTCCATCGAGATGCACCTCTCCTGTGAGATGGTGATCACGGCGGCGAGATCTGAGGTACCTCCAGTGGACTGAAAATGCCTGGTAGAGGGTTAGTGGACATCGCCGGAGCACTTTACGCGGACTCGTCTTTCCGGCCATTGAAGGTATCCAACACGTTACGTCATCTCCCGAATCAGATACTTCCACCTTGTACTCCTTCAATGCATAGCCATCTACCAGCACACTAGCGTCGAAATCTCCGAGTCTCATTCCGGGAAGAACGATAAGCTAGTGAATGAGCAGTGTATAGGCGCTACGCTAGGGTTGAATATTTGAATAGCAACTTGACGGCGCGGTGACACCTGAGTGAAGCGAGCACTGCAGACAAACTGCGATTTTTCTGTTACAAAAAGTGATTGAAGAAGGCGGACAAATGAAAGCCTTTTTCACCCATCTTTTGCTGTGCGAAAAGTTACTGAAAAGTTAATTTTTTGCCTCGGAGTTTGCATTTCTGTGCGGAGATTAGATAGACACACGTCCAAATTGGGAAGTTAAAGTCCAAATTCGGTAACCCGTCCATTTTACCAGCGCAAAATTGACGCAAATGTTGGCTAAAAGAATACCTTTTCCTGTGCAGAAGGGGGTTCCAAAACTCGGAGGAAAAGGCTTTCATCTCGCCGCCTCTTTCTCTCGGTTTCATCCCGGATAAAATCGCCGTTTGTCTGCAGTGGAGGCGTGGCTTTCAGATCTCAGAGTCGGAGTGTCGGAGTTAAACGTTAAATGGTGAACACTGCGTGGGTTGGCCATTGTATGTCATTGTCCGCTTTTGGACCGCTTGTCATTGATCTCGTCCCACCAAAGCGGTCGAAGGTATAATGAGACTTCAACATCAGTGTTTGAGCTTTTGTCTACATACATTAGAAAGTCTTTTGAGAGAATAAATTCGCCTCGAAAAAATAAACCGAGAGCCAACCGAGAGCACCAGTGTCCGTCAGCAATTTATGTCGCAATTGGTCTCACGAATTGCGGCTGAGGAATTGTATAACCGTATGCTACGGCGAACGCCCACTTTTACCTACCGAGCTGTATCACGTGGCGTACATCGGTACTTTCTTTATTTTTATGCCCCATTAATAAGCCTTCTATGTTTGCTTTGTCACTTAAGTACAACAAGGAGCAACAAGGAAGAATCATGACAAAGAGCAGAATCCCGGCAGAGCGGTCAATCTATGCACTTAGCATTGGGATACAGTCGTCGCAAATATAAAGAGGTCGTAGCCTGAGATACAATATTTACCATCATACTAACCGACATCGAGGTTTACAGCTCCTAGCTCATAAAGAAAGCCATGTCATCCTCTCGAGTGTGGTTTATTACGTGCTCTTGCGCTTTTTCTTGAAATTTGTGATGTTTGACGTCGTCTCTAGTCACAGGCGCATCGTCCGGCTTCGGACGCCTTATGACCGAGCTCGCTCTCAAAAACGGCGAGAAGGTTGCTGCTACACTGCGAAAACCGGAGGCCATCTCCGACCTCGTCGCCCAATATCCTTCCGATCAGCTACGAGCCATTCAGCTCGACGTGACGAAGCGCGAGGAGGTCAGAGCCGGACTAACCGCCGCGCTCGTTCATTTTGGCAGGATCGACGTCGTGTTCAACAACGCAGGCTGGTTGGCGCTGGGTGAGGTTGAGGGAACGGACGATGCGGATGCGCGTTTGATCTTCGAAATCAATTTTTGGGGCGCGGCGTATGTGACACAGGAGAGTCTGAGGATCTTCAGGGAGGAGAACAAGCCTCAGGGAGGCAGACTCTTGCAGTCGTCATCGGTTGGCGGCTTCGCCGCCTTCGCGGATAGTGGGTTCTACGCGGCAACGTGAGTTTATGATGCTTCTACTGCCAGACGAGAACCTGAAGCTGCATCCTGGGCGTTAGGAAATTTGGTAGGCCTCATAGTGGGCTAACTTTGAGCGATCAAGCTGAACTTTTACAGCTCTGGAGGGACTGAGCGAAGCCGCCATGGCTGAGCTCGACCCGGCATGGAACATCAAGGTAGGACATCTTTTCGACGTCGAATCCAGCACTCAATGGCAGATCTTACCTCGCCAGATCTCGATCATCGAGTTCGGTGCCTTCCGGACCAAGATCATGTACGACAACGTGAAGGCAACACCCCACCACCCTGCATACGACAACCAAGATCTCCCCAGCTGGAAGACGCGCGAGTTCATCACCGGTCCGAACGTCAAGGGCGACGCGGCCAAGGCTGTTATTGCAGTCGATAAGTTGTCGCGCCTGGAGAAACCCCCTCGCCGCCTCGTGCTTACCAAGCCGGCCATAGCGATTGTCCGTGACAAGTTGGAGGAGTTCGGTGAGAGTCTGAAGGAATACGAGGTGTGGTCCGAAGATCTTGAAGTCGACGAGTAGATACTCCAAGCGCTTGTAAAGATTGATAGTGGGGTAAGATGAAGGTAGAGCAAACACAGTACAGAATAGACGCGGAGTTGATGCTCTTGCTTGTTCGAAGATATTCTAGATCTAAGGATCCCTATCGTAAGTGACGCATAAAAAATCTACAGCGCACAGTAGCGTTAATTTACATAACCGATAACCGATGCAAATACACAGATAACTCACTCCACAGGGACCAATTCCCCGCTAACCACCCAGTGCATTCTTCCATCTCTGTCCCCCAACGTCACCCAGAACCCTCTCCACCTCGCCTTGCTCAATGTTAAGCACGACCCGCCGCTCGCCCATCGCCCGGAAGACACCGCCAGGAGCCTCGTCCTCCAGGAGCACTGCTCGTGTCGCGAGTAGACCATCGAGCACGATGCCGAGTTCTCCTGCAGACGGCTTGTACGCAGGCTCATTGTCCGCAATAAGCGCGTCGACATAGAGCGCATGCTGTCGCCGAACCTGTTCAAAATAAACCATCCATCAGATGTATATCCGAAAGTCCTAAGCTTCAATAAAAAGCTCGAACGCACCTCCGCCCACGGAACCTCCTCCACCCCCTCGTTCTTCACCACCCTTACGATCGCAGCGAGCACAAGCCGCTCGTGCAAGCTGCACCCCTTCATCCACAGCGCGGTCGCGCTCCCCTGCATCGCCTTGACGACCTCTGTGATGTCGTTCATGCTCGCGCACCGCCGGTCCTGCGCGGCGAGCTCGACCGCGCGCCGGCACACGTCGAGCACTCGCCGGGCGTCGCCCGAGATTGAGGCGGTCTTGGATGAGGCGAAGCGGATGGCGTCGGCGGAGAGTACAGCGGTGGTTGAGAGAGATGCATCCTTGGCGTCGGTGAGGGAAGCCGCGGCAAGCGCGAGCCGCGACTCGATGATGGAGACGAGCTGCTCGCGTTTGTAGGGCTGGAAGTTGATGCGGGACATGCCTGTTGGGTGTATCGTTATTAATTATCATACCAAGAGTGAAACCGAGTAAATGCGAAACGCACCCAGCCGCGACCTCACTCTCCCACTCATAACCCTCTCTGGCAGATCCATCGTGTTTGCCACAGCCAGCACCACAAGCTTGCTCCCCGCGATCGTCGGCCAATTGAAGAAATTGTACACAACATCCTGCTTCGCCGTCACGAGCTGGTCGAGCTCGTCCATCAGCACGACCGTCGCACACCGCGGGCCGGCCGCGCCGCCAGCCGCAAAGTGCCGGTGCAGGCGCTTGAGCGCCTCTTTCGAGGAGATGCGCGTGGATGCGTCCGAGTCGGCGGATAACGTCGTCCAGAGCTGGGTGTATGCGGCTGCTGGCTCGGGCACGCGGAGGCCGTTGATTTCAACGTAGGTGAATGGGTTGGATTCCTGTGGACAGTGGATACGCGTGTATGCACGTTTGAGTGGGTTGATAGCCGCAATGAGAGAGGACGTACGTTGTTCTCAGCCCGCCGCTTCAGCTCTCGAACGACCGCATGCACAGTCGCAGTCTTGCCTGTCCCAGGTACACCCGATATATCTATGCAACACATCGCCATTAGCTCACCCCAAGAAATCAAACCACATGAAGATGATATTGACGACTCACAAACACATCCCCCGCTCCCCTCCTCAACCAACCCCTCCACCGCCCTCATAATCTTGCCAAACTCTTCATCGCGGCACGGCAACGCCCCCGGCCGAGCAGCGACATGCAGCGCCTGCTGCGCTCTCAGCCACGGGTCCGGCGGAACATTCGACAGATCCGCTGCGGTATAATAGCCCTGCGCGCCGCGCGCATCGCCCGGGTCGCGCTCGCGGTGTTTCCGTCCCTGCCCCTGTGCACGGGCGCGGGCGCGCAGGGCAGCCTTGGAGTATGGAGTGGGCGCGGCGATGTGTGTGCGTGACTTGCGGGGGGTGCGTGGGGTGCTCTTCGGGGTGGTGCTGGTCTTGGTCTTGGAGGGCGTGCGTTTGGTGGGTGAGGATGGGGGGCGGCTGCGTTTTCGCTTGGATGGGGTCCTGAGCAGGTCTAGATCGTCGTCATCATCTTCCTGTTCTTCATCTACTTCGGCTTCGTCGTCGTCTTCCGAGTCTGAAGGTGCAACGTCTGATTCGGTGGGCGCCTCACTCTCCGCCCCGTCTCCTTGCTCGCTGCCATATGCATCCTCATCCGCCTCCTTGATCGTGTTCAGCCGTCTTCGTTTACGCGGGCCCGGACTCCGACTCAGCGACCTCGCCCCCGCCTCATCCCGCGGCCGGCGCGGTCTGACCGTCTTCACCTCCACGGACCAGCGACTCCCGTTCGTCCTCTCCTCCGTGCCTTCCTCTTCCGCCTTTTCAGTCTTTCCGTGTGCCAATGCGGCAACGAGCGCGTGCGCACGATGCGCATCCCAGTCGAAGGTGTAAAAGAGGCCGCGGGTGTTGTCGACTGCGAATTGGCAGAAGTATTCATCGGGCTTGTCCTGGGGTTTTCTGGGCACGCGTGATGAGGTCGGTTTGGATGGTTTAGAGGGAGGAGGGCTGGCGGAGACGATGCAGTGGGTGAGGAGAGAGGACGGGGAGACGGATGCAGTTGCTGAGAGCGTGAAGTAGACTTCGTTGGGAGCCTATGGGGGTATTGCGACGGTTGAGGATGGACATTATGAGAGAGGAAGCAGAAGCAGAAGGGTAATGGGACGCACGGGCTCGTGTATGCGCTTTGCGCGCACTGTTGGGAGTTGCATCGGTCGGAGAAACCAATGTAGTTTGATCACTACGTCCTTCTCCTTCGGTCGGCTGGGATTTATGAGTGCCCAGATGGAAGTGATGACCGCAATGCTCGGAAGCTTGTGAGCCGTCTCAACGAGGACAGTGTCGCCTACCCGGAACGTCTCCAGCTCGCCTTCAATCTCCTTCCTTCCCTCATCCTTGCGTCGCACACGGGCACTAAGCCGTGTCTTCCTTGGTGTATCATCACCTTCGAGGTCCTCTTTGACTTCCATTTCCACTCTATGTTCGTCATCCGAGTCCAAGTCCCAGCCCTGGGCATGCGCACTCGCATTCCTGAGCTGAACAGTGGAGTTTGGTTTGTTCCTCTGTTGCTTTCTCCGCCTCGCTTCTGTGCAGAACTCGACATGATACCCTTGATACTTGTCTTCGTCCCACTCCGCACCACCGGGAAGATCAGAGGGGCGAACGACGCGCGTGTGGTATGGTCTATCGAGGCGAACATCGTATACTGATGAACCATGAGCATCAGAGGAATCGTGGTGACGAGATGGGGTGACGACGGGTTGAAAGCGACTGGAGCGACGACGGGGAGTGGTTGGGTCTGGGACAGCCATTGTCGTTGTCGTCGACGTGAGACGCGTCGTTGTCGAGGAAAGCCGTGACAAGGACTACATTAGCGTGTCACGTGTGTGTGACGAGCGCGTCCATGTCACTCTCATCTCCAGATTTCACTTGAAACATCGACGATCTATGGGTCGTCCCTTGAGACAAAATCAAACATACTCTTTCTACTCCTCTACATCAAGATCTGCAGACCACGCTTCGTATTTATCCAGCTCTCCACTGTATCCCTTCAACTTGTCGCGAACCATAGAGAACCCATCCTTCCCCAGCATCAGCCGCAGCGGCGGGTCTTCGAGCCGCGATAACTTCAACACCTGACCTATCGCCTTCTCTGCGTCGCCTTTGACCAATGTCCCTCTGATGTATTTGCGGATCTGGTATCCGGCGAGAGCTTTGTTATCGTATGCTGGGTGATGGGGAAGAAGCTTCACGTTGTCGGCGAGCATCTTGGTTCGGAAGGCCCCGAATTCAACAAGGGTGATCTGAAGAAGTGCAGCATGTATGTGGGTAGTGCTCAAGTCACTGCTCTGTGTAAGCTCACCTTGATGTTCCAGGCGGGGTCAAGCTCCTTAGCTCCTGACTCACTTAATCCCTCGAGAGCTGTGGAGGTGTTCAGCCTTCGCTCCATAATCGGTTTACCGATGCTTACCATGTTTCCTGATCACATTTAATCGTAAGCTCGAATCCCCGAATAGACTAAAAACCATCGACTCACGAAGCAGCATAAAATCCATTCCCTGGAATACCCACCACTCCCGCCCCCGACGACACCTGCAATAGTCTTCCCCCCTGCGGCTTATTCTCGTCCCTAAACACCCGCAGCGCCTCTTGGGTGACGAACGCTGCTCCCCAGAAGTTGACCTCGAATATCGTTCGCGCATCTGCCTCGACCATCGTCTCGACCTCGGACAGCACGAGCACGCCCGCGTTGTTGAACACGACGTCGATCCGCCCAAAGTGCGCGAGCGCCCTGTCGAACGCGGCCTTGACCTGCTCGTGCTTCGTCACGTCCAGCTGAATCGGCAGAACGGTGTCGATGGCGTATTGTGCGGTAAGGTCGGATATGGCCTCGGGCTTTCGCAGCGTCGCTGCGACCTTGTCGCCGTTCTTGAGCGCAAGCTCGGTTAATGCACGACCGAAGCCCGACGATGCACCGGTGACTAGAGACAAATTCAGCCATTCGGTGTTCTACTAACTCAAAGGAGCCTTACTAAACCAGACTTTAGGAGACGACATCGAGATGATAATGCCTAACCCGGCCGCTGCATACGTGTTCTTATGAGCGAGCCACCGTGCCATTAAAATTTTGGACGAACGGCGTTTACCTGTGTTTATCCCGGTATCGTACTTAGCCTGCGCTGATCAATGACAGTGTCACTTGCTGACAATGCTTACCCCTTGCTGACTGACCGTTGTAGTTTCGGCAATTAAACTTCTCATATGTATTTGTCCATCGTTCGCCAGCTCTCGCACAGTTTAACACCGATAATTGCGTGCTTTTCTTAGGGAGTGTGTGCTGTTTGAAGGCGCGTTAGCCTCGTGTTAGCGCGGGTGAAGTTTCAAGTCTATCGATTGTACAGTTTAACTCACAGACACATCTCGAAATAGATATGTCGGCACTTTCAAAATTCTAATCCCTGTGTCATTTAGCGACAACATCAATGCTACACCTCCACTGTCATCTATCTAACAGTTCTCGAGTGTACCTACTCGACCGTAATCATTCTACTTGCCTTACTCATCTACATCAAGGTCTGCCGACCACGACTCGTATTTATCCAACTCTCCACCAAAAACCCTCAACTTGTCGCGAATGATCGGAGACACATCATTCCCCAGCATCAGCCGCATTGGTGGGTCCTCGAGCCGCGATAGCCTCAACACCTGGCTCATCGCCTTCTCTGCGTCTCCCCTAACATTTGGACTCATGACGTGCTTGTGGAACTGGTATCCCGCGAGACTTTCATTGTCGTACGCCGGGTGATGAGGAAGGATCTTCGCGTTATCACCAATTATCTGGGTTCGGAATACCCCGAACTCGAGGAGAGTTATCTGGAGATATGCGACGTTGATGTGGGTGGTATGTTGTTAGTAATCCCTTGGACGGAAGCTTACCTTGATGTTCCAGGCGGGATCAATCTCCTTCGCTACTGACTCGCTGAGTCCCTCGAGCGCTGTGGAAGTATATAGCCTTTGTTTTCATGAGCAAGAGTCGTCAAAACATACCATGTTTCCTGATAATAATCGATCGTGAGCACTAACCCTGCGCCCTATCAATGTAGCCTGACCACTCACGTAGCAGCGTAGAACCCATTTCCCGGAAGGCCCACGACTCCCCCACCCGACGACACCTGCAAAAGTCTCCCTCCCTGCGGCTTGTTCTCCTCTCTGAACACATGGAGTGCCTCCTGCGTAACGAACGCCGCACCCCAAAAATTTACCTCGAACATCGCCCGCGCATCCGCCTCAACCATCGTCTCGACCTCGGACATGACGTCCACACCCGCATTATTGAACACAATGTCGATCCGCCCAAAGTGCGTGAGTGCCCTGTCGAACGCGGCCTTGACCTGCTCGTGCTTCGTCACATCCAGCTGAATCGGCAAGAGGACGTCGGCGGAGTATTTTGACGCGAGGTCGGAGATGGCCTCGGGCTTGCGCAGCGTCGCTGCGACCTTGTCGCCGCTCTTGAGCGCGAGTTCGGTCAGTGTGCGGCCGAAGCCCGACGAAACGCCGGTAACTAAAGAATAGGGGAGCTCAGCGTTTTAGCGTCCGCGAAGTTCAAGTGGCCATCGGGAAGCCTCACCAAACCAGACTTTGGAAGAAGACATTGTGTTTCGTCCCGTGGCTTTCCTAACCTATGCCTGGCTCTCTTATATACCTTGCTTATCCGCATCGGGCTTGCGCAGAGTTTCCGCGACCTGCAGTATTAGTATATTAGTACCGCGTTCCTTTGAGCGCGGGTTATGTCAGACCATCGCTGACTACGACGAACACTGACGTTTACAATATTAGGTGGTCAACATTCAATGTTCGTGTTTGTAATCGTAATCAAAAAGCCGTAGCGAACCAGACTCTGGAAGATAATATCGCCATAATTTGTGTTGATTCTGTTCGCTTCAAAAACTGTTTTGTGTCTCTCAACAGTGTATAGCTCCTTCTGCATACTACTATTCATCTCAACAATTATCCATGGATTCCTGGCGCTATGTACTGGAATACCAAGTGCTGGTAGGTATTGAGCTCCAGGAAGTGGTTTAATCAGCGACAAGGTTTGTAATACCCGACCACAAGCCGGCCATACCGGGTTTTGTACTTCTTGACGATGTATAATAGCACATGTACGCGATGGACGACTGGTAGGGTGACTTCATGTATAATAGAGCCTGCCACACTCCGCATTTGAAATGGGTAAAGAAGGTACGCCAACACTGGGGGAAACGATACACTTCGTAACATACTCTATCAGCTACATTTATGATCGTCAAAATTTGAGAAATATGTAGAAAAAAAGTATCATTGTGAGGGTGGAGGGCTGGGACATTCCATTCCATTCCACAAATTATCAGCTGGTCACAAAAGGGCACAAATCCCGTATCATACACCTGGTTGTCATTATTGGAAGTCTCTGGTGCATTGGTGGGAATCGCCCTTCGCTCTATAGTCTGCGTGAGAGATGGCACTGCAAGCATTTCTCGATAATAGTGGCATTATTACTTGAAAATCATTTTAAATGTTAAGGTGAACGGGTTTCAATAATTAGGTCCTCATTATTTTATTTTTTATCAAAGACAGGAAAGGAAGTCGCCTGTCGCTGACCCTTGTCTTTGATAAAACTTTTAAATAACGAGGAACTAATTATTGAAACCCATTCACCTTAATATTTAAAATACTTTTCAAGTAATAATGCCACTATTATTAAGAATTGCTTGCAGTGTGGGGAAGCGGGATAGATAGGATCGCGGGAGAACGCGACGATTACATGAACCTATGAAACTAAATTTGGCCAACTTGGTATCAGTAGTATTCCATGAGTATCTCTATAATTTGACCCTCGGGTTTGTATCTCTTTCAACATTAATTACGAAAGACGAGTAAAAGGTAAGCGCGCTAATTATTTCGACGTGTTATTCAAGACCCATCCGTAAACTCCACCATCAAAGGCTTTGGTCTCGGTACTCCGGGAGTGCAATTTACAGTTATTGCAAGGTCTGCTGTCCAGAAACAATGGTATGATGAACGTTTGGAGAGGGCTTATTCGATCTCGCTTCCCGTCGGTCGATAGCTCTGCAAATAGTTGTTGTCTGACCATCAAACCCTCCGTATCTAGCCGACGCCGCATTGACGAAGTCCTTTAGAGCATCTGCTGATACGGACTTGAGAAGACGGTCAACACATTTATCAAAACTGTTGCTTTCTGGGATAGCTATAGGGGTGACGTTGCGCTGAGGAGTAGCTTGGACAGAGACAGCAGAGTGTGACGATTCGATCCCGCCAGAAGCAGTGACCACCTTGCAAACCGGCTGAGGTTGAGATTCAGCCAGAGAAACAGCGGTGCAAGCGGATGAAACTTGAAGAACATCGACTTTGGGCTGACGTGGAGTGGTAGAAGGTATGGAAGGATTTGCCTGGGGTTGAGTACGAGAATCGCGCTCGTGAGAAGTCCGGTCGTCAGGCCGATTCGAAGGCGGGTTAGGATGATGCACTAGAGAAGGAACAGACTGAAGGAGAGAAAGAGCATTAGGCATGAGAGTGGAGAGCGTATGATCTCCCACTGGCGGAGAACCGGCGACTGGTTCCTTTATAGCATGCGGCATGCTGGAGGCGCCGGTGAGTGGATCAGTCCGAGAAGTTGAAGTCGCCGTTTGACGAGGAGTAGCCGAAGGTAAACGGATGGTGCAAGGTTGAATTACCCTGGCTGCTGATGGCTTCGTGTCCTTCTTGGAGCAATTTGAAGAAGAGTTGGAGAGGCGAGAGGGAGGATTCCTAAGTGCGGGAACCGCCAGGGGATCAGGTGAGCTGGACGTAGATCTGTTCTGGACCGCATCGAGGGGACTGGGGGAGGTTGAAGCTGATGTACGGATGCATGCATGAAATTGGATCATGGTCGGGATGCGCTCTCGGCGACGTGGTGGCTTAGGGATGTCAATATGACCGTTAGGCTGACAGGACGGAGAAGGGCCACGCATAGTCGAAAGTGAACTTGATAAACCCCTACGTTGTTCATCCGTCTGTTCGCGCGATGAAGGGATGGAATGCTGAGTAGTCGCCTTCCGCGGAGTGGACGTAGAGGTATGAGTCTGCCTGGATACTGATGAGATCGACAGGCTAGATGCAGAGGTATGGGCGGCGTTGGGGTGACTGGTAAAACCATCGCGTTGACCCGGCAGCAAAGGGCTTTGACGTGGAGCGGACACGCGAGCTTGCTGAGCAGTCAGAGTCGGAGGCAGCCGGGGTTTAGTGGGTGGCATTGGCCGCTCATGCACATGGGTCGTACTATCGATGCTGGGAGGAGCAGGAGTTATGAGTTTCCGGCGAGGTGGGCCCACGGGATCCAACAAATGAAGTTTGAACCCTGTCCGACCGAGTTTGATGATCTCTACGTGCCTTAAACTTTGATCGTTGTATGAGTTACTAGTGCTAGCCGAGTTCTCGCCCGCATCGTGGCTGCTCATATCCTCAATATCTTCGTGCGTCATTTTCCTTCGTTTGTGCTTGCCCGAGGTGGGGCTGGCTCCGGGGCTGGGCGAACGAGAAAGTGACTCGCGGCGCCTAAGAGGCTGAAGGCTCTCCCCGCCCAGACTCCACATGCTTCCGTTTGTTCTTTCTTCAAGATTTGTTGTCCTAGGACGTCCCCTCTTCCGCTCCGGGAGCGCATCAACGATTATGCCCGCGTGGTAGTCGTCCCAATCCAGGTTGTAAAAGAGTCCCCGAGAATTATCCACAGCCAGTCGACATACGAACCTTTCACGCAACCTGCGCACTTGTAGATAAGGCTGTAAAGCCAGCTCAAAGGAGACGATACAGTGCGTGATGAGCGACGACGGGGGCACTGCTGCATTCGCGGCAAGGGAAAAGTAAACTTCATTGGGAACCTGCGAAAGGACGCAAAAGCTTAAGCGTGGGAAACAGGGATAAAAGAGGGAGACCTACAGGTTTGCGAACACCCTTTGCCCTCACAGTCGACAGCTGGCCAGGTCGAAGAAACCAGTGTAGCTTAACAACGACCTCTTTGCTCTCCGGGCACTCAGGGTCCACTAACGCCCAGACGGATGTGATGACTGCGACACTGGCGAGAGCATGAGCAGTCGCAACGAGAACGGTGTCGCCCACAGTGAATGTCTGTACTTCTTGCTCTTGACGTGAGACAATTGCCTGTACGCTAGACTTCCGCTGGTCGTCCATATTCCAGCCTTCAGCAAGTAGATTTGCCCTCTTCAGCCGAGCAGCCGTCGTCTCGGCGCTCTCCGCCTGCTTCGTCCGCGTGAATTCCGTGGAGAAGCGGGCCTCGTACCCATGATACTTGGCGCTCAACTCAACCCCATCACAAAGGTCAGAAGAGCGAATCGGGCGCGCATGGAAGAAGGTGCCGACGTCGATGGTACAGGGCGAGGAAAGCCCGGAGGAAGTTGACACGGGGAGGATAGGCTGAAATCGCGTTGACCGACGACGTACTAAGGAATTTGGGTCTGACATGATCGCTTTGGTTTTACTGGTTTTCTGGATGATGTGGTTGGGCAAAATGTAAGGTGCAAGCAAGAGGGAAGGTTATGTAAGTGACGGGGCGTGTGACAGTCTGGGTAACGCTCGGTAGGACGCGTACGCCGCGCGAAGTCGACTCAGGCTCTTGCAATCATCAAGCAATCAACCTGGCATCAGTCAGCGGACGAACAGACACAGCACAGCTTTAGATCAATGGCTTATATCATTGAAGAGGTTAACACGGAGATGCTGAGTGCATCTGCTGCCCTGCAGGCTATCGCAAAGCTCGTGGGTATCAAGTGTTACTTAAACTGTACCGTCTCGCTAACGCGTCAGACGTATTAGCTACCTGACCTTGCAAGCGATGTTTCTGTGAGTTTGAAGAAACTCTGTGCTACGCCCCGATATTAACATGAAGCTTTTAGAATGCCATAAACACCCCCTACGCATCCTACGCGAAAACGAACTACAGTGTTCCTACCGAAGAGGAGAGACGCGAGATCAGACCGATGATATCTGCCATATCGCTAATGATGGCCGACATGCAAGCCATCTCTGACACTTTGGTTAGCTTCTACAAGATGTCCCTTCAGGCTAGAAAGTCGTATCTGCGACTCGTTTCCCCCGTCGGTCGGATCCCCCCGGAACTGTTATCCAAGATCTTCATCCGCAGTGCAAGGAAGGCGAAGTCTCTTCTCCCTCCGCCAGAGGCGCGTATCCCATACATTCGTCATCACAAGAAAGCAAAGATCAGCCCAACCGGGTATCTCAATGTTGCCAAGGTCTGTCGTCGATGGAGAGACGTCGCCCTGAGCACTCCGAGACTGTGGACTAGGCTCGAAATCGCCCCCATAGATAGGGACATGTGGAAGAGTCAGACCCTTCTTACCTCATTTCCACTGCCTGTGGAGCCCCTGATAAGAGCGATGGGGCTCCCTACTTTCCTCACTCTTGATCTACGGGGGACAAGCTTAATTCAAGACACCAAGGTCGACTATCTCCCCGTAAATCCCGCGTGTAACAGCGTGCGGGCCATTGACATTGTGCGCTCCTGCTGTACGCTCTCCATCTTGGAGCTCTTTCAGTGGCTTTCCCAATTCGGCAACCTCACTCACCTTCTTCTCGACAACATCGGGATAGATGTTCGCTCTGAGGTTGGCTTCGATCAGGAATGGCCTCCGGCAGGTTTACCTTCCCTATTCTTTGATCGCTTGACGCATCTTCATGTGCGAACCGACATGATCTATCAGGTAGAAGAGTTCTGCTCTACTCGCACGTGGGGAAACCTGCGCTCGTTGACTCTTGATATGTATGACGGGAGCGAAGTTTGGTGTACGATTCTGGAAGTGATCTTCGACCACCTACCGAACCTCGTCGAGTTATGGATCGCAGAAGACGCCGTCGAAGAGGGAGGGGTTGGGCATTGGGATTCCACCCATATTACGTCCACCAAGATGCGAGTATTTTCGCTCACTGTGGACCGGCAGTATCTTCCTGACGAAGGCTATGCGATGGACCCCCTATTCGGCTCACTCAACCTTCCCGCTCTTACCGATCTCGTGGTGACATGCCCGCTGGAAGGCGATGTCGAGTTCTTACGAGGATTCCTCATACGCTCGCGATGCCAACTCTCCAGTCTTACATTCACAGATGTCCCCGATCAGGATCTTACAGATGCGGAGTCGAGCTTGATTCATCAAGCCGGGACTGGCTTGGGAGAGGAGTTTCATATCCAGTGCGTCACATATACGCGTACTTTGAAGGAGGCACGGGTTTTCCGAGAGGCAAAAAATAGCTGGTACGGCGTGGGCGCTAGGTAGCTTTCTTTTGGACGACGAGATACAGTGACTACCTTCTTGCTAGTGTTACGCTAACATTACCTTTACCCAGTGGAAGGACTTCGCCAACAGTGTTCTGTTTTGAAGTGACTTCTAAATTATAGCAGGAATACATGTAACGATGGAAATATTGACAGCCCGCATGACGCGCCCAAGCCTTTGTTTAGCCATTGTTTCTGATTACGTACTCTGATAATTCACCTTCGCTTTGCCCTCACTGTGGCATACGCACACGCTATGCTTGGATGCCAGAAGAACTTACGAGGATCCAACGACGTTATCCTGCTCATGCCTGTCCAATTTCGCCCGTTTGTAATATCGGGAACCCACCAGTATCCATGATCGACTCAGCTTAGCCGATTCTATTTCATTAACTGCTACAGCCGTTATGGGCGATGTTCCCTTAGCGGCCTGGGGCGAAATGCTTAGGGTATAACATGAGAAGCTCCGCTAGGTTTGGAACTTTCTAAAATGTTAGTCATGAGTTGGGTATTCAAGATATATTCACACCAGCTCAGGAAAGCAATCCGATCACATAACAATACCACATAGAAATAAAAAATCAGGAGAGATTGTTCATGACGTCTCCTTTGTTGGTTTACGCCACCTTGGACCCCATACGATGAGAGAAAGAGAGAAGAACATCCCAACAGCTACGATGCCTGCGAACAGGCCGGACGCTCGTTGGTCGCCTAGATCGGTGTATGCAACAGAGAGATAGAACGGTGCGATCTACACAGTATGTCAACGCACGATCGAAGAAAACAGTAAACAAAAAGACATACGAAGCCATACACCTGTCGCACGAACGAGATAAATACGGACACATCCGCTGTCTCGGCGCGATAGCTCTCTAACGCGTACGTGACACACATCGTATTTGCAAACTGGGCGCCGAACATTGCAATCGCTCCTCCAACCAGCTTTATCACGGAAGGATCAGAACACAGTCATTCACTAAATCTGAAGTAAACGGAAATATTAGACTCACAGGCGTAACGTTCCAATGCCCAATTTGTGCATTCTGAAGCTGCACGCCCCAAATAATCAAACCGACAATGGCAAGCAAGAATCCGGGAGTCGCGAGTACGAGACGGTCTTCCGGCCATATCGCCGTTCTTAACTCTTGCTTCTCGTTGACAACAGCACCTGTCGCAGTCCGACGGCGACGGGCACGCCAGTTGACAAACGCGTCACTTCCGGGGCCTGCGATGAACTCGCCAAGGAGGGCACCGATCAGGAGTCCGATGAATTGCAGCCCAGTCGTACCGGGGGTGAGATGGAACTTCACTCCGAACAGCTGAGGGATGAAGACGGGCTGGGAAGGTCAAGGTGAATGAACACGGTTGTGTAAATTTCGATAAGTGGCTTTACTAACCATGAGGACAGCGGTGTAGGTGAACACGAGCGTATGCGCCGCCGTCGCGAGCAAGACCACCGGTCTCCCAAACATGACGAGGAAGTGGCAGAACTCAGAGATGTGATACGGTCGTTGTGAGTACCTCCTAAAGTCAAGGAGCCAGTGCCAACCCCCTCTTCGCGAGACTTCTTTCTCGTCATACGGAGCACCAGGTTCGGTCCTATCTGGGAAGAACGTCTCCGGGACAAGGAAGAAGTGTGCGAAGAAGAGGAAGAGGTAGACAGCCGCAAGAAGGTACAAGGGGGTGCGCCAGCCCTTGTTCTGAATCATGTATCCTGCACTATTGGGGATCGAAGAAGCGCAATCATGATAAGGAAAGGCAAGAATGCAGTGGTGAAATATAACAACGTACACAAGTCCTCCAACCTGAGGGCCACAAGTGACCATTACAACCCACACGCCCATCTTCCTGCCACGCTCGAACGAGAAAGTCGTTTCTTGGACACTCGACGCTCCGATCGTCAGTGCAGGGCTCGTGAACAGCATCTGAAAGACACGCATGACCATGAGCGTGCTCCATGTCTGCGCGAACGCACTACCGAGCGCGAATGCGGCTGAAACTAGCGACGAAATAAGGTAGACCGGGCGGCGTCCGATGCGCTCGGTTAATGGAGCCCAGAAGATGGGTGCGATACCCATAAGCAGGATCTGGACGGACCTGGGGAATTATACATGTCAACACACGGATGGACGACTGTTTCATTTCAGACGTACGAGATGTAGGGAACCTCGGAGAGGGGGACATTGAAGACTTCGGCTAGGTCCTCGAACGCAGGTACCAACACGCCTGGAGACCGTGAATTGGATGAGTAGTCTCTTGAAACAGCTCATGAACATACCTCCACTGAAAGGGACCATCATTGCGTGGAATGCTACAAGAGCTAACACGAGATTCTTTCTCCACCTATCATAATATCATTACCACTTACCGGACGGCCACAGGGAGTAAGGGATGATACATACATTGGCCAGTTCAGCGGATCTACCGGAGAGTCGGAGGGCATAGGAACCAAATCCTGTAAACGTGATACATACATCAACAATACTAAGCAGAGAGCGGGAACACTTACGATGCGACCATGTCGTCTCAACACCTCTGTATACCGGCTGTCCGCCTCAGCAACTTCCGACCCGGGAGAGTTGATCTTCTCATTGTGCGCAGAACTTGCACTAGTCTGAACGCTGACACGTTCCGAGTCGTCCATGCTGGGTAGCTGTCAGCCCAGTGTATGAGGGGAAAGCAGAAAAGGAGGAAGCACCGAGCGTTGCAGGGCTAGCTGATAAGCCAGGAGAAAGGCTGGCTAAATTAAACTTGACACAAGCCTAAGCGAGGTCCATCAACCGAAGTCTGATTCTCAAGAAGCTCACGCTCTTTCCTTGTAGGTAAAGACCGGCCGCTCTCGTGATGGTTGATGACACCATCACAAAGCTTCCGGAGTCTCCTGATACGAGACGCCGAGTAACCGCAAAGAACCTGTTTGGAACGAGCATAGATCGGTGGATGTGAGCCCCAGGAATGAGGGAGATCAGATCGGAAGAGGGACGTGTTTCAAGTGGAAACTTGCCAAAGCGGGGGGGCAAGGGAAATGACCGCAAGATCCAGGAACGCCCAGAGCAACTGCCATCAAAGGACGTCGGGCGCTTCGGCGGCCATGACGCGGGCTTTAATCGTCGGGTGTCACCGCGTCTTCAACTCTGCCTAGCTCTGGCCCATGCAATAGAACTATAGCAGACTGTGTTCTACTCCAGACATACAAGTTGACGTCTATTCCAGCATTTGCTACTACGCTCTGGCGGAATACAGAATTTCGGGCTGCAGCTTGCACCGTGAGAGCTTTATAGCAAAAACTAGGGAGTGCAATGACAACGTACCATTGGAGTATGTTTACACCTATACCAACAATGGACGTGGCCGCCCTCCTCGCATCACACTCCTTGGGCACCATCAGTTCTTTAGCATGGGTGTGTTTTATGTGCGATGGTCTACACCCGTGGAGTAGAGGTGCGTCATGCGGATGATTGTGGGCTTCAAGATCAACCTATATCAAGCGGCGGTCGATCGGGCAATTGACAACGAAGTTTCTCCACCCGCCGGCATTTCGTGGAGGAAGCAGTCGCTCGGGGTCAGATAAATGAAGGAAGAATCGCGGAAAGGGATGCGACAGATATACGCTATGGCAGTCGTATCAGGTCGTATCGCAAACACTCGGATAGAACACCAAAGGCGCATATAAGAATTGTCTGCAATTTCCCTATTTAACGTACGATCAATGTGATTAACATTAAAGCGAAATGCAGAGATATACCATGGCCGTGAAGGCAAAATACAAAGAAGCCCAGTCCACCATTCCTAGGCATCCAATCATGCACTCTGTCGCCAAGCTGGTCCCCAAAAGATACACGCTAGTGTCAATAGCATCGCGAAAGCGGTGAGACCAGCCCATAGCGCAGAAGCTGGTAAATCACCCATATTCGTGTATGCGACTGATAGATAGAACGGCGCGATCTGATAAAACACATACACGCAGTCATGACAATGAAGCGGTCGTGAGAGGTAGTAGTATCACTTACAAAGCCATAGATCTGCCGCACAAACGAGATGAACACTGACACATCTTTGGTCTCGGAGCGATAGCTCTCAATTGCGTAAGTGACACACATCGTGCTCGCGAATTGGTTTCCGAACATGGCGATGGTGGCCCCAACAATCTCCAAGGGACATTAGCACTCATGTGAGAAATACGAGGGAAAGTTACAGACGGGAGTAACGTTCCACTTCCCGGGTGTCGCATTCTGCAACTGCGCACCCCAGATGATCAACCCGACAATGACGAGGATGAACCCAGGGGCAGCCGGAATCAGACGATCCTCGGGCCACAGTGCTACTTTAATGACAGCAGAAGCATCGCCGTCAGGCTGAGCGGGAGCAGCGAGACGTTGTCGAGCGCGCCAATTAACATACAAGTCACTCCCGGGCCCAGCGAGGAGCTCGCCGAGCACAGCGCCAATGAGCAGCCCGATGAACTGGAGGCTCATCTGACCTGGAGTCAGGCGGAACGTTACACCGACGAGCTAAGTTTGTAATTTGAGTTTGATGAATGCAGATAAAGAACCGGTGGCGTGAGCTATTGATTCAGGGCGCAAGGGATTTGGCCATGAGAGAAGCCAGGCTCACCTGTGGGATAAATATGGGCTGTTTAGCACATAGTACCATAGTCGGTGCCCAGATGAGCTACTATTTTTGACTTTTGGCGTGACGTGGAGGTGCTCACCATGAGCACGACTGTATACGTGAACACGATTGAGTACGCGAGCGTCGCAAGCACCACGACCGGCCGGCCGAACATCACCAGGAATCGGAAGAACTCCGTTGCCTGATAAGGCTTCCGTGAATACATCCGGAAGCGGAGGAGTGACTGCCAGCCCGAGCGGTGGGTGACCTCCTCAGTATCAAAAGCTTCGCCAGGCGCTGCTCTATTTGGGAAGAGCGTCTCGGGCGCAAGGAAGAAGTGAGCGAAGAACAAAAAGAGTTGGAGAGCTGACACGAGGTAGAGTGAGGCGCGCCAACCCTTGAACTGGACAAGGTATCCCGAGCTATAGGCTGTTAGAACGTGGAGGCATAGTGTGAACGAATAAAACATACACAAGAGGTCCCACAAGTGGCCCACACGTTACCATCAGCACCCATACACCCATCTTTCTCCCACGTTCGAACGTGAACGATGTCTCTTGCACACTCAATGCACCGATGCTGAATGCAGGACTGATAAATATAACTTGAAAGACTCTTGTGGTCATCAAGGCACCCCAGGATTTAGCGAATGCACCTCCAAGCGCAAAGGCTGCGGAGAACAGGGCCGAGATGAGGTAAACCGGACGCCGCCCGATCCGCTCAGACAGGGGTGTCCAGAAAATGGGTGCAATGCCCATGAACAGGATCTGAATTGAGCTGTAGGCGTCATGATAAGCGCGCGAAACATAGATGATGAGGCTATATAATCGACGTACACAACGTACGGCACCTGTGCAAGTGTGACACCGAATTCAGTGACAAGGTCTTCGAATGCAGGTACCAAGATGGCTATAAAGAACGGTGAGCCAAGTTTCACGTCTTCAGGTACACGATACGACACACCTGCGCTGAATACAACCATCATCGCATGCATGGAGACAATAGCCAAGAGAATGCCCTTCCGCCATCTGCAAGTGCGTTTGTTAACCCCTCAAGCCCATGAGACAAGCAACTCACGACGACCAGTTGAGTGGATCCGCAGGAGAGTCGGATGGCATAGGCACCAGGTCCTTTGGGGCGCGTGAGACAAACAAACAAGCCAAATTGGAGCACTACGTACTGTTCGCCCATGACGTCGAAGGACCTCAGCATACTGGTCAGTCGCGATTCCATCGTGCAGCGCGGACTCCTTGACGGACGGGCTCGCCCCAGTTTCGACACTCGAGTGCTCATCCATGGGTGGCGAACAAGAGAGCGGAGATTGGAGCTTGGCCGAGGTTTAAGCCCTTTGAGGGACCAAATAGCGTTCGATCATCACGAAGCCATTGATCATTGTCGACGAAGTAAATTTCTGATACGTCCGGACGTCGCATTTCGGGCCGCGCCGAGTCTGCGGAGAAGTCAACTGTTATTGCTCCATATATGCAGACCCCTATCCCAGCCTATCTCGCTCTGTCAGTTGTTTCTCGTCCTGGTGCAAAGTGCAGTCCATGTCACATACTTGAATTCCTATCCACTCCAGCCAGCATTATAAAGCAAAATTCTGACGTATAGGATGTGAACTTGAGTGTTTTCGTACAACGCGGGATTGCGTCGCTGAGTATCGACCCTGAGACACGCGGGTCCCGTGGAGTCGGGGAGCAGTTGGTCGCCGCCCTATACAATCTATAAGTAGCAGAAAACACGCACCAACGTGAGGGTGAATCCAGTTGACTGCAGGCGTCAATCGTGGCGCGCCCCTGATCAATGCAGCGAAGATAAGAGGAAAATGGGCAGGAATAAAGTATGGTGCTCACACCCCCACCGCTCCCCTCAGCTACTATCGCTTGAAGTTACCCATGAATGCCTTCGAACCACGCCGCCCAAACTTCCCAATATACATCCTGAAAACTTCGTTGTTTGCTAACGACCAGTCGTCCCGTTGCTGACCTTGAGCGGCATGGTGGATGTCACGAATGAGCATAACATATTCATTCAGATTCGATAGCCAAAAGAGGGGGTACGAAGGGCGTCAACGCAGTATCGAGTGACATTGCAGGTTGCATCCGACCAGATTCGACCGTAACAGCTCGTCAGAGTACCCACATTGAGGACCAGCTTGTATCTCCGAACATCGCATCACCTTATTATGAATCTCCGCTACAAACTCATCCGCCACCAACATGCTTTCGTCGCAAACTAGTGCTATTTCTGTCGACTCGTCATTGTTTTTTTGCACGGCACATCGCTGACAAAACAAGGCCCTCTGGGCGAGCCTGGATACAACTCTCTAATATTGCTGCCCATTCGTCATTCTTTATACACGATTATGTGGATTGCTTGATCTGTTGTCAAGGAAACATCGGATTATCACAAATCGAGTAGGTAGTGTACGAATTCTGTGAGGTTACAGTTCGCACCAAATTCTGAAAATGCATAGCGCCTTGCCAATCTCTTATGATATTAGCCTCCAAGTTCGAGTCCAACTCACTGGGCTCCCCTTGGGTTTGGGATGACTTAGGTGAGAAGTTACGTCACTGGACTGGCACTTATGAAGGCTCTGACACGCTCCTCTCTGAATTTAGTGAAAATTGCAGCGTCTCTCACACCCACGCTAGGTGACTTCACCAAAGTCAAATATGTGGTTATTCAAGCGGACACGACAAAGGGTGCAGTTGGCGGTGTAATTTTCGAAAGTCACAAGGCAAAGGAGATACTCGGCTTGGAGTTTATGACTATGGAGAATATGGTGGAAAGTACACTAGAAGACTATCGTAGAAGGGGTTGGCTCGCATAAGATACAGAGAACTATGTCAATCCGCGAACATGTCCAAACTGTTATCTTTTGGGCGTTTAGTACTAGTGTGTTTAAACTAGGCCGAGTTTGATTGGTAGAAACGAGTGATACAGTGTTGTAAGTAGGTCTTTGGTCAAGAAGTTCTCTGTTAACAACGGCTTATCGTTTCCCGATGTTGCCGAGGATTCGTATGGGTCTATTTTTTGTAGAGCATACAGATAGGGGCCAGATCACGGAGGATATGTTAATGCCACCGAGTTTTGGCGTGTTGGACCTCGTACTCTTACCACCACCGGTTAGCCCCAGTCAGAATCGACTCTTTGGGAATCGGTAAAAAAGTGTCTCTCGCATAGATTTTTCGAAGTAGATTATTTATAATTGAATGGCATCGTTTTTCATCTTCAAAAGATAGTTTATTTCGAGTGATGAAACCAGTAAAAAACTATGCGAAACTATGCTAATCCATGGGAATCCATCCGAGATGAAACGAAACGAAAACCATAGAAAACCATAGCAGGAGAGAGACTCGCATAGAAAACCACAGGTCGACAGAGTCAATGCAAGTCGGGCGCGGGAGCAGCAAACGTCGGGTCAGAGCATAGCATAGCAGAGAAAGCCATAGAAATCGCCAGAAAACGGGTCTAGGCGGGAATCGGCAAGAAATTGGGTAGACGAGCAGGGCGCCGAAGTCGTCGAGCAGGCGGCATAGAATACAAGGCGCGAATGGTCAAGAAATTGAGTTGTCGTGAGGCGGGTATTGGATCGTGTAACGGGGCTACTTGCGAGAGTTGAACTTCTTCCGGAAAACCTAAGAAAACGTTAGTATAGTTGATACCAACGAATAGAAGGCTTACTGCTTTCTCCGTGGCGGGTAACGCCTTCCACTCGGTCTGGTACTCCTTCTGGATACCTGTGCCTCCGTTGTCCTTCCACCACACCTCGTCACACCACAAGCTTCTGTAGGCGCCGTGAGCAAACGCGTTATTGGTGGTGCGTATACACTTACTGGGCATTCGTGACGTCTGGCTTCTTCATCGGCACGCGAGTGCGCGGCTTCTTGGTTTTGGCACCGGCTGTGTCGTCACAGCTACGTTTGGCGGGAACTGTGGCAGTGGACATGTTTGTGACTGCGTTGTTTAGTGGGCTGGTCATTTGGGAGGGCGTCAAAGCCGGAGCGCGCGGGGACAACTCAGCGGGTGACAAAGGACTCCTGCCCACTCCTTCATGACGATCTCCGTCTTCGTCTTCGGAGTCCGAGTGGGGGGTTGGATCGCATTTGTCACTAGAAACCAGGTTAGAGTAATCTACACATAAATTGATTGCATACCAGGGGTCTTCTAGCTCTAACGGAGCCAAACGACGCGTGGGAGAAGGAGACGTTGGAGCAGTCGAGGGGGAAGCACCAGACGATGGAGGAGATGAACCGGCCTCGGAGGGAGAGCCGGCGCCACCAGCTGGAGGTGTTTGAGCCGTAGGAGGTATGGCGGCCTCCGGGGGAGAGTGGGCACTGCCAGCGGGAGGTGTCTGAGCCATGGGGGGTATGGTGGTGTCGGTTGGTGAGGTGATGTCGGGAGATGTCTGAGCTGCAGGAGACGCAGTGGACTCGGGAGGAGGCGCGGAAGCTTGAGATGGTAGAGTTACCGGACTCGGAGTGGATTCCTATACCGAGTAAGAGTCCTCGAGAATAATGAGAGCATACAACGACATACCTTTGACCCCTGCGTTTGAGCTATCCTCTTCGACTTATTCGGCTGAATATTACAAGTGTAGCAATCAACAATGAACAGAAAGAAAAGGAACGTACCTTCTTACGCTTCTCCGGAGGTCGCGTGTCCGGTATAACACCCCTATCCATCCACCTCCCAGCAATTTGAGGGAACTTCGCCTTCGCGATATGGCGAACCTTCCAATGGCGGTGACAGAGACGAAGGACAGGGAACAACCGCTCCATGGTATTGATCCACCAAACCTGGTCTTCGACGGCAAGCTTTGTGAATGTTGCTCTCCCGCGACCTTCATTGCCGAGGAACTCGAAGGCATCTTGAGCCATGTTGAGGACGTCGATGACAGCCTGGCCATCGACGCACTGGCCGTCCGTCTTCTGCAAGTAGGTGTGAGTCTCGTTAATGCCCTGACGCAGCCGGTAAGTCCCCTTTTTCCCCTTCTCCTTCTTCTGCCCCTGTTCATTCTCATCGCCAGCCATTCCCTCGCCAGCCTTGGCATCGCCATCGCCCTCGCTCCAGTTATTCTCGTACCACGTCTTGACGCAGGGGTAGTCCTCGGCTTCAAGGTGGAGATCACCCTCGAAGAGCAAATCCCCTGACATCTTGTCTAAACCCGTCTTGTCGGTCTCAAACAGAAGTCGAGCGCGAGTTGCAAAGTCCGTAGGAGGGACAGAAGCGGGAGGGACAGGTGTCAGCGCAGAAGATGTGAGGCCCTCTCGGAGATCTTTGATAGTATCCCTACGAAAGTAGTGCATACAGGCAACGTAATTGACTTGTCCAAAATAGACTCACCGATATGCCTCACATTTCCCATTGAGTGTCCGGATTTGGTCCCGAAGCTGTTTATTGGCCTGGCGCAGCTCACGAGGCGTTGCCAGGATCTCGTCATCAGACACGTCCACGGGGATCTAGCTGCATATGGTAGCCCGTACCTCCCAATATGAAATTATGAACCTTACCTCGGCAACACTGCCACTGGTGGACTCTAGAAGCATCTCGTCACTAGCCATATCCGTTGGACACAATGAGAAAGGTTAGTCGGGGAACACGGATGACAATGAGCACACAACAAAAGAGAGTTTGCGCGCTGACCTGATCCTATCTGTGCAGTTCTCGGCAATTTCCGATCTGATTTTGTCATCACATGATCTGTCTGCACGACCTTGGTAAACTCGCGCTCATATCTGACCACACACCAGACCAAAATGTCCACCAGCGAAATCATACCGACCCATCCCTGCACATCGCATCTCGATCAAGGCGCCGAAGCAGCGGATACATCTGCCAAGCCCACGTCAACTGCTAACGACAGTTCATCCGAGCTGTCGTCCTTGTCCGAGAGTTCGGACAACCCTGTCCTCTTTGAGACGTCTAACGCTGACACAACTGCAATCACGGTGAGTCTAAATCAGACTCTCGTGTGATTTACTCACTGGCGCAACTCCCAGGAAGCTCCTGCGAGCGAGGCTAATACCTCCATGCGCAACAAACCGGAAAGCGACACTGACAGCTCCGACGAAGAATTATCCAAACGCAGGCGAGCACGCAGGAAGCGTGAGAGGGAATACCTGGATGCATTACCCGTGCGACAGCGCCTCCGGTACATGGAGGACCATCGCTCTCTGCTCGCAGTTGAGCAAGAGTTGACTCTATCCGAGGTACGTCTTTGTATATCTCTTTGTAATGCATATATTCACCCCTCCCCCAGATTGAAGAGGGTGAACACCTCGACGAGGAGGAGGGGGAGGGGAATACAGCATTTGAGCGAGCAGCATGGGCCAATTTTGTCCATCGTCGCGTGAATCGCATTATGACTCATCCTCGTGTGGCTCGTTATCGTCGCGCATAAAAAAGGGTCTGCTTTGCTGTCAATTGCTGTTATTCAGTTGCTTTCTTGCTCCACTGTCCGTTTGTCTGTAGATCACATGCATGTGTGTATTGAGTGTATGATACAATAGAGAAAACTAGTTCGAATCAGTGTGCAGAGACTGCGATGAGATCAAGTCCTCCAAGGCACCAAAGACGGCTACATCGAGTCCAGGCTTCTCCATCGCAAAGTGGAGGATCTCGTTGTGATTGGGGAATTTATGAGGCACCATTGCGACAACAGATTGAATAGTCTTGACATTGATGACACGGAGGGCAGTGTCTCCGTGGTATCGGCATGCATGTATGTTGTTGAGGGACTTGTCACGAAGCTGAACGTCAGGACGGCCGTATAAGGATACCATGGCAAAGCCCATGGTGACATCGTTGATTTTTGCAATGAAATAGTAGCGAACCTCCGCGTACGAAGGCTCTGTACTATGTGGCATCATTATCTATGGCCACAATTAGCGAGAAGAGACAAAATGCAAAGCGGCTGCTTACCTTCACGTTCCGAGATTGTCGGACACCCTTGGTCATTGTGGCTTCCTTCCACGCAGACCTAGCAATTTGACCGTTTGGTAGACGTAGACGAGCACGGCGTTGTAGTGAGGGTATGCCCTGGACAATAAAGCCATGCTCTCGGAGAGCAGACGAAATTGCGCGCGTTTCCAGTGGTACAACCGGACGCAGGTACCGCTCAACGCGAGCTAAGATGATGTACCCATCACCAACATCACGCGATGCAGCAGGTAACTTGTCATTTGATTGGCTGTCCTCGTTGTCGGCATCCAGCTCAGGATAGAGCACCTTGATGGCGTTCACACGTGCACGGTGAACAGCGCGATTGGCGAGGTTGGCATATGGGTGAGTGTGTGATCGGATTTCGCGACCAAGATCCCCGATCGTCCGTTCCATCGTCCACTGGGAGGCGCACAAGGGAGGTCCCTTGCGTACCACCTCGCGGGCTAAGTGGGTGACAGCGTGTAGCCAGGGCCGCACGAAATGCAGTCGCTCAGGTAATCGTTCAACATATATCTTCTCAAACTCGTCAGCAAAGCTATTGAGCTGAGTTCTTGCCTCTTGGACTTGTTCGGCGCTGATAGAATGTTGTGAAAGTAAGCGGATCCCGCGTACAAGGCGGCAGAAATTGGTGTAGTATGGATCGGGTAAAATACCTGTCACGCATAAGTCCAAAACTGATTGGACAAGGATTAGTACGTACCAAAGTAAAGAGCCGGTCCAAGGCCATAGAGATACAACAGCCATTCCCAGGCCTTGTATCCACTATTGAGTTTTTTGGCAATATCGCGAGGTGGCCGGTCAAATGACCCTGGCAGAAAAGTTGCCAAAAGACGAACAATGTCACCATGTTGGTCCCAAAGTTCCTTATCTGCAAACACAGCCCACTTCCACTGGTCCGGATCATCGGTTCGATGGTGGGTGAACTTGCCGCGCCATAAGGGAATAAAGAGATCGCCTACATTCAGTGCAGCGATATGCATGATGTCGGACCCAAAGAGTTTGGGGATGGGAAGTGTACGCGGGAGTCCTAGGAATATAGTGGGCTTTACGATGCCGGTCTCGAGTCGAAGATTCCTGTATGAAGTCAAGTCAGAAGCGCCAGCTACGTGTTCAAGATTGTCGTGGTAGTTGCCCGAGCCAGCACGTGGAAGGTCCTCTGCGTGAATACTGGGGTGCATGCACCCATCGACATCGTATCCTCGGGGCTTCTTCAAAGCGGGGTAATAGTGAGGTTTTTGCGGTGGATGTCGACCCGGAAAACCGCAATAAAGGCGACATCCATATTTACCATGATGGCCCACAAGCCCTGTGATGAAGGCCATTCCCGGCCCGTCTGCTACAACCACGAATAAGTAGAGATACGTTGTCCGAAGTCGATTCTCAAGGCCGTCAAAGATGACAAGACCCTCGTTCTGCACAGCTGCGAGGTGAAAAAGACCGGGGAAAAGGAAAGAGTCGAGGTTCTTTGGTTTGTTGGGGCCTGGAATGACAGCGCCTGGGAGTACATATTGTTTCTTGTATCGATGGTCGGGGGACTGGTCGAATAAGACCCAAATATAAATCCAGCAGTCTGACTGCTTGCACGCGTAGAGCTGTGCTCCGTCAATTGAAAACATGAGGACTGTATCGCCAGATTGGATCTTGCCCTCGTCAAATGCACGAAGATAGTCGTGTCCTTTTGTGATATCATCAAACTGATCGAGAACGCTCTTGTCACCGTCCCTGAGCTGGTTTCGGATGTGCTCAGTTATTGTGTCCCGCCAGCGCATGCGAGTGGCACTGTCAACATGTCGCCAGAGAGCCTGTATCTGAAATGCAAGCGGCATTGTGATGAAGGTGCGGCGTGGTACTAGAGCGTCTTTAACAGATTTACGTGGCTCATACCTTTCTTCTCCGCACTTCGGGCACTTTTCGAGCTCATCAAGGGGGCCTGTAAAAGCAACGCACGTCCCAGGGCACATATCCGACCTCATTGCCTCCACTCCGGTCAACTTCGCCAGCTCATCTTCTACCTGGGCCTTGCTCAGGCACTTGAGCCCTTCAATCTCTTTCTCAATCGTCCGGCACTCTCGCGCATACTGCGCATCTGTGGGATTTCCCAGAATAAAGCTAAGTGATATGCGAAGAGCCTGTTCTTCTTTGAGGTTGACGCGACTGGTAGGTGGGTTTCTAAGTCTGTCGCGAGCCGTTGCAGAAAGGGGGTGGTGATGAGCATCATCAATACACGCATTTTTGAGCAGGTGGATATATTGTTGGGCTAGTCTGACATCCTCAACAACGGTGGCTTGGTGGATAGCATCCACCTCTTGGCGGGTATAGCTGGCTGTTGCGTGAGTCCGGGAGTTTGTGGTAGACTCTGGTGGTGGAGGCTCTTCAACCGCTGGTGAGAGTGGTCTTTCATCCGAATTGCCCGACTCCCCCTGATCGTTTGTCTCCCCAGCTCCCCCTGGGCCTGTAGTCTCCTCGTTGGTTGCTTCCTCGTTGTCTCCCTGGTGTAGCTCACCCAGCGGCGACAGCTCTTCTTCAAATTCGTTGGGGTCGAACTCATCTAGTGGATTACTAGCACCTGTGTCCTGTTCGGGGATGTCTTCAAACTCGAACGTGTCCTGCCCAGTCTTTAGTACGGTAAAAAATACTGTGATCTGAACGTACCAGTGCAAGCTGCACTTGCAGCATAGTCTCGTCAGTGACATCGACGAGGTGCATGTCCACATCCTCGGGAAACGGCGTCATGGTATGGTCATCTCTCTGACAATGATGGCATGTAAGATGAGTTATAGCGGGAGATGGAGTGAACACGCACCTCAGCCAGTGTCTCAGACCCCTGCTCACTGCCCACTTCGCCTGGTGCAAGCTCCTCCGCCTCCATTTCAACCTTGTACTCAATGATATCATCATCATCTTCAGGAGCGTCCTCAACGCGAGCACGCTTTGAGCGTGTCTCCTCCTTGGCGTGAAGTGAGGGCGAGCGAGAACGCGAACCCGGACCTGTAGATGGGCCAGCCACAGGTTCGCTTGCACGGGGGAAGACCTGGTGCATTGCTCGAAGGGCATCCTTGGCGGCCTGTGGCAGGCCCGACGTTCGAGCGTTGGTGGGATTGTGAACGTAGTAAGTTGATACGGCCACATATAGTGGTTGGCCGTGGTTCTTGGCGCAACAGCGATCGCATGAGCAGAGCTTGTACAGGCCTTGCTTGACGCGATCGTCATTACCGTTAACCGGGGGTAGCTCGCGCGGCATCGTGACTCGGAGGGCAAAGTGTAGTGAAGGCGCGCCGCGTGGACTTAGTGTATTTGCGATGCTCGGTTGACTCAGCCGCGTCGAGTAGCCTTACTTTAATTTGGCCGCCTCGTTTAGATGAAATGCGCGTGTGGGTTTTGTTTCTAGTGTAGACTACATTAGATCTAAGCTATTCTCCAATCTAAGTTGAGCTCATTTTCGCTCGAGTCGAGAATGTCGTCGCCGGATACAAATCGGCTTCCGGAACTGATGATTACAAGTGCGAAAGTGTCACGTCGTCATCGAATTCCGCAGATTGTACATATTTAGATAGAAGAACAACGATTCCAATAGAGGGTGTTTTCACTGGGGGTTAGCACGCGAAACGGCTTTAATTGGCCTTGAAGATATGTTTCCAAGACTCAGGATTGGATTGGATTGGAAACGTCGACTGAACCCCCATCACCTGATGTGGCCTATGCCACGAACAGAAAACATCGGCGCACGTGGGTCACATTTCACTTTGGTGTACATGGTCATGCGCACAGCGGCGACTATGCACGTATGTCGCGTATTGAGCCCGATGGCGATGTTGCCGATAACAGGTTCCCAGCTCATGAAGACCACGATGACGGTGATACGCCTCTTCTCTTCCTTTCTCTGGTCATCATGTCTATGCTAAGTATCCTTCGCGAACCTGCCTATGCAACGGGGATCGCCGTTGCTTCTTTAACCTTGGCTCTGCTCCTCGTTCGCCGCTCACGCCATTCTGGGAGGGAACGATGCACCATCCCGGGACCCAGACCTTTGCCTCTTCTCGGGAACGTATGGGGCTTGAGTGTCAATGCGCCTTGGCTAAGCTATAAGAGGTGGAGTCAGACTTATGGTGAGTGTCATTAGTCCCATAAGATTGAGCTTTAGAATGTTCACAGCGGGGTCTTATCAGGCAAGATCTTTCGAACCAGTCTACTCGGGCTTGATATTGTCGTGGTAAACGACGAGGAGGTAGCGCGGGAGCTTCTTGACCGGAGGTCGAGCAAGTACTCGGGGAGGATGTGGTTCCCAACTACCGAACCGTTCGTTATCTGCTCTTTCTCCCTTCGGATTTAGATTGACTTAATACGTGCCAGATACGGATTCGGCTTTGTAACCACCACGATTGGCTACACGGACGAATGGCGTGCTCACCGCCGAGTTCTACACCATCATTTTCGAGCAGAGGCCGCGCGCGACTATCGTCCAATGCAGATACGCAAGGCGCATCAGCTTCTAGCCAATATCTTGGAATCACCTACCGACTATAAAGACCACATACAAACGTAGAGTTTCTGCTATTTCGACGAGGGGTATCGCTGATATGCAGCAGATTTTCAACGTCAATCATCATGTCTGCTCTGTATGGCTATCAGGCCCGACCTGTCCGTGACCCTCTGGTTGAGAAGATCAATCGTACGCTCGATATTCTTGTTCAGGCCGGCTCACCGGAGAAGGCTGCCCTAGTGGGATTCCTGCCATTCGGTAAGTGGACCTGTTTCTGCCCTCGCCGATATAGCTGACAATAGGTATCAGTGAAATACATACCCCCATGCCTTCCCGGTGGAAGTTTGAACGCCGCTAGTTGCAGGGAAAGCTGTAGTGCATTCACTGATGAACCTTTCCATCATCTTGAAGAAACAATCGTTCGTACTGTTTTGAGCAATTGGTTGACTATAACGCTGATAAGGTTCACAGGAGCCAGACTCATCAGTATGGACTGTAGGTTATCAAGGGGTCACCGATGTTATGCAGTCGCGATCGAGTAATCCAGGCGGCTTGCAGCTGGTTCAGGATGTCTGCGGTGCAGCATTTGCGGGTAAAGAGCGTTTAGTGCTTCCGCTAGAAGCTTATTATCTGATATCGTTGATGGACCTGCAGCCGGAGCAGAGACGGTGAGCGAGATCATTGTCCATGTTGAACGGGTCTGAATGCTGTACGTTCAGACATCTTCAACTCTCCTTGTCTTTGTGCTCGCGATGGTATTGAATCCCGACGTGCAGAAACGTGCCTACGCCGATATAACTCGTACCTGTGGGAATGATAGACTGCCGACATTCGAAGATAGGTTATCTCTCCCGTACATAGAGGCCATTGTACGAGAGACGCTGCGTTGGTATCCAGTAGCTCCCCTGGGTGGGTGATCAAATTTAAAGCGCCCGCACTTCAACCGACTCACATGGATCCGTAGGCATTCCTCACAGCACAACCGACGATGATATATACGAGGATCACTTCATACCGAAAGGTATGCATTTCGTCTCTTATAGGGATATCCTTCTGAATGATGGATCACGCAGGCACTACCGTGATGGTGAACGTCTGGTGAATGCTGACTGGGACAACTGTCGGTTCCATGCTTACTTTTATCACCCAGGGGTATCTGTCGGGATGACACCCGTTTTCGTCGGCCATCCGATTTTGTTCCAGAACGCTTTCTGAGGAATGACGGAACATTGAATGATGACACGATGGATTTTGTCTTTGGGTTTGGTCGGCGTATTTGTCCAGGGAAACATCTCGCCGGTGCCTCGCTCTGGGCAGCGATCGCATCCATGCTCACCATCTTTCGCTTCGAAAAGGCAAAAGATGCGAACGGTGTCGAGATAGACTTTGTGCCAGAGTGGTCGTCGGGTTCAACGTCGTGAGTGTTTATTCATCAGTCAGGCTTTCAGGCAATAATGGCTTGCTGACACGACCATAGATATCCGAAGCCATTTCCTTGCTCTATCTTACCCAGTTCTACCGGGATGAACATGTCTCGTCTAGTACAGCTGTGACACGCTCTCAGCACGCGCTACGCATTCCTCATTTGTGTCTTCATCGTTCCTGCAATAAGACTTTATGACAAACTCAGTTATCCTCACGATAATGAAGTCTGGCTTATAAGTACTAGTACAAGGTATTCGTACATTGAACGTGTATCTACCATTATACACTCGTCGGGATGAGCTTTAAAACCTAATCCAGGCAGTACCATCTGTCCTTTGCCTTCTGATAAATCCGCGTCTCCTTCAGATTGTATGTGAACTCCACAGACGGAATGCCAAATTCTTCCCCTAGGCTAACACCGACGCCACGAATAAAGCTTGAATCTGGGTCGCCGAAAACTTCATCGAAAACCTCGGTGTATGTGAGACTTGACAACCGACACCCTGAGCGAGCTATGAAGCGCCGCAAGAAGTCGAGATTTCCATCTATAGGGATGGTGACGACAAGGTCGGATAGGGCGGGGAACGTAAGGGAATCAAAGACAGGCCCAATATTAAAGTGTTCGGGAGCTTCGTCAAGCCAATAAGGGTCCACCACAAGTGAGAATAATCGCAATCTTTGAGACGTGATTCGAGCAGGATGCCAATCTATACTATCGATAACATCCTCTGAAACCCATAGCTCTACAAGGTTGGGAGCCTGGGCAAAGATGTGGTCCAGAGCATCAAAAGAGTCGTCGTTGTCTTTCATATCGATTGTGAGCGAGACGAGATTTTCCCACGTAGGAAGTGTGAGGATAGCATCTACCACGGAAATGTAAGCCGTGTGTATGTGAAGGTGTGTTAGACGTCGGAGAGTGTCAAAGGGTACACAGGAGTCAGGCAAGGCGGTCGAGCCGCCAAGTCCAAGGTTCTCGAGGTAGAGATGAGTTAGATTCTTGAATTGCGTGATCCACGGGAAACAGACCGGCAGAGACACCAGGGGCGGACTCACAGCGTGAGCGTGAACGCCCCTCACCTGGTTGCAGACAGGGTGCACGGGTAGGTGTGTAACGGTTGCGTCTTCGTCAAGGTCTGGTCCTTCGACAAAACTTGATGCCCAAAGGTCACAAAATATGAATACAGGATAGGGACCGCTTCGTTCAAGTGGCTTTAGCGGGATTCGGAGCGCTTTTATTGGGAGTCGACAATGAGACACTGCAGACGTGCGATGAATGTCAACCATGGTCCATAGTTTGGGGGTGTTCAGCGCGATGTCTCTCCATCTGCGACAGACTTGAGCTACTTTGGAGTAGCCGGTCTCGTTGGTGTACATCCTCTCATCGCGATGAAAGTATGGCGCACGACCTGAGGGAGAAAGTTCGATAGGCCGAGTAGAGCTGAGCAAAAATATGTAGGACAGGAGTTCGGGAGGGAGACGATGGGCGGGGGAGGGAAGTCTGGATTGAGAAGCGGCCGCGCTATCCAGCACTTTGGATAGCTCGGAGAGAACTTTCAATACCGCCTTTATGTCTTTCCTCATTGGTGCTACCGCTGGATGTATGGCTGGATGAAACGATCTGTCATTCTTGATATCATCTACGACATCGACACTGTGGCCCGTGTGCGCTGACGCTGCGTCCCGAGCGTTGACAACATCCTAGTCATCAGTCAGTCATGTATGCAGGCATGTGGTGCTTCTAGAACACACGAAGACGTCTGAGCATAAGCTTGGCAACTGGACTGCTTGTCAGATCACCCAATTACGTCACAGAGATGAAGCACGTACGAAGTTTTTGATAGCTTCCAAAGCCGTGGAGGAGCTGTGGTTCTTTGACATCGATGTTATCTGAGCTTGTATCTCAGTTTCACTCTCAGTATGGTTGATAGGTGCATTCTGGGAGTTGGAAGTAGGACTTGAGCTGTGTTCCATGCTGAGGAGATCGGCTTAGTCGATATCGATCCTACTGGAACGCAGGTAACGCGTTGACGGACGTGCCTTATAAACTTTCTCACGCTTCCTGTATTCGAACCAATCCGAACCAAGTCGCAATGCTCCTGTGACTCGCAATGAATGGGACGCACGAAAACCATCCCAGCATCGTGTAAGGTAAATCCTCAAATATTTTGGGATCAAAATTGTGAAAGCCATAGACTTCAAAGTTGTTAAGATCGTATGCTAACATTGCATTCACAGAATATACAGCAATCGACATACTTGATGAAAACAAGAGTTATATCATAACGTCAAAGCCATACCACCTATCTTTCGACTCTCTGAATACCTTTGCATCCTTCAAACTACGCACATACGCGACGGATGGGATACGAAACTCCTCTGCCAATCCAATACCAGCTTGATGAATCAAACTTGACTCGGCATTTGCGAGGTCGTGGTCAGAGACGTCCGTGAATGTTAGACTGGTGAGATGGCATTGGGAGCGAATGAGGAACTCCCATAAGAAGGCAACTTTGCCTTCCAGCGGGCTGGTCACGATGAGATCGGTGAGAGCAGGGAAGGTAAGACAGCCGAAGAGCTGATCCATCTCGTAGTCGTCTTCGGCGAGCCACTTTGGGTTGACGACGAGCGCGAACAGTCGCAGCTTATCGGTATTGATACGAAGGGTGCTCCAGCTCAGGTTCGGCTCAACCACTTCCTCGGCGATCCACAGCTCGGCGAGGTTTGGTATGTGGTCAAAGATAGCTCGCATGCTTAACCAGCTGACGTCACTGTCTCCGTACATGTCGATGGTCAATGAGCGCAGGTTGGTCCACGTACGAATCTCGAAGAACGACTCTATCTGATAGACATATTCGGTTCGTATATGAAGATGTGTGAGGCGGTCAAGGAACTCGGAGGGTGCGCCAGCGGGAGGCCAGTCATCGGTATCATATCGGACGTCGATCCCGACGTCATCAAGGACGAGGTGGGTGAGCTTGTCGAACTGAGAGAGCCACTGGAATAGCTCCACAAGGTTGCTTGGTAATTGCGGCTGCACGACATCAATGGCCCGCACACCACTGCTTGCGGGGTTTATCGGTAGGTAGTCGATGTTGGGGTCATGACCTAAGCTAGCCACCCGCAGGTCTAGGGTAAGGAAAATGGGGAAGCCTCCTGCCTTTTGAGTCAGGTCTAAAGGAAATGGAAGCGAGGTCAGCAGAGGTTTGGCCTTGAAGCTCCATGGGTTCTTGTCCACGGAAGAAATGATGATCCTATTCCATAGCTTCGGAGTCCCTAGCGCGATATTCCTCCATCGACGGCAGACTTGGGCAACATTAAGACGCCCGGATGCACTGAGTTTGACTTTACTGTGATGGTGAAAGTAGGGTATGGAAGCCTCATGCGGAGGTAGATGAGCAGCCTCCGCGGTGCCGCTAAGGATGAAGATATCGGATAAGAGCTCCGGAGGGATCCTACCTACAGAGGAAATGAGTCGGAGATGAGCTTTGTGAGACCGAGTCAACGATTTGTAAAGGTGAGTGAGCGTCGCAGAGATCGCCCTTATATCGCCCATCATCAGCGATATGGCGGAAATCAAGAGATTGATTCCGCCTTTCTCCTCGTCGGTCCCAACACTGTAATTCGTTTTTGAATAATGAGCGTAAGGGGTGCTCATGGTACTCTGAGTACCATGTGAGCAACATATAATGAAAATATAAAAGTCTTGGACGTACATGAACATCGCGTGCAAGTTCGGGGAGCTATGCGTAGTGTCAGAAACTGCAGATAGCACGGCAAAGACGTTTTGACACCCACAAGCTTTGATATGGCTTGGAGAGTTGCAGATGTACTATGTATCTCTGGGAAATAATCTTCGACGATGAAAGCCATAATTTGTAGGTCTGATTTAACGTTCAAGACACGAGTGCCGCGCGGCGCCTGGATGACTGCTTTGTTTACGTCAACATATCTCACGCCAGCTATTATCAAGCTATTTTCTCGTTGATGAGTCGGTATAATTTCTCGTCGACTCGGTATACAACACACAAAGCACTCATATCTGACGCATAGCATTATCCGGGTCATTCAAAAACCCTTCAGCCTCTTCCTTCTCCCCGCCCTTCTCATCAACGACTCCCATAGCCGAGGCGTGCAGCGCGATAATACACTGCCTGAGACTGAGCTGCTCATAAAACCACTCTCGGACCTCCCTTTCGCGCTCCATGCGGTGACGCTTGTGCAGAAGAATAAGGCAGAGGCACGTAGCGACGAGAACTGTATCACAGTTACGAGTCAAACAGCCATTGCGGAAGAAGATATTAAACGGAAGAAGACGGCGCACCAGCGACAATGAGCATCACCGTCACGATATACTGCCACGCCGGCACCGCTACAGGACCGCCGGGTGCGTTCTCACACGTTCCGCTGTTACCACAGTTATGCTTCCCAACAAATCAGCACACATAATTTCCAGCTCGCAGTGTTAGAGAATCTCACCGACTGGCATTGATTGTCGAACGAGCAGGGCGCTCCGACGTCGAGCACGCGATTGCACGCATATCCCCACGGAGAGCAGTACAACCCGAGCCGGCAGTTGTCCCGCAGGATATTGAGCGTAACGCTTCCACTAACAGAGTCCTCGACATAAGTCGTGTTCTCGAGGGCGCACGACGCTCCAGCCGTAGCGTTCTTATACCTATGCCCGCAAAAATGTATCAATTTCCGAGGAAACATCTACGCACAAACCGGACTCACATGCACTTCTCCGACAAACACACCGACCCCGTCCCTCCAGACCCGCCCAAGTTCACCCCCGGCTGCGCCGCACACTGCTCGTCCCGATCCAACTGACACACCGACCCCACCCCCATCACCTCCCGACACCCGCCCCCGTCATCCGGACAAAACTCCGTGCGCGGCGTGCACAGCGGCGGCAGCTGCGCGCCGCTCGCGTTCACCGCGTACCCGAACGGGAACTCGTCACTGCGGCACTTGCGCGGCACGCACGTGCCCACGCCCGGGTCGCCGCTGCCACTTGGAGAAGAGGCGGTGGTGGTGGTGGTGTTGGCGGCGGCGCAGTATGTGGTGGAGTCGCAGTGTGTCATTAGGCGGTGGTCTGAGGAGTCGAGCCGGGTCGCGTTGAGCATGCAGCTGGAGCCGGCGCCGACCCATGCGCTGTGGGCGCGAGGAAGCAGGGCGAGGGCTAAGAGTACGGGGAGTATCATCAGGAAAAGGGAGAGAGGAACTAGTGCGCAAGAGAGCGACGGGACGGGAGGGTTGAGGCATCAGCTCACACTGATGCATGCATGGTTTGAATCATAATCTTACATGCCAATGCGGCAGCATACAAGCAACATATTAGACCAAATTGCAACTGCGACTACAAAGAGCGATAGATACAAGCAAAGACCTAAACACCACACACATCGTCAGCACACCATCACCCAACAGAAGAACCACTCACCAAAGATATACAATTCAATAAAAATCCACACCACCTCCCTCATCCCCACCTACCGCCCCACCCACCCCTCCCCCTCACCACCCACCCTCCCAAACCGAACCACATCCATCCCCGCCCCGCGCAGCTGCTCCAGCGTCGGCTCCTCCACCCGCGCGACGCGCTCCCGAAACGCCGGATTCCCTTGAGACAGCCATATCGTCTGCAGAATGCCCGCGCCAGCCACGAGCGGCTCCGGTCCGTCCGGGTTGCGCACGAGCGTGATCGCGAGCGCGAGGAGGAGCGTCGAGGCGGCGAGGCCGATGCCGATCTACAGCACCGCGTGAGGTTTTTACTGTGGCATGAAGGTAAAGGGGGGACGTACGTTTGGGATGTTGAGCTTTCATAGAGACACATGTATCGTCAGATCGCACGGCATTAGAGACAACAAAGAGGACAAAACTCACGTGCAACCGCGACGCAGCAGTCATATACGTCATCTCGCTCACCCCGCTCATCACCGCGCCAATGGAGGCTGACTGGCTCGGGAGCATAATCGTGTCGTCCAGCGCGTTTGGCTGCGAGTGCAGTGCTGCCGCCCGCCAAATCATACCACGTCATACCGCATCGCACCGCATCAGCTAAATCATCCACTATCCATGAAACCAACAGAGAACCAGGAAACCCACCAGAATAAAAAGCAGCAGCCGTCACACCCGCCATCGCATTCTCCAGCTCATGCAGCGTGAGCGCAGGCGGCGGCGGATACATGCCCGGGGACACGTCGCGCTTGCCGTCCGTCACCGGGTACAGGCCCAGGTTCAGCGCGAGGTATCTACGTGTTCTCACTCAGAGTCGCCACACGTGGATACATGCATGGTCGCATGGGTAGGGATAGGGACAGGGACAGGGACAGGAGAAAGAGTGGATGCGGAGGACGCACTGCTCAACCACGTTCAACTTCGCCGTCTGATTGCTGGCCGTCGGACTCGGATACCCCGCAGGCGTGCAACACGCCACGCCCGCATCGTACGCCGTCAACGACGCCGCCTGAAATACAAACGACCACTGTTTTATGGCCCGTATACATCAGCCTCACCAAGTCAGAAACGCCATCCCGCTTGAAGAACAACCCACCAAATCCAGCATAGCCTGATCCACCTCGCTACTCCCATTCCTCGCCCCAGGCGGCACCCACTCCCTCCACACCGAGCTGTTCTTCTGCATCTGCGCCGCCCAATTCCCACCTGCACCACTACCCGAGTCCACCAGCGTGCGCGTCGCAGGATCAACATCGACCATCGCGTGCTGCACATCAAGCGCGCACCCGATCATCTGCAGCGCCCACACGCGCTGCCAGTCCTGCGTCGCGTCTGGGTACATGTATGTCCCGCCGAGGGAGACGACGCCGGGCCCCGGTGAGCCGGAGGAGTCGGTGAAGTTGGTGGTGCTGACGAGGACGGTATATGGAGACTTTGGGTGCGGAAATAAGTATTAACGCGCGTGTGTGTGGTGGTGAGAAGGGAGAACGTACGGGTCGGACGAGCTGGTGCGATGATGTGTTCAGCAGGGCACCGGTCGATGACATTTCGCGGAGCGAGCTCGGGGCTGTATATACGAGAGGGTGTTAATCAATGCTGGAAACGAGAAAACGCAGGGCTCACCAAGGTCACCCATCGTCAGCCCCGTCCACTTCACCTGCGGATTCGAGATATTGAACGTCGGCAGATCCGCAGCAGTCGCCGCCCTCGCCTGAACAGTAAAGTCCGTCATGTACCCGCACGACACCTAGACGAAGCCCCTTCCCGGTCAGCTGCTCACATTTCACCGTTTAACTCGGAGGAAAACTTGCATTGAACGCCGTCGCGTTGACGGTAATCGGCTGAGTCGCGTTGTTTATATCGACCACATCGTATAGCGTCCCATTGGCGACCCCGGTGATCACCAGACTGTCGCTGTGCACGCCACCGCCACCGAGGACGGCGATCAGGGGCGAGATGACCTTGATGAGCTCGTCCGGGTTGTCTGAGTTGGGCTCTGCCCACGATATACTAATACACGCGTTTATCAGATCGCCCTTTTGAATGCTGCTGGTGCTTACAATGAGGTGAGATTTGGCGTGCCCAGCGTCGAGCCGATCGTGGTGTTCACGGCGATCTGAGTCGGCTCCAGGCCGATGAGCGTCGGCGTCGTGATATGTATGATGGCAATGAGCGTAAGATAGGAAACGATGGTGCCCGTTCCCAGGATGGCGGCTGCGAGGTCGAACTGGTTGAACAGCGATATAACGGCGGAGCCTAGGCCGGCCCAGGCGGACATCTGGTCGTGCAGCGCGGTGAGCGTCTGGCGCTGCTTGAACGCGCGGCGGGTCGCGAGGCGTTGGGTGGTGTATACGAGAGCTGCTGCGATGAGCTTCTCTGAGCTAAGGGACGCGTGGTCGGCTGTATTGGAACATGGGAGCTCACCGTCGCGATAGCTTGTGGTACAATGGCGAGGACGGTAGAGTAGCGATGGTAGTGCTCGCTCTCGACGATGACGTGGTCGACAGCGCCGACAGCGCCAGCAGCGAGAAAGGCGATGTGCATCGCGACTAGGACAAAGTGGAGGGTGAAGCAGAGGTAGTATTCGATGATGTACAATCTGTGATTCTGTTTCGTGACTTTGATAAAGGAGTTTCTTCCTTCCGTTGCGCGTCAGAACTGGGCATTAATGGCTCGGGGGAGCGACGTACGATTCGACGCACGATTCGGCACCAAAGGCACAAAGTCCGTCCTGTCCTCGCCACCCTCGCCCGTTGTCCAGTCATCTTTGGTCCACCAGAACGCGCTCTCCGTCAGATCCGAGTCCTTGGATGGTTCTTGGCGCCTGTTGGGCTGCATCGCGTGAAGCTGGGCGGGTTCATAGTCTGGAGGGTAGTTGTGCGCCATGTTCGTTGGGTGCTGGCATGTGGAAGGGGACGACGACGAGGGTTTGTCATTGTGGCGACTGTCAATGTCATGCACTGAGCCGCTGCCTGTCAAGAACCTGCGCCGCCCCCATATGGAAAGGTTCCTTCTCGATGTACACAGGCAATCTCGGGAGTCTCGATCAACACCGCCTCTGTGGATCCCTCGACCTTTTCATCTACCACGTCCATTGCAGCAAAGTTGTGAACGTGCAGGTCTACTACTTACTCTCACTCACCGCCACTATTCTGCTCCGTAGGTAGCCCTTGCCAAACGCTCCATCGGAGACTCAAATATGACATTGCACTCTCTAAGCAAGCAGAAGAGTACTTAAGTGGCGCCTTCTAGCACCTGAGGATCGCCACCAAACTTACAAAAACCTCGTCAGCATGCGGAATCATCACGAGGTCACTGTGATGCCGTTCACTCGGTTGTGGTCCCGCGCCCACTCCACGGTGCTGCCTGCACAATAACTAAGCGCTGGGCGATATCAGAGTCCCCAGATTCGCCTCTGGGCAGTGTTGCACAGCGCTGCTAAAGACGTCTTCTTCAATGGTCTGCTTTCTTCAGCCGAAAAAAAACCCCGTCAAGCCGTTATATTTCTCGTGAGTGGTCTAGTTTACTGAAGTAGACAACTGCACAAAATTGACCAGGTGACGCCCTGCTAGCACTCGAGCCAATCAGCCGAATGTTCAGCCTTCCCAGGACGCGGAACGCTCGCTGGTACGGACGCCGTGCCATCCGCACATCATCTCTCACACTGGAGCACACGAAATAAACTCTGCGCGATAGATAACAGAGCGCCGAGGGCCGCCTCTGTTCCGCAACGCTGCTAAAGATATCTACGCATGCCTAAAGCCTTATCGCAACGCGTCCTAGCTCTGCAGCAGCGCGTATCCGCTCTCTCCTGTCGCCCACTTCCCCTCGCTCAGTCGCTTCCAGGTCACAATGACGGACTCGACGGCGCTTCCGATTCCAGGCTCTGTATATCTGGTCGACGTTCAGCACCAGTCTGACGCGCCGCATCTGCACAAGAGCTCCAACCGCGAAGAGTCGGAGATCGTCCTCAACCCTCCACCGTCGCGGGACGTTAACGACCCGCTGAACTGGAGTAGACGACGGAAGATTCTTCAGGTCGCATGCGTCATGCTGTGTGAGCTTTTTCAATCTTTCGCTTGTGTCCCAAGTTCGCTGAGGCTGGGTAGACACGACGGCCATCGGTATTGGGACGACCGTGTTCTACTCCATCCTCGAACCCATCTCGGACGACACCGGCATTCCGCTGGCCACGTTGAATCAGGGTACCGGATACAGTGTGTCATATTTCCTCGATCAAAACATTCTGACTTACACCTGCGTTCACCAGCGTTCCTGTGTAGGTGCACCGCCGTCACGACCTAGCTTATTGCCTGATCTTTTCCCCCTCCGCAGTGCTAGGATGGGGCGCACTGATAAATCAGCCACTTGCCCTGACATTCGGCAAGCGAGGAGTATACCTCCTATCCGTCCTCGGAAACATCGTAAAGCCCCTACTCGTCCCCGTCTTTGTCGTCGTTCTGACGCGGATGGTGCTTCAGGCAGTATGCATGTGGACGCCTTACATCAAGTCTCAGGGCCAGTGGTACGTTCCCATTTGGATCACATCTGTGCATTTCTTTTGACGACCGATACGTCAGGATTGCCAGTCACATCGTACAAGGTCTGGTGTGTACACCAGTCGAAAGCTTGTGTGAAGTCAGCATCTCGGATATCGTACGTCGTGCGTCTCTTCTTTTTTGCCAATATCATGCTGAAGGCTCGTTGCGAGACAGTTCTTCACACACGAGCGAGGACGGTATATTGGAATGTATACCTTGTTTCTCTTCGGGTGAGATTTTTGACTTGAACGCTGGTCAATGTGTTCAAATTATCTCGCACAGATCAAATTACTTTGCGCCTATGATCTCCGGTGTAGGTACAGTCTTGTGCTGTGTTGAGTTTGCTCTAGCTGAACACAAACGGTAGTTCATCTACGACGGACAAGGCTGGAATTGGGTGATGTATTGGGCAGCCATTATCAACGCGGTATCATTCGTTCTTCTGTTCTTCCTGATGGAAGAGGTGAGCGTATACATCGTATGTTTGTTCGTTGTGGCACTCATCACTTCATCCTGTAGACCAACTATACACGCTCACAAGAAAAAGACAGCAATGTCTCGGATGAGAAGCGTTCGTCTTCGCCGTCCGAAGATAGCAAAGGCCTTCAGGATGTAAAGATCCCGTCCGCTAGCCCTGCAGTTATCAGCGTCCACGAGCGGTCCGACGAACTATCTCACCTCACCGGGACACCCTCGACCTACCTCTCCCGCCTCGCCATATTCAACAAACGCTTCGGCTCAAACGACCTGCTCCTGACGATGACGTGGCGCCCCATTGCGCTACTGCGTTTCCCGGTGGTTTTCTGGTCAGTTTCGCAGTTTTGGTCAGCCGAAGCTGCGTGCATCCGCTGACCATGGGCGTGGGGACAGGGCCGGCTTCGAGTACGGGACCTGTCTCGTGTGGTACAACGTCCTCAACGCGACGTGCTCGCTCATCCTCAGCGCCGCGCCGTATAACTTCCGCGCGAGCTTCGTCGGTCTCGCGTATCTTGGGCCGCTCGTCGGGATGCTCATCGGGTACGTCTTCTCCTCGTCCCTTGCCTTGCCTTGCCTTACATTTAACTCACATTCCCCCGTGCGTCTTTGCAGAACGTTCTACAGCGGCTACATCGGCGACCTCTTCTCCCTCCTCTACGCACGGCGCAAAGCCGGCGTGCGCGAGCCCGAAGACCGCCTCTGGCTCATGTCCGTCTGCCTCCTCCTGTGCCCCGCCTCGCTCATCCTGTGGGGCGTCGGCGCCGCGCACGGCGCGGCGTGGCCCGCGCTCGTCGTGGGCATGGGCATGATCTCGTGCAGCACGGGCGTAGGCAGCGCGCTGAGCATCGGGTACGCGCTCGATGCGTACCGCGAGATGGCGGGCGAGGTGATGATGGCTGTTATTATTGTTCGGGTATGTTCTGGATTCGTGGTCGACGGAATGGGGCTGAAATGTATGCTGCTCTCGACAGAATACGCTGTCTTTTGCGATCGTATGTTATCTTCTCCTCTCCCACAGCATTATGATCGAACTCACGTCGGATAACAGGGATACGGCATCAACCCATGGCTCGGCATGGGCCTGCAGAATACGTTCATTTGCGCCGCGTTCGTTGGGATGGGCATCAACATGACCTTTCTGGGTGTGATGCGGTGGGGCAAGGGCTGGCGGAGGCGCAGTGCCGGACAGTATTGGGCGTATGTGGAGCAGGGGGGTACTGTTGCTCATTAACTTCAGAGAATAGAGAGACGTGCATAAGTCCTGTGGCCATTGCGTTGAAGAGTTTTAGAAGCTCAGATGGTCGAACGACCAATCAGTCGATCATCTCGGAGCGTGAGAATGATGACAAGATAAAATCCCATGCATAACAGCCTTCCTCGGCTCACTCACATCACTACCATGTGCATCATCATCTTCATCTTCAGAAACAGTGGCGATGTTTCTTGAAGGAGCAACGCCAGAGGTCGGGAATTCTGTTGAGACTTCGAGAAGCACAGACAATATTGTGCGTGCTACGCTCTTAGACCTCCTAACCTTCACCTGATGATAGAAGTTTCATAGTATCATGCCGACTGCCTCGGTTATAGCCCTGTCTTTTATTATTTTGTGATAGGTAAATACCACTTCGGTAATTGTAATACTATGAGACTGTCCATACGATCCTGATAAGTACTTCGTGGTTGTTGAGGACATGTGTCTTTTTAAACTCAAGATGGCTACGGAACCACTAAGCGGGACTCGGTCCCGTGAGATCGAGTCACGTAAGAAGCGACGCGGCGACACCATCATGCATCATGTTACGCGCCGACATTGTTGACCTTTACTCAACCTTTACTTTTTACATCCACGTCAAAGCGGTCCATGGAAGCCTATCTAGATGAGACTGTTTCCTGTCTCAAGAGCGGGTCTGGGGCTCTGAAGGCTATTGGGAAGCTTGTAAGTGCTGGGTCCCATCCCCTCTTCCATGCTGACGCGGCATTCTGACATAGCTTCCTGCGCTTGCATCTGATGTCTCTGTATGTCTCTTCCTACTACGGCTCTACCACTCCCACTTTTAGTCGTATTCACACCGATGGCACAGGACACAATAAACTCTCCTTTCTCAGCTGCTGCGAAGACAAACTACAGTGCTAGAACCCTTCATGAAACCGGCGGGATCAAGTCCATGATGGCGGACATGACGTCCATGATCGAGGACATACATCTCATTTACAACCACTTAGCGTGGTTCAGTCAGCTACTGGGAGCAGCAAGGGAGTCCCACTCTCGGCTTACATCCTCTGTACTCCGCGTTCCTGCAGAAATATTATGCGACATCTTTGTGCTCAGCGCGGAAGTCGAGGTGCATCCCACACATCCCGGCTGTTTACCTCAGTTTCCTCGATCACACAGAGTCGCCGCCAATCCCCACGGATATCTCAATGTTGCCCAAGTTTGTCGAAGATGGAGGGATGTTGCGCTCGGTACCCCAAAGCTGTGGAACATGATTGCAATTGTTCCTAGGAAGCCGGGCGGAGGCTATCTTGACATTACCTCCACTTCTCTTCCTCTTCCTCTTGTACCGCTTCAAAGGGCCGGAAATCTCCCGGTTTTCATAACGCTTGATCTCAGCGCAGTCACCTTATCTCGCGGACCTGTTCATCTACCAGCACACCCAGCTTGCAATCGTGTTAAGGGAATCTATGTCAATGGAGGTCGTCAAGTTGCGATGGTCGAGGACTTGGCTCAGTGGATGGCTCAATTCCCCAACCTCACCCATGTCTCCATGGCCAACGTATTCTCCAGAAGCTCTATAGGAGAGGTCCCCCCGGAAACCTTGGATCGCGTAACTCATCTTCACTACCACCCGTTGGAGACCACTGCTGAGTTCTCCACCCTCGCCGTATATCGCAGCTGGGAGAATGTGGTTTCCGTGACACTTGACATGACTGGAGGGTGGTTCTTCTCTGCGCATCTGAAAATCGTCATGGAACAGCTACCAAACATACGTGAACTCTTCATTGTAGCAAGCAACATAGACGCTAATGCAGAGCGGGCGAGCTCCATCTCCTCCTCAACGCTGAGGTCTTTCGCTTTCTCTCAGGCTGAGTCAGCGGATATTCTACTAAAAAGACCGGAACCTGCCCCCTTCTTCGACATACTTTCCTTTCCGGCTCTCACAGACCTTGTGGTCGTATTCCCGGACTCCAGAGATATCAACTTCGTGCACAGGTTTTTGAGTCGTTCAGGGTGTCATTTATCAAGAATTACTTTTACCAACGTGGGTAACTATGACTATACCCGCCGTCAAAATGGGACCAAGCTCGCAAAAGTCTTTACAATCCCATCTGTCGAATTCAGACTCGCTTTCAAAGATACCACCGTCTTTCGAGAAGTGAAAGAGGAGTGGTACAATCTGGATGGATCTCGTAAGCACTAGCCCAATCCGCCGACGCGTATACTCCCTTGTCTCCTCTGCGTTATGTGGAAGAAACGGGCGCGAAGAGTGGAAGGGTATTCAGTTTGGCTAACGGGTTTTATGTCATACCATTGCGTCACAATTTCGCTAGCATTTGTGATCTGGTAGGGACATCGCATTGCACCTTATGCGATCCATCCTCTTTTACGATAGTCTGAAACCACATCTCCAACCAGCTTTTCCATAGTAGTAAACTCGAGGCCTAGTATCTCGCTTGCCTTCGTGCTCTTGAAAGATACATGGCCAACACCATCCTTTGATGCGTTTGCTAAGGCGACTGCCGCTTTAGCTTTGGTAAAAGTACTTGACGCGGGCGACAGGATCGCTGCAGTGTTCACTAAGATAGCCGAACACGGGGTAGACTTGTATTGGCAAGGAGGGTACGATGGCACGTACCTAGGTCGGCCCAGAACCAAGGGGAACCAGCGCTCAGGATAATTTTCTCCCCGCTCGCCACGGGCCGCTCGAGAGCGCGCACATGGGCTTCAGCGACGTCTCGTATATTTACCCACCCATGGCCAGGACTCAGGTGTGGATTTGCACCTTGGAAGTTACCTTCGATCAGTGCGTTATACATGTACGCACATGATGCGTTGAGGGACTCGGGCGAAGATATTGGGTGCATAGGAACCTATGCAATAATCAGCACATGCTGTAAAACCTGCGGATGTGAATGTACACTGGCACGTACACCAAAGACCCACGGTGGATTGAGGACGCAGACGTCCCACGCTACTTCGTGCTTGTGAGCAGCGTAAAAGTCCCAGACAGCTGAAAACGCGGTCGTTTAGTGCTGTGTTCACTGGCGTTCGGCGATCTTATGAACACACCTTTTTCAGCCAGAACCTTCGAGGCAGAGCACTTGTTCAGAGCATCCGCTTGAGCACCATGGGCTTCGCAATCGTCCACGGCGGCATCATTCCAGTCAGATTCTGAAACATCGACAGGGATGATAGATGACGCCCGAATAGTTGCACAGGACGAAGTAAAAACGACGCGTTCCACGGACGTCCTACGAAACATGCCATGAAGGACTGGACACAGCGAAGTTAGGGTGGGACTCGTACCCTTGTTTCAACACACTTTCTAACATGACTTTTACACTTTGGACAGCTGGAGCTATCAGCTCTGCCAAAATACATCCGTTTAAGTATCGGAACTAGTTACTGTGAAAGGAACATCGTACCATTTGGGTCACCAGTAAGTATATCTGTGACAGGCAATGTGGAATGTATGACACCTTGAATGTCCTTGACGGCACTGTCAAAGGCACGCTCCTGCGCCAAGATCAATCATCGCAATCAAAGAGCAACAGTCGGACCAACCTGGGTCAAGTTATCCACAATTACCAGCCGAAGACGGTCACCATAAGAATGGAATGTGTCCAGAAGGTGCTGCCCTTTTGCCTCGCTCCGTACAGCTGCATGGACAGAGAAGCCACGAGAAAGCAAGATGCTGATAATATGGGTCCCAATAAATCCGTTGGATCCTGTGACGAGAATTGCCGCTGCGTCAGTCGGATGTATGGCTGGCATGTTTTGAGATGATCACTGGAATGAGAAGGGATTTACCCCTCTTTATAAGCCATGGGTAGACATATATACTCCCGCTGAGGATGTACACGCGTTTGTTCGGCAAAAGGGGTCGTTCGCGTCTATGCCCAAATTACTGAGGAAGCCATGTCGTGAGTACTATCTTCTCCATTCAAGCAACCGCACTTGCTAGGAAACGCCCGAACATCCAGCTGACCAGGGCGGCGACGACAAGCTTATCTAGCCCACATTCTAGAGAACCTCCTGGGAAAAAATACTGGTGGATAGGAAGCCAATCCCAAAGCGCGAAATGGAGAAGACGAAGAAAGGTATCCTGAGAGAAGCCCGATTGAGCCGGCGCGACGACGCTTGATCGTACTCAGCCCACAAGTTTTTGAGCTCCGCTGATGCCGGGTAGCGGCGCTCGGCGCTATGGCCCATAGTTTTAAGCGGCGATTATCTACAAATCCGTCCACCATCGCCGTCGGTACGAGGACAGTTGCACATTCCGTCATGGCCCTGCAACAACTTACCGACATCGTAAGCCCTCCTGACAGATATTGAAACCTCTGACTAACATAACTGAATAGATACCCATCGCTGTTACTGAAGCCTTGGTAAGCCATGCTTACCTTCCCTCGACTCCTCGACACATGCTTGCTGACGGACGCACCAGAGATTCACCGACTCTCCTTATGCCATCCACACCGCTTCGAACCACAATGTCTACAAAGAAGAATTTGAGCCAGTTGTAAAAGCCATATCGGACCTATCTAATGTGATCCACACCGTCGACGACGCCATCAGTGCACTGATGTCGTGCAAAGCTCAACTCGTCAAATCGCGAGATGGCCACTCTAGGCTTGTATCCGCTCTCTGGAGCATTCCGGTGGAGATCATGGCGGATATTTTCCAACTTTCCCTCCGTCCCACGGTGAAGAGGTCTGATTTGGACATCGGCGCACTTCAAGGTCGCGGGTCAGTGTTCAACGTAGCGTGCGTGTGCCGTCGATGGAGGGACATCTCGCTGTCAACTCCTCGTCTCTGGAATGTTGTCAAATTATCTATGCCACGCGAACTCAACCCTGTCGCCGCGACGGACACTGTAAACCTTTACGAAGGTGATCTTGAGATGCTGAGGCGAGTCGCAGGTATTCCATCGTATCTTGTCGTCGACAGGGAAGAAAAGGCTCCCATCCCTCCCTCAGTGCATGTACATCTGGACGATGCTTCTCTGGCCCAATGCTTAGAAGCTTGCTGGGGTTTAAACATCAGCGAAGCTGTTTTCGCGCTCCAACGTACACTCTTCGCCAAGATGACTCATCTCCGTCGCCTCAAACTTTCTGCGTACAACAAGTTATCCTTCGACCCCACAGTATACCCGTGCCTCACCCATCTGTCACTTCGATTATACTCGTTTGATCCGTTGTGGTTCCCCGCCTGGATCCGCTCCATTCGCTGTGATCACATCACTGTACTCGTGCTGATCTACGATCTCCAACCGGAACTCGGTGAACCCATGGACGTCAATCTCAAGGGGATGATGCAGAACCTTCCTCGCCTTACACATCTGTTTGTATCGGCTCCTTATGTCGAAGCACAGCAACACAACGTTTCAGTAACACACCCAGCCCTTCAATCACTCGGTATAATCACCTTTGACAGTTCAAGGATTGATGCCATTCAAGCCATACTCCATAATGCGACACTCCCCGCCTTATCCGAGCTCATCCTCCAGGGCGATACATTACACGAGTTCAACCGAAACTTCTTCTCATCTCTGCTCGATTTCTGTGCACGCTCACAGTGCCGCTTAGGACGTGTTGGTGTGGTCTCAGGATGGCACACGCAAAGGGACGCGGGCTATCATATGAGGCGTGTAGTTGACACTTTGCAACAAGCGGTTCCAGGAGTCTTGGTTCACTTGTACTCTAGCGAGAACCCAATCAATGCTGATCTAAACGAAAGGTGGTACGAGCCCTGTCAAGCGGTGTATGTGGATTAGATCTGTCCGATCATAGGTTTTGCATCGGTGAGTTATGGCCTGGTGATCCTTAGAACCGAGCAGCTCAAGCCTTCCCATGTGTAGATATGTCACTTCCATAGCATCAGGTTTGTGTAGCGAAGTGAGTAGGCTGTGGGCCGTAGCAATTGCTGTCATAGCGGCGGTGGTCAGCAATCGACTTGAAGTGCTACGAATAGGATTTGTAGATTTGAAGTATTGGCCATTTCCATGTTCAATGTGTAACGCTTTTGCGCTAGCTAGGACCAAGGCTACGAGCCATCCGCCTACTTATGAGTGATGCGGCCCGGCGCTTATCGCACACACGTGGAAGTACATTCTATCCGGGCGAATCCGTTGTCGAGCGGACGTCCATCGGTGCTTCCGTCCCAATCCTAATTCACGTCCTAAACCATCTCCCAGCGCACTCGTTGAGCGTGTGCAACTCAATACTCAATAAGGCGCTGACCCTTCTGCTTCCTTTACGTCAAACCTGGGATACATCTAGGCTCAGCTAATGTCTGTGTCTTATCAAGGCCCACTCGGACCGTTCTTAGGATGCGGGACGCTCACAGTTTTAGAAAGACTCTTTTGCCTTATGACCATGTCACCAGATAAGCAGACCCCGGAACATGGCGCAAGCTCACCTCCGTGTCGGGTTATGCTAAAGATACCTACCAGGTGTAGGCGTTATCATGTCGCGTTCTCCGTCCATTTGCCCTCTCATCGAACATGTCTGGTCCAGAGACACTTCCGATACCTGGCTCGGTCTACCTTGTAGACGTCCAGCAGAAGTACGAAACACCACGTCTACACGAGCCCCGCAGCCGCGAAGCGACGGACATAATTTTGCACCCTACTCCGTCCCGGGACGTAAACGACCCTCTGAACTGGAGCAGGCGTCGAAAGCTCGTACAGCTGATTTGTCTCATGAGTTGTGAGTATACATCCCAAGCTGCCTTTGAGTCGTTGACCCTTTCGCCCAGACACGGTAGCGTTGGGAGTTGCAACAACTGTCTTCTACTCAATCCTCAGGCCCATATCTGAGGACACTGGGATCCCGCTCGCTACGCTCAACCAAGGGAGCGGATACAGTAAGCTTTATATTGTTAGGGTCTACGCGAGGAGGCTAATCTGTGACTCATTGCTAGCGTTTCTACGTACGTGACCCGATCTCAGGATAGTCCACTAAGCTCAATGTACTCTGTCAAGTGCTTGGTTGGGGTTCCCTCATTAATTTGCCGATTGCCCTCACATTTGGGAAGAGAGGTGTTTTTCTATTGTCTGCTCTAGGGAGTACAGTGCGTTCTTCTCCAACCTTTTTTATCTCGTTCCGTTTACATGGATAATCTAAGCTGGTTTGCTTATGGATCCCGCACATTAAGACCGAAGGACAATGGTACGCCTCAATTCTCTCAGATATATTCTCAGTACCCGCTCAATTTCCCCGAAGGATTGCAGCAAAGGTAGTCCAGGGATATGTGTGTAATCCTGTGGAAACGCTGTGCGAAGTGTGCATAACAGACCTTGTGAGTGCACTGGCAGCTTTGACTTTTGAACTCTACACATTCTGAGGAATCGGCATGGAGTTTTTCACGCACGAGCGCGGAAGATACATCGGATTGTATACACTATTCCTTTTTGTGTATGTTATATCTTCATAATACGTTCCATAAAGACCTGCGCTGATGGTTCTATTTCTCAAAGTGGAAACTACTGCGGTCCCATTATATCTGGCGTACGTGCACTCGCTCAAGTTATCCATCGGTTGGGTTCGTTTCGCCGATATTGATTTCACGTTGTCCAGTTTATATATGACAGTCAAGGATGGCACTGGGTAATGTACTGGACAGCAATCATCAACGCGGTCATGTTTGTTATTTTACTGGTGCTCTTAGAGGAGGTAATGACGCCTTCACGCCTATCATATAAGATATTGACATCTATGGAAGACGAGCTACACCAGGAGTCCTGGAGGAGAACAGATATCTAAACGACGCTCAGACAACGATTCCGATGAAAAGAAAATAATTTCCAATAACAAAGGGCAGGATCCGGGTACACCACTAGACCATCGCAGTTTCGACGTGCTTGAAACCTCTGACGAGCAATCTTCACAGCTCGAAGGTACTCTGACGCCATTGTTAACCCGCCTCGCGATTTTCAACAGGAGGCTTGCACCAAACAAGATGTTGTTGACGACGGTGTGGCGACCATTACTGTTGCTTCGATTCCCCTCAATCTTCTGGTATGTTACAATACTTTCGACGATATATAAGAATGTTGATTGGGTTCTTTACATAGGGCTGGTTTCCAGTATGGAACGTGCCTGGTGTGGTACAACGTCCTGAACGCTACGTGCTCTCTCATACTGAGTGATGCGCCGTACAACTTCCGGGCGAGTTACGTTGGCCTCACTTACTTCGGGCCTTTGATCGGCATGATAATTGGGTAAGTCATCGTTCACGCACGCTTTGAACTCAGGCTATAAGAGCGGTAACTTACCACAATATATGTCGGCGCAGGACGTTTTACAGCGGTTACATTGGTGACCTGTTCTCCATTGCTTCCGCAAAACGTAGCGCCGGCATACGTGAGCCTGAAAACCGGCTCTGGCTCATGTGCATTTGCCTCGTTCTCTGTCCATCATCCCTAATTTTATGGGGTGTCGGTGCTGCACATCAAATTAATTGGCCTGCACTAGTAATCGGCATGGGCATGATCTCGTGCAGCACGGGGATCGGTAGCGCACTCAGTATTGGGTACGCGTTGGATTCATACAGGGATTTGTCGGGAGAAGTTATGATGGCCGTCATTATCATTAGGGTGAGCACAACGCCGAAACGATGGTGTACTATGATCTGATGGAATCGGTCATAGAATACCTTGTCGTTTGCTATTGTGAGTTTACCCGCGTAGTGATTGTCACGACTTTCGCTAACATTTTGATTTCAGGGGTACGGAATCAATCCATGGCTCGACATGGGTCTTCAAAATACGTTTATTTGCGCAGCGTTTGTTGGTATGACTATCAATATGTCGTTTCTGGGAGTAATTCGTTGGGGAAAATTATGGCGGAAGAAGAGCACGAAAAAGTACTGGTCATATGTTGACAAAGGGTCGCTGATGACGCATTAGCGAGCTACTGTATCGCAATGGAGGAAGTTGTGTCATAAACTAGGTCGTAAACTGTACGATCCGGAATCGATTGAGATGATATATACTGATGAACGGGCAACTTTTGGCATCGAGTTACAGGAGATCTTCTTGGGTGAGGTCGATGACAGTCTGAGTTGTGACAGGCTGTGATATAGCGGGTTCTATCTTGACCTTCCACCGTGGCGGCTTGATGTCATCATCAACCTCATCATCTACCCGAATAGCAGCCAAATTCTTCTGTGATAGCGCAACTCGTCTCTACGGGACAGTTAAATCCCATTTGATACTTGCAAAGATAGATGAATAAAGAATATACCTCAAGTTTAGCGATAATTAATTCGCGCTCTTCCCTCTTTGCCCTTTGGGACGTCGAACTGGAGGTCGAGGGGGGCTCGGGCTTGACTACCCTGGCAGTACCTGCATGAATGGATGCGCTGGGAGAAGCCTCTGATTGCGTCTCAGACAAAGGTACAGCCGAAGCTTTAGCTAACACACGTTCTGGATTGAGTATCGTTGTATCTCGAGTAAGAAGAAAGCTGTTTTACCTGTCGTCATGGGAAGCTCTTCACGCTTGACTACAGCGTCGGATTCTCCATGGGGAGGGTAAGACGGACGCGTTGCGGTGTCTTCAGGCAGCGCTTCAGTCAAACCGTCTTCATCTTTGACGGTAATGTCCTCGTCTCCATTGTCGCGGGGCTGGTCAACCTGTTGATCGAAGCGTCTTCGTTGAACGGTGGAGCTATCATGAATGGGAGGACGAGGAGTTGTCGATAGGCGGTTCGAGCTTCCAGATATCTCATTGAGGGCGCCAGGATTTCCAGCGTCCAACGCATGCTCAGCGTCTGATACAAAACCCGGTTCAACTGGCGCATCAGGGTTATCAACTAGCTGAGGGACATCGCGAGAGTAGTGCTCCAAAGCTGATTGCTGCTGTTCATGCTCCTGCGTCGCTGGTCGAGGCGCTATTCCATTAGCCCGCAGCAGCTCTGTGTGCAATATTACATCAATAACATAAGGCCAAGCAATGCGAAGGCGATAAGTTACGAACCAATAGGTGCGTATTGGAAAATGAAGTTCAACGCCGTTCCTGGAATAACGTCAACGTCAAACCACTCCGGGCTATCGTCGTCATGTATGACATCCCCGAGCCTGATTTTCACCATGATATGACTAAGATACTGTACCAATGATCCAGAAGACTTACTCTGTTCCATTATAGCGATTGTTTTGCGGGACTTCCACCCCGGTCGTTTCTGTCGATCGTTTGGGGTTCTCGGCCTTACTGATGGAGACACGTATCTCCCTTGCATCCAACGCGCTAGGAACAGGAGAATCGTCCTCTTCATCTACAATATACGATGTGAGAACGTCGGATCGGCGCCCAGTAAGGCAGAACCAGCGTACCTTTTGGAACCATCATACCAAATGTGGAAGGCCTCCATTCCGTTTTACTGATGTCGATACCGGTGACAAGACCCCCAGCTTTCCCTTTCTGGTCTTGTACATTCTCTTGATGGGCTTTGAATAGCGTTTGACAAGAGTGCCACCACTGAAGGTATCGTCCAAGTAGACATCTCCAACAAGATGATGGGTACGCCGGCGCTTATCAAGACACCGCCATCTAACTGAAAACTCCTGGGGACCACATAGCAAAGTTCAGCGCGGCACATTATAAGCACATTGGGCTGACTCCCCTTTCCGGCCGCTGAAGGTATCCAACATACAATTTCGTCTCCCGAGTCGGATACCTCAATATCATACTCTTCCGCTTCTCGTTTGTCCACCAACACACTGGCATCAAACTCCCCAAGTCTCATGTTGATCCAAGTGCGGGGATATACAGAGAATGAGAAGTTGTTGAAATAAGACGGAAGGGCTGCAAATCTGAACAGGAGCAAGTGGTACACGCAGCCGACACGCGTCTCTGGAGTTATTGTCGGAGAGTCGGAGTTGACAATCGTGCTATGGGCTGTTGTTGATTTGCTACCAGTTCCTTCTCGGATTGAGACGGGTGAGACTTTGACTTGACTCCAACGTGCGCCAAACCTTACTTGCTAGGATTACAGAACGTCGGGGAACATGGAGACCCCCTGGCGAAAAACCCCAGTCGAGATGAGCAACGCGCCAAAACGCGACTCGTGGGAAACTGACAGCACTTTAGGGTCGGCGTTATCGAGTCGCCGGGTTCCAACTTGAGCTTGAGCAACACCGCTTTTCCTGAGTATGGCGAGGGTTCAACGTTCAAATTTCAAAGATTGACTCTCGTTGCTCAATCTTGCTCTCAATGCACTCCCCCATAACATCATTAGCCGTCGAAGACCACAATTTAGTGATAAACGTAACTCAGCTAAAAACTCAGCTTCCCTCGATATCATAAAGCACAGCTACTATCTGCCCAAATACACATCCAATCATGATACACATCTGGACTTGGGAAAAGAGCTGACCTTGTATACCTCGCGCCCTATGCATTTCACGAATATCAAGCCTTAGAAAGATTACATTTCGAGTGAATATCTTCTATGACGATCGACAGATGAGAACATTTTGACAAATTGATTATCCACGCTCAGGCTCAGCGCTGATGGTAACGTAAGTGACATAGATAATGAACAGTCTCAGGATGCATAACGGACAGCGAGTAACGTAATAAGTGATCTCTTGCACATCGATACATAGCCGACGCTCATAAAGTGCAGTTTAGCCCTGCGTACACGCATATCAGCCCAGTGAATCCTTCAAATTGTCATGGCTGGTGAAGAAGCCTCCTTGGGTAAACTTCCCTCAAGATAGCTGAGCTCTATGCATCGGAGCCAAATGCGAGTGCGATATCTGTGCCACGAGCTAAGAAACCCAAAGGCAGTGGCCAACGTGAGTTTGAACCACGGAAAGGATGGAGTGGGTAGCCAGCCAAAGGCGCGAAGGTGAGGTCGCGACCAGAGTTTGCTACCGAGGTTACTGAAGTGTTTGTTTTGTCAATGGTTATGGCTGCTGTACTTGAAACGCAGGTGCTGAGATCAACGGTAGTAAACGTCATTGCGTTGTTGAACCCAGATGTCGGGGTAGCCCGATTATTCGGCGTGCGATCCACATGACCGAACAGATGCCATGAGAAAGACGTAATGACAAACACATTGGATATAATAAGGGAGAGCGCAGGCTGAAGATAATTTAGCTTGTGTATCAATCAAGCAAAGCTGGAGAGATAAGCGACCTTGAGGTTCATACTCAAAAGGGCTAGCTTCCCTTGGGGAAGAATAGCCTCGATTGAGTCAAAGATAACGGCTGCTGTGATGACGATTGTTGCAATGTATACCGCGATGATTGTTATCTTGCGTTCTTGGGATAGCTTGGATGTGCCGAAGGACCAAATGGGCAATGCTATCAGCGCCACATCAGACAGAAGCGCTGCTATCAAGGATATGTGGCAGTGAGTGATGGTACCTCCATAAAAAGTCACGACCACGGTCGTCTCACCGACGATCTGCAATATCCCGGTGAGCTTGTTCGATACGCAGTAACTGTGTGCGCAAAGGGCCATCCGCTGCGCAAAGATAACGAGCCAAAATACAGTGAACGAAACTGCAGTTGCATAGGCAATGCGGCGCTGGGTCGACTTAGGATTCGTCACGCGAATGATGGAGAACAAAATACTCATGCGCGCGAGCCTGTGAAGACGCTGATGAACTGTGGGGCGATGAGAGCGGGCGATAAGTATGCGACCTACCAGAGAACATCGCTGGGCAGCGATGCAGCTATGTATAGCAGTGGTGATGGACCTGAGGGGCCGGGCTCTGCTTCGTTCAGGTTTCGTGAGAATGCACCATTGAGCAAATGACAGGGTGAAGTAAGAGGAAGGCGAAGAGATTTACCTTCGTATGGCCAGAACACCCACACGAGCACCAGACAGATTGTATCACCTGCGAGCGCGAGCGCGGCACATGCATCCTCAAGCCAGAGGCGGCGCATGTACAAGCGATAGGATAACCGAAAGGACGTCGTGGAGATTGCAAGCACGTGGAAGAATGTGCATGTGGCTGGATACGTACGAAATGAACGAGTAGTGATTATACGTACGCTGAAAGTCAACTTATGGCACAAGCCAAGTATGCGAGTATGACGGCGCACCTTGCTGAGCGGATGTCCACTCCAGGTTGTTCATCCTCGTAAAGTGCCCAGTTCTCCTCTGTCAGAAGTGAGTTGGATCCTTGACTTGAGTTCCGCCAAAATACAATAGAAGACCGAAACCAAGACGCAAGCCTGCAGCAGAAGACGCTCCGTCGTATTTATGGTGTAGAGAGCGGTTCCGGGACCCGGGGGCTCAGCTATATTTCTTAGTTCAAGCTTTACATAAATAGATGGATCACTGAAGGGCTGCGCAGGCGATTCATACACGGTCCATATTCACCCCGTCCAGTACGCAACTGGTTTAGCCACCTGAGTCGATGCGTTCGAGTTTCTTTTCTCTTTGGTAGAAGAAATAACAATATAGTGAGCAAGTGCGTGAGTACATGATGCACAGTCGGCATGAGTCCGGGTACCCTACGGTGTCTTCAGGTTGGATCAAGGAAGCGCACTCCAGAGAAACCATGCACGCCAGATCTAAGCGGGCCCCAGAGCTCCCAGGAGACGTAGCGCAACACAGATGAAAGACTCGGAGGTTCCAACATGGATTGAAGACAAGATCGAGGCGAGAAAAGTTGAGCAAATATTGACATGTTTTAGGCGATCATTCTGAAGCGCATGGCTGATATAGATAACTCGAGCAAGGGTAGCCTCAATAACGAATCACGTGTGGTTTCTCCGGAGATACTGGGTTGTAGCGAGGTCCTGCCAGGTGTTGTGAACTGTGCGCCTACCAGCGCCCGTAGTGCTAGTAAGTGAGTCACGATCGTTCAAAGCTGCCCGTTGACGCAAATTTCCGGAGTGACCCGGCCTAACATGGATACTGACAAGAAGTGAAATATCAACCTGGAAACAGTGAGACTCAACAAGTATCAAAGAGGTGCCTTTCGTCAAGTTAACCATGACTCGAGCGGTATTGGACTACGCTGCACTGAAATCTACATCTATCCTCTTTCAGCTGGGAACTTGTCTCCGTACATCCCAAATCCAAGCCGTGCAATGTTAGTACACTGGTCTAGTCGTCTTGAATGACGAACGGCTCGTCAGGAGTCCCTTCCCCATGTACCCCTTCGTTCTCTAGCTTTATCCTCTTGATTCGACTGAGCTCCTCATCGCATAGACGCGACTGTTCTTCCTGAATACGTGATTGCTCTTCCTGAATTCGCGCTTGTTCTCCGTGAAGACGTGATTGTTCTTTATGAAGACGCGCTTGTTCTTCATGATACTTCTTCCGCTCCTACATAGTGGTTGACGGAACTCAGCGACAGTTTTCTTGAACAAAGGCACACGTACCTTTAGTCTGGGGATGATTGATTGATTATCCGACCTCGACTTTCTCTTCCCATTACTTGTACCAGGGACAGGTGTGCCTTCCCTCTTCACCTCTGGATGATCATTGTCTTGGTCAGATGATGTTGTGCCTCCGTTGGCTACGGCAGGGAGAGTGGTATGTTCAGCTTCGACCTTGATATTGGGGTTATTCCCGCCGCCGCCTGCATGGTCAGTCGGTAAAGGTTCCTCGGGTATCGCTTGAGAAACTTCGAGTTCAGCTTGGCCAGCTTGGGCGTCGTCTCGATCGCTTGATACGTGGGAGTTCGATGGGGGACCAGCCATCGAGGCGGCAAATGTGTCGGCCAGCTCCAAATGCTAGGCAACAAAATATGATGGATCAATGAAATACTTGTGAAATGAATAAAGCATACCTCCAGCTGTGCGCTGAGCTCACGATCAGTACCTTCTTGGTTTGACGTTATCCTGTTCGAGCCGGCAGCAGTAACGTCAGGCAATGCCTCTGAAGAGGTTTCTGGAACGGTCACTCGTGGCTCGACAAGATCCATATACTATCGGTGACAGATTCATAAATGTCGACTTTCTTCGAATATATGACTAACTTGGTACGTACCTCCAACTCGGGGCTTGGTGATCGCAGATGCCCGACAGCATCGTCTTCTTCTTGCTTCAATGCGTTGGGAGCACCTGGTGGAGAATCCTCGGGTTTATCAGGGCGTTCAGTACCGGCATGAGAGGGCGGCGCAGGTGACGCGCCGTCGATGGTACGGGGGGTCGATGAAGAGCCTTGCTCGAATTCATTATGACGGTCTTCTAGAGATTGGTGGATCGGCCTTTGCAAGGGCACTATCCCATTTGCTTGCAGTACGTCTTCTCATCGATGAGTGCCAAGAAAACCCGACTTTAAACGAAGAAAGTACGACGAACCAAGGGGTCTGTACCGAAAAAGGAATTCCACCGACTTTGCCATGATCTTGTAGTTAAAGGGCGTCCCATTTTGGCTGGACCAATAGGGTTGGGCGTGAAACCCTTCGTCGGATTCGTAATGGTCGGCTTCTCCGAAGCTAAAACAAGAAAATCGCGAGTGAAAGAGATAACTTGCATTGTGCAGATATAAGTAGCTAGGCGTACCTAATACAATGAGGAGCATTTTTCTTGTCTTCCTCATGTACTTTGTTAGCTGTGGCGTTAACCGAGGCTGAAGGTCCGCTTTTAGCTTCCGTAGTATACTTGATTTTATATATCTTGAGGAGGATTGTTCCGATGTCCCCAGGTCCATAGCGACCGCGATACTGCTCGTCGTCTATGAAAGTACAAGCCTTAGACACCATGACACTGCCGAAACTCGGGAGGAACGTACCTGTGAGCTGAAGCTTGGAAAACATGAAAGGACGCCAGCGGATATCCCCAGCAATTTCGACGGTCGTCCCCCTCATGGATACCCTCGTCTGCTGAGGAGCTTTGAGGCTGACGATCTCATAACTATGCCCGTCGAGAAACACTTCTCCGGTAAAGTTACACCTTGAAGCGCCGGTATACTCCAAGAAGATCGTGAACTTCTGCTCTAATTCAGGCAGAGTGGATGAAGTGCTGTGTACTGACGTACCTGTCCTGCTTCGGATGATATCCAGCAAGATACTTGTCTCTTGGATTTCGTCTCCGCCTTGCGAACCTTGTACTCCTCGCGTTCCTCCTCGTCATCACCCATGTAGATGCAGGCGTTGAAACCACTGAGCTCGAGCATGTTCGGTGAAGGTAGTGTGAAGAGTAAGAAAAGGAGAGCCACGCGTGGCTAGGGTAGGCGATCGCAGTGAGGAAAGCAACGACGAACGTCGATGTTGAGCGGTGCTCGAAGAGAGTCGCGCGACATTGTGTCAAGACGCCGCGCTTCCTCCAGCCGTTTTCCCGGGTCACTATAGATCCCGACGTGCTATCGAGCTGTAGAAACAATGAACACCGCATGATAGTATCATTGACATTTGAGAACCACGATGAAGTGAAGAAACTATCGGCACAGTGAGCTCAAGTTCGTTTGAACGGGCAGCCCCCACTAGCATAAGCGCGCTCAGAATAATATAGGAATCTGATGAACTGACTTGAAACTGAGTATGGTACGGCTCATGAGTGTCCTGACTTGAACTCGACCATCTAATAGCCTGCATGCCACGCCGTCTCATACTGCCGCTCCGAATACATCGGCTGCAGCCCTTTGGGGCCCTCATGTCCGCTTCCTTGTCCTCCAAAACCACCGCCCCCAACTCCGACCCCGCTACCCGGCGCACCATCGGTCCCAGGGCCACCTCTGTGCAGCGGGCGATACATATCGGTGCTGGGCGCATATCCACTGGGAACATACCCGCCGAACGGGGTCGCACGTTCCTTCGCGCGCTGCGAGCGCCCGCGGAGGAAGAAGTACGCCGTCGCGGCGATGCCGAACAGCGCCAACGCACTGGCGACGGAGGCGATGGCGATCGCCCACGCTGGGACCTTTTGCGTGCCTGCGAGTGAGGGAGAACGCGTCAGCGTCGTCAGCATCGATGATGAGGACGTTACCGTTGAATATACCGAGCTTGTTCGTGCTGTTGCGGTGGCTCACGCCGCTGCCGGTCGTCCCGCGGGAGCCGTCGCTCCCGCGCATGCGTCTGAACTCGTCCGTGGCCTCGGTGGCGTTTGTGAGCGGGAGGAGCTGGATGAAGGAGGCACCTTCGTCGGGCGTGTTGCCGACGTCTGTGTAGGAGCCGAAGTCGACGAGCATGTATGCGTTGCGTACTGTCTTCGTCATAAACAGACGTAACCAGAAGGAGGTGTTTTGTCACGTACGGAATGCCATGCCGAGGATCATATCATACCCGACGATCCCACCATCTACTTTTGCTGGGTCGACGGTGTAAGGTTGGAACTACGCAATGTCATGTTCCATGAGGAGGGTGAATAAGATAGGGGCCATGTCGAGTACTCACCCCGCCAAAGCAGGTCCCGTCCTCCGCCTGGAAGTTGAGGTCCAGCGGGTGAATCGGGTACTCTATCCCTCCAAAAAAGAACGAAGCGGACAGCTCAGCGTCGCACGGGAGCGACCACGCATTCCCTGCGGACGGAGCGACGTACTCGAGCTTGGCACCCGGCACGTTCTTGTACAGCGCCTCTGCGACGTCACTAGACCCCTCTCGTATCAGCCTCACCGTGATCACCAGAATTCAAGGAGCGTACGTACTCGGGTACCTGCGGAAACGTGTACCCCGTGTCGAATATAACCGTTGCCGGCTGGTCCTTGCCTGCGCCGTCGACGCGCGACGATATCTCGATCCGCTGCCCGTCCGTACCCTTGATCCCGTCGCTGTCGAGTAGAACCTGCCAGTGCTGCCCGTTGATCAGCCGCCGCGGGACTTGCGTCACGTCCAGCTTGGGCTGGTTGCGCACGGACGCGTATTTGGGCAGAACCGAGCAAATGGAGAGGTCGCCGGGGTATTTAGGGCTCGAGGCGGCGGTGGAGGCATCGCCTGAGGGAGAGGTAGTGTTTGATGAATTAGAGGAGCTCGAGTCGGGAGAGGATGTAAAGGGGAAGGGTGTACCTGGCGCACCGGGTGCGTCCGAGGAAGAGATTTCGTCCCCCCGCCCGAGGAGCACGGCGATGTAGTTGTCTGTCGAGTTGTCTGAGCTGAAGATGCGGTCGATGGGCGGGTTTGCGGCAGAGGTGTTGCGCAGGGAGCGGATGCGCGAGTCCTGTGCGGGGCCGAGACCGAGGACTCCGTCGCCAGCTGAGACTTTGCCATCCGGCGCGTACACTGAGAGCGAGCGTTCAGTAAACACGGTAATTGTGTTTAAAGGTATATGTTGAACTCACCAAAGTACTGGTCGGGAACAGAGTATCCAGCAAACTCGAGGGTTGATGAAAGAACCTTTCCTGATTGACAAGCATGGTATACGTCATTAGACATACGCTAAAGGTCAACTCCATAACTCCACTCACCACTAGCCCCTCCTATGGCATAGTTGATTGTACCGTTGAGCTGTTGATCCGTCGCATCAGTGATTTCTTTGTTCGTCCACAGATCCGAGCTAAACTCTAACATGAGTGCGTTTAAGTAGTATTGATATATGTGGCGAATACCTTCCGGTGTCAATGGAGAGTTGCAGACTTGCTGCGCCCAATTGTGCGTTGACAGTGTACACCATGTTGGAGAGGTCCCGGACATTGGCCGACCCAGATACTGGTGCTCTCCTATGTAGAGTTGACGTTGAGGTTATTGTCCGGCCTGAAAGAGGTAGATGGGTAGCGTGTATGGTGCTAGCGACAAGCGAAGCACAGAATGACAAAAGGACAGGGTCTCGCATGACAGACACGATATCTGTGAGAACGAAGGCGGGGAAGGGCGAAAGAAGGGGAATGAAGAGGGGCGTTGACGGTGAGGAAATAGTCTCTTTAAGGGTGCTAACTGGAGGCTGAATATTGAGTGTTCATGCCACCCCCTGTTCATGCACATGGTTCATGGGGCTATCGCGAGGATTGCCAAGGTCTTGCGTCGGTCACTTGGGGCGGGATATCATTGCAGGCGCAGCGCTTTAGGAGCTCGATGGTGCGCCGTTCCAAGTCTGATCGTGAGCGAGATGCTACGAGGTTGGTCAATACACTTAGTCATTGGGCGTAAAAAAATAGCTACCCAGCAAAGTAAGCGCCGAAGACCACTTAAGCGCTGTAGCGGGTGCTAAAGATCAGAGAAGGGGGCTAGGTCCATATATGCGAGGCAGGGATTCTCTTACCATGGCCCGTTGTGTCAGCATGCCCGATATCGAACACACGCGAGATGACGCTGAGGTGGTGGAAGGCATCGTCGGCGACCGTGGGAAAAATAAACACTTCGCGGATAAAGTTTGCTTACCTAATTTACTCCTGGGTTATTTCCGCGTTTTGGACTTTGACGCCGACGGGATCCATGACCTCCTCGAGCACATTCAGCGCCACCGCCATCTCCTCCAACGACTCCCTCTTCCCTGTATACGCAGCCAAGCTCTCTTCTGGTGACCTGGAGCAGTACTGCTCCATTGCCTTCAAGCTCACAGCATGGCTCGACTCTCCACGCGCATATTACCAAGCCGCACGCCCCAACATTGTCCAGCTTGTCGAGGCAAGTACACATGACCACATGTTTCACTTGCTGCATAGAGAGATCTGAGACATGTATGTACCCCAACCTATAGGTTGCCTATCACTCCCTCCGAGACATGCGTAATAGATTGGGGCCCGAAGCCATCGGGCCAGCCGTCGAGGTCTATCATAGGCTTGTAGCTGTCGTTATTCGGCACAAAGGGATGTTTGAGGAGCACGATCTGCAAGGCACGTAAACAACTTTCTTACCTGTCGGGTCGGCTAATTGTTTCCGTTCTCATATCCGTATAAATAGTGCGTCTACACAACCTTTTCCTTTGGACCGACGACCTCTTGTCCGACCTTACCTCCGCCACTCCCTCGGGCCCTCCCCTGGGTGTTGGATCAGCAAACATGAGCCCCGTATTTGGAAAGTCACCAGTGGCAGGCCAACGACCTGTTCCTGTGTTTACCGTCCAACCTCTTACGAGAATGCCCACCCAGCCTGTCCCCAACCAGAACTCCGCTCCTGCTCCCACTTCTACCCACGTGCTGGCCCCGAGGCCGCCTTCGTCAGCGTCTCCCCATGTCCTTACTCCTCCTCTTCTACCTCGTATACCAACTCAGCCCGCGGTTGAAGGTCCCTCTCCCATCGCATCTCCCCTCGATCCCAATGCTCCCAACAAACCAAAGCCTAAGCCTAGAAGGAAGCTCAACTCCGCACTCTCGTCCCTTCTCACGCGCGATATTGACTTTTACAAGCACAAGGTCAATGATAGCCCTGTCGGCAGCACCGCAGGCTTGCCCGAGGGTCGTAGGGATAGCGTCGCAAGCGTACAGACTCAAGATGGTGCTCCCGATGGCGCGAGGAAAGATAGCATAGCAAGCGTCCCGGATGTTCGGCGCGACTCGACGACGAGCCTCGGGGGCGCTCCCCCGCCTGATACGCCCGCCACACCGATACAGGTATCACCGATCCCCACTCCAGCCCCGCCGCCTTCTGCGCCCTTACCATCCACGTCCCTCTCCGTATCAACAACAGTAGACTCCACATTTCATAGTCCAGTGTCTGGTCCCCCGCCTGAAACCCCGCCCACGCCTGCCTCTGCGCCAGCAGCCACTGCACAACCCATATCTGCACCCTCTGGTTCTACTTCCTTCCCACAACCACACCCAAAAGCGTTGCACTTCGCTGCCGGCCCTCACTCAACGTCATTTATCGTATCCACCCCGCGTCCAAAGAGCGGACTTCACCAGCATGCACAGGGTCGGTTTTCTGCTGCAGTTTCACCGCGGCCTCCGCCCGCACCCCCAGTACGATCGTCCTCGACACATGTTCAGGGTTGGTCGCCTTCACTATCGAAGGCGGAGGCGCAGCGTCGCACGCAATTACCACCGCAAACTGCGTCTCGACAGCTATCACAGCCAGCTCCAACCACAGCTCAACCTCCCTCTCAAACTGGGCCGAAACAACACCCAACACCCTCTCCTACGATCTCGAAATCCGTAGCTATCACATCCCTGTATCCTTCGCCTCAACCACAACAGCAGTCTCTGCACCATGCGTCAGGACCAACGCCATCGCCGCTTGCACCTCAGCCTCAGCCCCGTCCACAACTCTCCCCTGTGGTCTCGACGTCTGTTCCTGCTGCATCTCCCCAGCCCCCGCCTCAGCCCCAGCCTCAACCACAACCTCCATCGCAGCTCCATGTGTCAGCCCCAGCGTCATCTCCGACCCTCGCCCAGCCACAAATCCAGCCTTATACCCCACCTGTCATCGCGCTCGTACCGCAACCGCAGCCACAGTCGCAACCACAACCCCAGGCACACCCTCCCAAACCCACCAAAACAGCCCCCTCCCCAACCACTCCTACCGCTCCCCGCCCCGCGAACTCGGTGCACAAGCCGGTCACGGAGCTCATGTACCGCCCCGCGCGGCCGAACCCCGATTTTGTGCAGGGGCCCATCTCGACGTCCCCCCCGCGCATGCGCCGGCGCATTGGGAGCGTGGATGAGGGGACGGTGAAGGCGTGGGCGCGGGTCGAGGAGGAGCGGGTTAAGGCTGTTAGTGCGCAGGGGCCGGTCTGGGCGCAGGAGTATGTGCCGGGCCCGTTGACTGCTGCACCGGAGGAGGTAGAGATGGGGGTGGACGGGAATACGGCGGCGGCGAAGGTCGATGCGAAGGCAGACGCGATCGGCGATGTGAGCGAGGATGCGGTGGTCAAGGGTGTGATCGCGCGAGATGTCATCGATCTTGACAGCCCGGTGGAAGAGAAACCTTCGGTTGTTGTTGCGTCTGCACCTGCTTCCACTTCTGACGAACCTGACAAGCTGCAGGACCACAATGTAGCTGACAAAGCGTCGGCATCTGACAGGGAGGTGTCGAAGAGTCTACAAGAGGAAGACGCGAAGGATGTGCGAATGGATGTGGACGATACCAAGCAGGAAGCACCTTCGGCCGTGGTTCCTGACCAGGTGCAAGCTCCGACATCGGCGAAGATGAAGGTGGACTCTGTGACCCGAGAAGATGTTGTCAAGCCAGCCGCTGTGGAAGAACACAGGGTTTCTGAGACGTCGAATGCTCCTATGTCTGTCGAAGAAGGTAAAGAGACAGTGACAGCTGCACCTACTTCGCAACAGGGCTCCTTCCAGCAAGCAGAGTCTGGAGCAGCTATAGTCTCGAGTCTAGCAGAAGTGAGCAAGGAGACTGCCCTCATGATTGCCCAAAAGTCGCGAGGTCAGGCCAGCTCTGTGGACTCGGATTCATCGCACTACCTCCCGGTCAAACACAGGGCGATAGCATTGTTGCTTGCGCGCAAACGCGGTGTCGACGAGGGTAACTCAATGGATACCCTTGAACCAGCTGACACTCAGAAATCAGAGACAGATGGGATGGAAGTTGACGCCGTGGATTCATCCAAGGGCGAAGGCGAGGAATCAGCTGTCCTTGCGGTCAACGGGCATAAACGCGAAGCTGCTGCCGATACTGCTGAACCGGACGAAGCACCGCGATACACGTCGATGTCCATGTCTATGTCGCCTCAGCTCAGAGTTATCACCAAAGCAGACGAAGCCTTTTTTAAATCTAATGTACCACCATCCTTACGCCCGGTGTATACGAACGGCTTCACGCACTCTCCCCCGCCGTTCTTCGACTCGCCCGCATTGCCGACTGTCGAGCCGCCCAAGAACCTCTTCTCGCTGAAGCTCAGGCCGAGGTCTCAGACGACGGTAGACGAGCTTGCCCGGACTGTGCTCTCTAAAGCCACTTTCCCTGGGTCTCGTTCTGCGTCTGTTTCGACGCCTGCAGTATCGACGGTGTCTACGGGGACTAGCTTTGCCCATACGAACGCGGTGCTGCTGTGTGCGGCGCCTGCGCCCCATGTCTTTGAGGTGGAGTTTAGCAAGGGGCACATTCAGCAGGTGCAGGTGTGGATGAACGGGAGAGGAGGTGGTGATGCGAGGTGAGCGCCTATTGGGCTATGTTCTTTGAGCAATGGACTGAGAGTATGCTGCTCCTTTCACAGTGCTGTCAAGAACGGCGTATGCCTTTCACTAGCATGTTATCGCGTACCGCGGTCTGTTGCGAACAAGATTACGACGAACAAGCCTATACCCCCTGCCGAAGGGCGGGACACTTCGATACCAGATGAGCTTCTCGAGCGGTCGTGCGACTGGCCTGCGCAACCTGACACCATTGCGGAGCTCGTTGCCAGTATACGAGGTGACGACGGGGGCGAGCCAAATGGGAAGGGTGATATGGATATGGAGTGGAGTGTGCAGCTGTCGCCGCCTGTGAAGGTAAGCATCGTCTGATTATCTGTTTCTACGTCACAAGCTGATGATGGTGTCATCCGTGCTATTACTCCGTTCTGCCCGTCTGATATACCCAGGTCACACCAGATGGCTGCGTCGATATGTCGCGCTTCGCCCGCCCAGGTCGTACCACGTTCGACATCAAGTCCACTTCATTCAGTGCTTCCAATCCTGATCCTGACGAACCGGTGTATCTGTACGCGTTGTACGCACACAAGCCAACGACCGCCCAGCTTGCTGCAGTCCAGAGACGCACGACGAGATCACAAAGCATGCTTGGCGATCGACGGTTGCCCACTGGCTTTGATGACTGGCAGAAAGCTATTGTCGGGGATACTGGGGGCGCTGACCAATTCGCCATAGGGGAGAATGGGCACAGACACGCGAAAGAGAACGGACAGGGGCAGAATGGCAACGATATGGATACGGATCCGGATGTATCCTTGGCCAGTAGTCTTAGTGGTCCCGTTGGGGTTGCAATCGCCATTGACTCGTGAGGCTTCTCTTTTTGCATGTGCCGGGTGACATTTTGGATCATTTGTTATGTCTGTATGCCGCATGTCCGCGATGAGCATCGCCGTTTCTATACACCATTTCATGGCCTTTTCGTAATGATTCTGATATTTCTTCCATGTTACCCTCCTTCCTAGCACTAAGAAGCTTAATTGTACCATTTAGGTGCACTGTTTATCTTTTTTCTTCTTCTTACAACAACTCAGGCGCTCGTATAAACATAGAAAGAAAAGAGCTTGGGATATAGAGTCACAGACGTCAATGTTGAGCCTCCTTGATGAGCTCATCGAGCTTCACCCGGGTAATCGAAGGATTCCGTGGAGTGACGCTGCACGGGAACGCTTTCGGTGCACTGTTCGTACATCACATTAGCCTTCACGCAGAATAACCTAGTAAAAGCGAGAGCTTCTACTCACATGACGACCCCCGACGTCCACGTCGCATTCGGCTCGACGTCCCGCCCCTGCGCGTCCTTGGTCTTGGCGAAGTTGAACAGCGACAGCATCGACGCAACTGCAATCCACAGCGACGCGTCGGCTAAGTGCATGCCTGGGCAGATGCGACGGCCGAAGCCGAATGGGTAGCGGAACTCATCCTCAGTGAGCTCGCCCGTGGGGGTGAGGAACCGGTCAGGGTTGAATGTCTCAGGCGAGGGGTATTTTATGGGATCGCGGGAGAGTGCCCTGGGAGTTTGCAGTTAAGGTGTCAGGGTTAGGGAGAGTGTTAGAGTAATGGAAGGAGAGGAGAGGCGTACCAGACGTTGGCGACGATGGCGGTGCCCTTTGGAATGAAGTAGCCATTGTAGATGTCGTCCTCGGAGGTTGCGTGCCAGACAGCTGTGAAGTAGTGAGAATGACACCCTCTGTCAGATGAACAAGAACGTACCAAGAGGTGTGACAGGCCCCCAACGAAGCGTCTCTCGGATAAGAGCGTCGAGGAAGGGCAGAGAATCCCGGTCTTCGTACGTCGGGAGACGGTCGTCGCCAACGACGGCGTCAACCTCCTTCTGGGCGCGAGCTTGGATGTCTGGGTAGAGTGTCATGGCGAGGATAAACACAATCAACACTGAAGCCGTCTAGTAGATCGGCGAGCACGTTAGGCTTAAGGGCCAGCTTCGAATCGGTGCGACGCACCGTATCTGAACCAGCAGAGAACGCCGTTCCGCACGCGTCTTTAATCATCTGCTCGACATCGCCTTCCTCACCAAAGCGTCGGAGACAGTCAGCGCCCATGGAAGTCATGCCTTCGTCTGCTTGCTAAATGGTCGTATGAGAAACATCGTCGGCAATGAAGACAATGGTGAGCTCATACCATCTTCCTGATCATGTACTGATATGGCTCCTCAATCATCTTCTTGCAGTACTCTCGACATATTGCGGCGTTGAAGTTACCGCCAGGCAGAGATGGCGGGACATATTTGACTGATGTACGTTTACTTGAGTATGAGTAAGGAATTGGGTATCTGGAAATGTACTTACGGAACGGGAATGCAGCGACCAACGCTGATTTCTCGGGTGCTCCAACCATCTTCTCCACCGCCTCAATCACAGTGCGTATGATGGGGTCATTTGGCTTCACGTCGTAGTCATACACTGCGGACATGACGACTGCAGCTCCGAACCTTCACAGAATTGTCAGGACATGTCACCTAGTGTGGGGACTCTACGAAAATGCTACTTACGCGTGCATATGTTCATGGAACTCCGAGGGGTGCGACAGAAGGTTGACCATCAATTCATGCGCCTTACGTGTTTGCATCGGCCGGTAGACGGTCGCAGCTTCCTGATGGAATACCTGGTGGTACAATCGTCTGTGAAAGCGCCACGTATCGCCATATCGGATGGTGGGCGTGTTGAATTCAGTTCCATAACTGCACGTTCATTCGATGACGTCAGGGATATGAACATGTTAGCGACAAGGTAAGAAGGTCGATACGCACGGTTCGACGGTAACAAGAGCGACTCTGTCCGAGTACTTGTAGGAACGCTTGTCCAGCAGGTCCCGAATGGACTTCTCGGAGTGTAGCGTGACGATACCCAGACCAAACAAGCGAGAATAGACGAGATCACCTTGCGTATACGAGGTTCAGTGCCCTCGTTCCGTTCGAGACAAAAGGTGATTCACCATGCTCCCTTGACCAGTCTGCGAATGTTACCCAGGGCTGCTGCCAGTTCATATCCAACACGTTTCCGATCAGCGGTAACGATCGAGGTCCTGGTGGTAACGATCCTTGTTGCTTCTTGATTTGTATGCGCCTCCCCGCAACGACAGCAACAAGGGCTGCTGCTGCCAGAATCGCCCACCGAGTCTCCTTCATGCCGAAGTACGCCTTGAACGTGTCCACGTCGAGATAAGAGCTGAGGTTGGCACTATCGAGGTATGTGCTAAGCCTGTCCATGCCAAAATACGCGCTGAGCCTGTCCATGTCAACCGAGGGTGCGGGGAGAGTGGGGGCGACGGTGCTTACACGATAAGGAGTCGAGATACCTTTATCAAGGTGGCCACACACTCGATAGGCGCGCTCTTTCGTCAGGATTCATTCATGCCGTCGTTGTGCATGAAGCGAGAAGGTGGCTTGTGCATGTTGATGACTCTTCCATTCATGGTGTCACACAAACTTGGACAACAGCTGGGTCTGGGGCCTGCATCGATCAACGGCAGTTCGCGCGTTATCAAGATAGACATGACGTACAACGTCATCTAATCAGCTTCGTCAGTGAATATGTTTGACTGGAGTGTGCCGTTGACCGTCACTGTACGTTGTGATGAGAGTTCGCGCCTCCACCGCGTTCCGTGCAAGATGTCACCGAAAGGAGTCCGGTGTGAAAAGCGGAAAATGCCGGCGGGTCGTCGGATTTTCGGACTTGCAAACGTGAAGGCGCTCCATAAAGTGAACGATCCTTTTTCAATGCATGGAAGCTCGCTTTCTTTATGGATCGTTTACAGATAGAACGAAGGTCAAGAACCCTGTAGCGTGACTTCGACTCCCGAAGTTAACAGAGACTGAATACTTACCCATTTCTTTTAAATCAATGATCATAGCGTGGCATAAATTCTACCCAGGTCGAGCTGACGAGCCACTGGCTGGACATCTGTAAGTGCATACTTTCCCCTAGCTTACCCATGGCCGACCCAACCCAAAAAGGATTCCGTTCCTAATACCCCAACAGACCTTCTCGCCTCACGCACCTTCTAGCGCTGATGGGTAGCCAAACGTTGGCGCTTATCATATACCGAGCGAGCAAACAACATATTGTGTCGAAGCATATACTTAACAGGCGTAAACTCAAGGCGCCACGTCTTCCCGAAGTATTTGCAGTGGGATCTTCATACATTCACTCAAACCATTATTAGGCCCACAAAGTACGACACAAAATTAGAATCTGCGCAAGATGAGACATACGGTTTGCGGTGTCCGTCACTGTGTGACGAAAGTATCCGCCATAAAGCGTAGCAGTTCCTTAGTGGGACCGCCCAAATAGTAACCTTATAGCTGAGCCAGCCGCTCCGAGTCTAATCCAGAATGTCTGGGGATTATCCGGCATGGGAAGGGCAGGGGAGTTCTTGAACAGCGTAATTGTTCAATATCTCCAACAAAATCTTCGCAGAGGAGATATCGCTCACCTTGCAGTACCAGACGACCATCCGGGGACAAAATCCCTTTCCTTTTCAAAGCGAAACATAGAGAGAAGTTATACCACGCCTATCCATACGGAAGCATCTGCGAGATACCTTCCGGGACATACACGTCGTCCGAACCCAAAGACGAAATCGGGTGTCTCACCCGTCAATGTTCCTTGTTGAGTAAGGAAACGTTCTGGACGAAACTCCTCGGGTTCAGGGAAGCGAGACTCGTCTCGAGTAATAGCCCTTTGAGCTCGCTTCGTGTCAATCGTCCAATATGTATTAACGTGGATACGCACCAAACGTTCACAATGATGGGTGTATCTGAAGTCCGGTACTTAGTAATATACGGCTTTGTATGCGACGGATACTAACCTTTCGATGTGAAGTCACCTTCATAGATATCGATGTTATCCTCAGTCGTGTTATGTGGAATTCCTAGAAAGTCTGGATTCAGACGTTGAGTACGAGATTAGCGGGAACTAGGCTTACCCATGGGTACGATAGGGCCCCAGCGGATCGTTTCACGAATCACGGCCTATATGTAGGGCATATGTGGCCTATCCTCAAATGTAGGCAAGCGGTCGCTGCCGCACATGCGAGAAATTTCGACGTAAGCGTACGCCTGAACGTCCGGATAGAGTACCATAGCCAGTGCGAAAATGGCAAGCGTTGATGATGTTTTTATGATATTGACGTTCAGAGACCGTTGAGAAACACATTGCATGACGCATATACTCACCGTCTCTGCTCCAGCTAATGAAGAGAAGCCATGTAAGTATACGAATTCACAAGGCATTTGAAAGGTCACTATACCTCCAAACATAGAACCACAGATATTACTGAACAACTCTGTATCATCGTTACTCCCGCCCCCGTAGGTTTTCTTTGTGTCGGTGAATCCTTCTGAGAAGATGCTCAGAACAGACGACCCAGGCTTATAAAAAGGGTTGATCAGCAGGCGAAAAAAGGTAGATGAGGGTTCATACGATGGTTTCTTGGGTGTGTTTCAGTGTCTCGTGAGTTGTTGCCCGGCAAAACTCTTTGCATTTGGCAGCGTTCAAGATACCACCACGAAGCTATGATGGGATGTATTTGACTGAGTGCAATCATGTCAGCTGTAACGCGGAATCCGGGGCAGGGGTAGCACGGAGAATTTACCGAATGGCAGGTATTCCACCAGGAGCGACTTCTCTGGCGCGCTGACCTGTACGGCGACCTCAAGGGCTGCATTGAGCTTGGCGCTCAACGGGTCGTTGACCGGGTGTGCCTGATAACCGTACACCGCTGACAAAATGATCGCAGCGCCGTAGCTAGGATTGTTGTTGTTATCTGGGAGATGCATAAACAGGCCCAAAACTCTAACGTCTTCAAGTGATCCTTGTATTCCTCTGGTATCTCAAGGATGCTGATAAGGAGTTGATGAGCCTTGTTAGCCTGCATGGAGCGATACTTTTTGGTTGCCTCGGGCCGGAAATGGTGATGAAAAAGGCATCGGTGAGCGCGCCACTCGTCCGTGTATCCGAGGAGAGTAGTCAGTCGACTAAGCCCATATCTGCAAGCATGGGTTCAGTCAGGTAGCTCAAGGGAGAAAAGTGCGGACAATTCCGATGCACGGTTCAGCTGTAGCAAACCACATGCGCCCTGAGTATTTGCTGGACCGACGGTCAAGCAGCTCTAGGGCGATCTTTTCATCGCTGACCACTACGGTTTCCGACCCCATCAGCGTAATTTTGAAGATGGGGCCTGTAAATGACCAGCGGCATGAATATGCGAGCTAGGCTCTACATGTACAATGGCTAAGGGCACGCACCGTGGATCTTACTCCACTCTGCGTAAGTCTTCCATGGATTAGCGAGGTCCATTCGGTTCATGTTCCCGACGATGGGTCAAGGCTTGGGTCCACCGATAGTGCATCGTTGGCGTCTAGAACGAGTCAACCCACGAGCCACAAGCAGAGCTACAACGATGGATGCGGCAAAGGTCAGTGCCGCATAACTATAGTGCTCGCGTGGAGATAAACTCAGCATCTGCATGGATGGAAAGGATGTGGTGTTGATGTTGAAGCATACCGAGGGTAGAACTCACTTCTATACTGAAGTGGAACACGCTGAAGACGTGGCGGGCCCGAGCTAGCCTTCGTACCGCCCCTGGGATAACCAATGAAGCTGGCATAGTGACATCTCTGCGCGATGGAGTCTGTAACGCCGCGCCGTGAGCCAATCGTCGACGCGAAGTTGACTTAGTTGACTCCGACCACGGTATCATATGGGATTTTGAAACAGCGGCTCAACGAGAGAGTTTTGACGCTTTACTGTTCATGAAAGATTTGTATGGACATGCTGGCCTCTGCCCAGTGAGAAGGCATTCGGGGACAACGATGACTCGAAACTGGCGATTCTTGAGCGCGAGGAAAGTGAGTGAAGAGAACTCAGTCGCTTCCGCGGGGATCGGACGCTTCGAAGCGGGATTCTGTTCGCGCCTTCCGATTCACTCCGAACGATAGCCAAGTAGTATTTGCCGAAAACATTTGGAAAACATCCCCAAACCCCTAAGACACAACTGCTGCAGGTCTCCGAGTTCGAAGTAGTAACAACTCCATAAGAAGAAAAACGCTCTTGAAGCTGTATGTAAGTAAATACTCTTCAACGATTAGTCCGCTATATTATGCCCGTGTTTGAACTAAGTAAAGTATGTTTAAGATGTGTCAAGGCGAGTCATTAATTGCAGCTGCGGTCGTTCCTTCATGAATAAGTAACAAGATGAGAACAAAAGTGTAACGCTTCTGTATGCCGTCCCAATTTACGAGAGGCGGCTTATTTCTCTATGAGGAAATCTGGGTAGAATGTGACAGGGAAATGGCTCTGGATACCTGCGATTGTGTTAGCAAGCTATCGTGTCACCAAAGTCTGATCATAAGGACAAAGCTTACGACGTTGACCCAGACGACCACTCTGGGACGAAATCTACCTCCATGCCGTTGTCATCCTTTGCTTTCTCGAAGCGAAAGACGGCGAGTAGTGATGCTATAGCTATCCAGAGCGACGCGTTGGCGAGGTGTTTCCCCGGACAAATGCGCCGACCAAACCCAAAGACAAAATCCACCGTATCATTCGTCAGTGTGCCATCTTCTGTCAGGAAGCGTTCCGGTATAAATTCAGCAGCCCGATGATACCTAGCCTCATCTCGGCAGATACCCCTGGAAGTAATGTAAGCAAGAGGCGTACAATTGTCGCGGTCAACACTCACCAAACGTTCACCATTACGGTTGTGCCTATATAACCCATTGGTAAGTACTTCGTCTATCCAGTGGATGTAGATTACATGCCTTTCGGTATGAATTGTCCCTCGTACACATCATCGTCGGTTGTACTGTGAGGGATGCCTACAAAAACATATTCATGGGCTGATCAAAGTCTCGATGTTTCGGTCACATACCTAGGGGAGCAATCGGACACCACCGCAGCGTCTCCCGTACTACAGCTTCTACGTACCGGAGACGTGGCCTATCTTCAAATGTAGGCAATCTGTCGCTTCCGCAGACATGAATGATTTCCGCATAGGCACGATTTTGCACGTCGGGATTGAGGACCATTGCAAGTACGAAGATAAAAAGCACCGAAGCAGTCTGTAAGATCGAGACAGTCAATACGCTCAAGATATACGAATATCTTACTCACAGTCTCTGATCCAGCTTCAGGTCAATAAAGAAGTCAGAACGAGTCAATTTGCAGAACTGAAAGCTTTCGTTACCTACAAAGGCAGCGCCGCAGACATCCTGAATCAGCTGCAAGCTCCCTTTACTCGAGCGCGGCTGTTCGATATCGATGAGCCCTCGATATCCTACAGTCCATATTGACGAGTACGGCTCCTGTAAGCCTTGTCAGTGTTATAACAGGACAAAAACTGAAAGTAGTGCGAACAATGGTTTCTTCGAGATGACGGAAAGGTCCATCAACGAATGCGCTGCAGCTATTTTTGCACCTAGCGGCATTCATGCTTCCACCGGGAAGCCATGTAGGTATGTACTTCACTGATCGTTTTGTCAGTTGTATCAACACAGGTAGAAACCGAAACTCTTACCGAACGGCAAGCAGCCCACTAAGAAAGCCTTCTCCGGAGAGCCGGCCTGAACAAGAACCTTAAGTGTGCGATTGATCTTCTCAACTAGCGGATCGTGGACAGGACTAGCTTGGTAACCGTACAAGGCAGACATGACGACCGACGCTGCGAATCTGTTGCTTCTCAACGAAAATATTTGATGAGACACATACTTACGTACGTTTGAATGTGTTCTCTGTAGTCTGCAGGCGACTCCGTTACATTGATCACAAGCTGATGTGCCTTACGAAGCTGCATTGGATGGTATTCCCGAGCGGCTTCCGCTCGGAAGTGCTGATGCAGAACGCGTCGGTGAGCGCGCCATTCGTCAGTGTACCCGATAGTGGTGGTGAAAAAGCCAAAACCGTATCTAAAGCGTGTGATGCTCTTCATGTTGTTGATGGGAAACGAACAAAAACGTACGGTTCGGTAGTCGGAAGCCACATCCTTCCCGAGTACTTCCTAGACCTTCGGTCAAGGAGCTCCCGCGCTACCTCCTCGCTGCCGATCACGACAATATTGACCCCAAGCAACCTGGTTTGGAAGATCTTGCCTAGTAGGATATAACTATTAGTACCCTCAGACTTGAGGCTCTCAAGACCTTGATGCGTACCGTGAGTCCGACTCCATCCTTGATAGCTCAGCCAGGGCGAATTGAAGTTCAAGCCCCATATATTTCCGAGCAGAGGTAAAGGTGTAGGTCCAGGAAGGGTGCAGCAATTCTTTCCCGGACCCCGCGAGCGATGTATGAGAAGAAGGACCAATATAGAAACAGCGACGAGTCCTGTTCCCCATGAGTGTTTTTGGAGGAGGCTTGGAATCGACATGTCAGCCCTACAGCTGGAGCGGAAGAAAAGGGACACACCGTCTAAGGATCCGCCACCTTTTATTAGCTTTCGTCAACTGCAGATTCGGTCTGTTCAGGGAGACGCCCTTGTTACCCTTGTCGTGTACTTCATCACCATGAGCCGGGAATCGGTTATCTGTGGTAACGCCGGGCGCACTAGGTAACATATACGTAGCTGCCCTCATGTGCATGACCACGCGAAACCTGACGCCGCAAACATGTCACGCGCCTCTGCGGCTATGCATCATCGTCCGAAGAGGTCTGATGACCTGTGTGCATGATTTAGACTGTTTGAGAGAGGTCGCTGGTTGGGGTATAGAGCTAGTCGTATGGCCAGGGGGTAGTAAGAAGAAGCAAACCATCCGATCATAAGCTAAATGACGTCGGTTAGCCTTATTGAGTTAGCCCTGTTACAAGCCCCTATCTCATGGTCGACCCTTGCACATCAACAAGACACGCCGTCGCGTAAACGCTCCAGCTCCAACGGCATACAGTTTTAGGTCACATGGCAAAGGTAGATAGAAATACTTTTCACGCGGTGCATAACACAAAATAAATAATTATAACACCGGAAGATGAGAGAGGGTAGATAATCCCCGCGATAATTGTTATAGGGTTAAAGGGACGCATGTTGAAGTATTTTACCTCACTCATAAATTATATGCTCCTGCATGATCCTACTTTCAATGCTGAATCTAGTATAATCATCTCAATGTGCAGGTTTACCCTTCCACATCTTAGCTAAGGACTGAAGGGATATTTTTCGTCGCCAAGAACGCTCCATTAAAAACGCGGTTGCGGATAGATCCGCCGCTCTACATCTTGCTCAGAATGCCCTTTGCAGGGAGACATGTCACAGTCAATGACGCCACCATCAATCAGCATCCTGTTCATGTTGACTTCGCGTTACATTGCACACTTGGTGCAGCAAGGTCAGAGTTTGGTTAGGGTATTTCCTGTGCATTAGATTTTACTAACTTTATGTTATTTTGGACGTGTCAACCTTTTATAAGTTGCTGCCCGTGCTTTCGAAGTGAAATGTTGAACTTCCTGTTTTGCATCTGTTTTAGTATCGTCTCCGTCTCCTTTGAGGAGTAGTGTCTGAGGGACATCGATGCACAACTGAATGTACACTGAGTCTTAACCCATTGAATAACGGATACTGCGGACAAAGAAATTAAGCACAATTCAGTCGAGCATTGTGACAGGGGGAAATGCCACAGACCAAGGCAGTAATGTACAGTTCAGGGATAGAGCCACTGTGCACGACGTGGCAGTGCGATTCCTGAGAGGGGCGACGCCACAGAGCCAAAGATGCCGTCAGGGTAACAATCTCTTCGAGACAAATGAGATGAGTTAGAATTCTACCCAGGTCAGCGACTCTCGCTTGAGAGTTTTAAACACCTCCGGTTACCCAGCTCAAATTGAATGTAGCCGTCGAAACCTTTCGCAGTGCTCAAATGCTCATGCCTAGCACGCCAACGCTGCTATTTACGGTGAGAGTCTGCGTGGTAACCCACCATGAGGCCTTGAGGTTGAACTATTGAACACCGTTTGAAAAAAGGCAGTCATTAATTATGATGCGGACCGGATTGAAGGACAGACTCTGCCTTGCTGTGCTGCACCATAACCTTACTTATTCTGACATAGGGATGACCCCTTGCAATCAAAGGTAATCTTTTTCCACATTGAAAGAGAGTGTGTCGTTGTGTAGGTTAAAATCACTCAAATGGATATAAACTCGAATGTAGGCGGGAGAAGCGTCGGAGCACATCTAGCTGCTCCCTAGGATGCTCAGCACGACGGTCCCTATTTACGAGGTTGAAAAACAATGGGCATGATGCGTGAGCGGCAGAAACAATGAGACAAATGGATACGATGCGATTGTGGGAGACGAGAATGAGAAAATCATGCCTTGCAGCCGCCGTTATAAGCTAAGATAGGGTCGATAGCTTCCACACGGCAATATTCACAGAGAGGGAGATCGAGCAATGGATGTATGGTGACAGAAAAGTATGGAATACAAAGGCGGGTAACATATAACAAAGGAGAGAATAACTATTGAACGGCAAGGACCATAGGGCGAACCTCATTCAAAATAAAAGGGTCAACGCGTACGCAGCAGCTGCGCCACGAAGGGACTCGCGTTGAAGAATAGAACCACTACCGACCTACATTCCGAAAACAGGGGAGACATTCAAAAGCGGGCAACATGCGGGCCGACAGGAGCCGCAACCAAACACAACCACACCGTTCGTGTCATAAGTTTGAAGATACGATTAGATCAAGAGGCACACCGCCTGAGTTTATCAGGATAGGCTAATTTACGTACTTGTACCCAGGCACTTGATCAAATGAACACCTCGCATTCCTGTTACTAATGACCGCCGCCGTAGACGCATCGAAGACACTCAGTGCTCAGCGATGTCAATCATGTCCTTCAGCCTCTCCTCGGTAAGATGAGAATTCCTCGGCGTGATACTGCATGAGAAGTTGTGCGGCGCTCTATCCATAGCACACATTTCAGCAAGATTCCGGCATACACAGTGCTAGGATGAGAGAAAAGGCTTACACAACCACCCCAGACGTCCACGTTAGCTTTGGCTCAATGACGCCGCCCTTCGCGTCCCTGGCCTTCGAGAACTTGAATGTGACTAGCAACGATGCTATTGCGATCCACATAGACGCGTCTGCGAGATTCACGCCTGGGCAGATACGCCGGCCGTAGCCGAACGGGTGGAGAAATTTGTCATCGTTTAGCTCACCGTCGCTGTTGAAGAACCGCCAGGGGTTGAAGTCTTCGGGCGAGGGGTACTTGATTGGGTCTCTGGAGAGCGCCCTGTCGTGCAGTAGGTAAGCAGAACGATCTTCACGCGAAGGCAGCCCACCAGACGTTTGCAACAACAGCAGTTCCTGTTTCGGGTTCAAAGCAATGTTAGACGGATTCTCGACGTACCATCGCAGCGACCAGCTATGAGAACATACCTTTGGGGATGTAGTATCCATTAAATATATCATCCTCTGACGTAGCATGCCATACCGCTGGTCACAAGGCGTGAGTGGTTGTTGGCTTTAGATAGCACTGATAGACTGACCAAGCGGTGTCACGGGGAACCACCTGAGTGCTTCGCGAAGGACTGCGTCCACAATAGGAAGGGACTCTCGATCGTTGTATGTCGGGATCCTATCTTCGCCAACAACGCGGACCACTTCCTTCTGCACTCGTTCTTGAACGCCGGGGAAGAGGACCATAGCAAGCGCAAAAACAATGAGAACAGATGCAGTCTATCACGATGGATAAGTGGTGTGTTCACTGCGATTGAGCGTGTCGACGTACCGTATCGGACCCAGCTTCAGTGCGAGAATTAGTATACCGTGAGTTTACATAAAGAAGAGACAGTGCTTACCTGCAAAGGAAGTACCGCATGCATCAATTATCATCTTCTCGATGCTCAATCCGTTGTACTCTTTCTCGGCGGCAAAGCGCCTGACGCATTCCGCACCCATGCACATGTTCTCGTCGTCATCTCCCTGATTTTATCAGTAATCATTAGTCATGTCTAGAGCTTAATATAGCTGAACGTGACTCACAATTCTAGCAAGCATGTCCTGATACGGCTCCATCTTCATCTTCCAGCAAGCCTCGCGGCATTGTTGGGCGTTAAAGTACCCTACTCTGGGAAACCACGCAGGAATGTACTTCACTGTTATCAGATCAGACTAGGTCAGCTTGTATCGCACAAATAATCACAAAAAACCCTACAAAACGGAAACGTATCGACGAATGTAGCTTTTTCGGGGGAGCTGATCATTTTCTCTACCGCAGTTTGCACCATCTCCAGCGTCGAATCGTGAGGCGTCACGTCATAGTCGTACGTAGCAGACATGACAACAGCGGCGCCGAATCTGAGGCATTCAAAGCGTTCGCTCTAGGCACGTCTATGGCGATGAAGCGCAGGAACTTACCGGTGCATGTGGTGGTAAAAATCCTTGGGAGCCTCGAGCACGTGGAGAAGGAGCTCGTGTGCCTTCTTCGCCTGCATTGACCTAAACACCGTCGCGGACTCAGTGCGGAATACATGGTGGTACAGCCGTCTGTGGAAGCGCCATGCATCACCGTAACGGATCGTCGGCGTGCTGAAATCGGCGCCGTATGGAGCGACAGTAGCAAGCGCGACGCGGTCTGAGTATTTGGTGGAGCGCTTGTCGAATAGGTCTCGGATGAGGTCTTCGGAGTGTAGAGTGATGATGCGAAGGCCGAAGAGCTTTGAGTGGACGAGGTCACCTGATAGTGCGAAGATCAGAGAACATTCTAAGCACGAGCACAGTACTGAGATTATCGTACCATGAGCTTTGGACCACTCCGAAAATGTGACCCACGGCTGGTTCCAGTCCATGTCGAAGAGGTTCCCGACGAAAGGCAGCGCGCGAGGACCAGGAGGAAAAGGGTGTCGCTGTCTCGATTTGATGAAGTGGCGCGCCGTTATCACCGTAAAGGCCACTACTATGGAGGCGATGGATGGAATAACGACACTAGAGTGTTGTGTGTACTCCATAGCGAATGAGAAAGCAGACAGCCAAAGACGACTTCGAAGAACTGGGAATTATGGTTGGACGTCAGTCGTCCGGCCTGATATACGAGACACGGTGCGTTACGTTACGTTCCATCCTGATGTATACAAGGAGGGCCAGAGGAATGCTGCGTTATTATAACATATCTCCTGTCGTGACGAACGAAAAGTCTTGGAGTCCCTGGATATTTATGACTTTGCCGATGAAACCAATCACCTTCACCTCTTGAAGAAAGTATAGAAGGGCTTTACGCACGTAAAAGCTGTTTCCATTCAACGCCGCAGCTGATCGCCGCCAATGTGACCCAGCGGCGTACGCCGATACGTACCAGTGGGCCTCGATCCCAGCCTACCGGAACGTTATCGCTACTATGATTAGCACTCGAGCCAAGATTCGAGTTCATTGTACGCTGGACATTTGCAGGAACGTCTGTGTCGAGTGGTATCGTAAGCGGTACCCGTTGAGAAGTGATAACGTATAGAGAGGAGCTGTGAATGGCGAGGCGGATTTTCAAGGCATCGTTATCCGGTGGGAAATGGGGGGATCCTCGCTCTCCAATATTGGTACTGCTGATGGTGGTTGATCTAAGCTCTACGATGCAGATGCCTAAATGGAGTTCCCTAGAGCAGCGTTTACGGAGAGGTGCGCTGGAAGGGCCGAAATAGTGCTGGTCGACACGCCGGCAAGCAGCTATGATGTTCGCAAGTGTACAGCGGGAGCTGAGTGGGATTCTGTAGGAGTTGAGTACTTGAGTGAGAGTTGGGAGCTGAGACGGGATTTTCCAGTGGCAGTGCATTTCGGACCGACACTGCCTGTCTCGGAAAGCCCCTGTGTAATTTGCCGGATGATGTTCCCACGGGCACTTTAATTTGCTTATCCCCGGTAGTTTTGCTCACGTTTGACTCGTTTGTCGAAGAGCGTGCTCTATCTTTCTTTTCCTCTCCCTACGACTTGTTTCGACAAACAAAACAAGATGGCAGAGATCCACCACCAGTTTGATACTATCCTTATCCTCGATTTTGGCTCCCAGGTGCGTGGATCGTCGCATGTTGTTGACCAAACCACTGATTGCGTGTTTCATCGTTCAAACGCATGTCATGCCCTCCCGGCATCGGTCATGCCATGATCCTTCCTTCTAAACTCGCAACCTCCACATGAATGACATCACATCCTTCCTATAACCAGTACAGTCACTTGATCACGCGTCGATGTCGTGAACTCAATGTCTACGCGGAGCTGATGCCCTGCACCGCCAAAATCAGTGACATCCCGTTCAAACCAAAAGGTGACCTTCACTCTCGTCTTGACCAACAGAGTGCTTATTGCTTTGATTCTCACCTTGCAGGTATAATCCTTTCCGGATCACCATATTCCGTCTACGATGACGAGGCACCACACGCCGATCCCGCAATCTACGACCTTGGCGTTCCCATCCTTGGTATATGTTATGGCTTGCAGGTACGCCTTATGATTATGTTTAGACGCGACGATACTTACGTGCAAGGTTACAGGAAATAACGTGGAACTTCGGCGGGAAAGTCTCAAAACACGACCATCGTGAGTACGGATTCGCAAACGTACAGATCACGCGCGCGGGAGGGAGCAATGGGTCGGTGGACGCTTTGTTTGATGGACTGGGAGACGAGATGAAGGTGAGCTCATGGAGGACCATATTCTTCAGCTTTGCTTCCTTATCGGAGCACTTACGCGAAACCACGAGCGGCTGGCTGACGTCAAGGACCTAGGTGTGGATGTCGCATGGCGATCAGCTCTCTGAGCTCCCTCCTCACTTCCATATCATCGGTGCAACCAAAACGGCTCCATACGCTGCTATCGCGCACGATTCAAAACCGTTCTACGGAATCCAATTCCATCCCGAGGTCACGCACTCGCCGCGGGGTAAGGAGCTTATCGGTCGCTTCGTCCTGAACATTTGCCAGTGCAATGCAACATGGACAATGGTTAGTATACCGTCTTCTCGTGTCATTTGCTATGGCGTTACTGAGCGTACCAACAACAGGAAGAGTTCATTGGAAAGGAAATCACGCGCATTCGCGAGATCTGCGGGCCCAAAGGACGCGTTATCGGCGCCGTCAGCGGTGGCGTCGACAGCACCGTCGCCGCGAAGCTCATGCACGAGGCCATCGGCGATCGCTTCCACGCAATCATGGTCGACAACGGCGTTCTGCGGATGAACGAGTCCAAGCAGGTCCACGAGATGCTCTCGCGCGACCTGGGCGTGAACCTTACCATCATCGACGCGTCCGAGCGCTTCCTAGGCCTCCTAGCTGGCGTCGAGGACCCCGAGCAGAAGCGCAAGATCATCGGGAATACGTTCATCCATGTCTTTGAGGAGCAGGCAGCACGCCTTGAGAAGGAGGCGGAGGTCGAGGAGGAGAAGGGGAGCGAGAAGGGCAAGGTGGAGTGGTTGCTGCAAGGGACGCTGTACCCCGATGTTATCGAGAGTATCAGCTTCAAGGGCCCCAGCGCGACGATCAAGACGCATCATAATGTCGGCGGGCTGTTGAAGGATATGAAGCTTAAGCTCATTGAGCCACTTCGGGAGCTGTTCAAGGGTGCGTCTGCTTTCTGTTCCGTCTACCCATCCACCCTTTATCCCGCCTTACCCTCTAATTCAAGCTAATGTATGCAAGCTAACGTGTCACTATAGACGAAGTCCGCGCCCTAGGCCGCCTCCTTTCCATCCCCGCCCCGCTCGTGCAGCGGCACCCCTTCCCCGGCCCAGGTTTGGCCATCCGCATCCTGGGACCCGTGACGCGCGAGCAGGTCAAGATCCTGCAGCAGGCAGACCAGATCTATCTCGAGGAGATCCGCAAGGCAGAGCTGTACGACAACATCAGCCAGGCGTTTGCCGTGCTCTTGCCTGTCCGCGCAGTTGGCGTCATGGGCGACAAGCGGACATATGAGCAGGTGATCGCGCTCCGCGCGGTGCAGAGCGAGGACTTTATGACGGCTGATTGGTGCGTGGTTGTTTCTTGACGTCGCTGCTGCGGTGATGGCGTTGTTGGCCCGATGGTTAATTTCGGTTGTTTTGATCAGGTATGTCTTCCCGCCCGAGGTTCTCCGCCGGATCTCGTCCCGGATTACGAACGAGGTTGACGGCATCAACCGGGTGACGTATGATATCTCGTCCAAGCCACCTGCGGTAAGTGTCTTCGACGCATCCCGTCCATCTCTACACATGTCTAATGACCACCACAACAGACTGTGGAATGGCTTTGATCTGGATGCTTAGCATTCTCGATTCGTCTTCCCGGGCTTGTATCTGATCTCGTCGATGGCATTGGTTGGATTATAGGTGGCCTACCTAGTACCTATCCTACATGTATGAGGTTGAATTGTTTCGCTTGATAGAATGCGTAGCAATTCTTCTATTCAAAGTAAGTGAGCCTATGGACATCTGCATGAATGCTTCGATGACATCGTGGCTTTTTGGTGTGTATACTTCGCAGAGCGATATGACGGCCAAGTTCATCAAACTTTTTAAATGAGAGATGCGGGACACGGCAAAAGAAACTAACCTCTTCAGAGCACAAGCTCCATTATTCCAGCGCCGCAACATCCCGTCTGTACGTTTGAACGTTCAGATCTAGAACATCAGGTCTACAAGACATGCGGCACGTATTGGGTCGTGCCTTTAGTAAAAGCTAAGGACCAACAAGGACGTCCAACCTGGGGGATCGCCTGATTGCATACATTGATAGTACTGACAGCGTGGGAATCGGGTGGGCAAATAGCCCCTGTACTTGAGCTTGCCAACTTGTCGCAAACTTTTACCGCGTCGCCCGCGTCTCGGCGGACGACCACCGTGACTGTCAGAGCAACCGTAGCGACCTCGATCGCGATCCACCGCTCGTTTTTTACCTCCTTATGTTCAGATGAACATTCCGGGAGCCTGCAATTTGAGGGCGACCCTGAAGAGCGAGCATTCAAGTGGCGCTTTGTTGCGCTGATCGATGAGAAATTGAAGTCGGCACCGGAAAAACTGTTCACCTTCGCCTCCGCAAATTTGTAGCATGAAGCTAACTTTAGCTAGTCTGGAGCTTCTTTTTTCTTTGGATAGCGTGAGGCTCACGAATGCGGGTCCGTCTCGGTCCGTCCATCGGTGAGCCGGCGTCTCGGGAAACATGTTTTCGTATGTGGTGCGTTATGGGTGTTTGTGGTATCGGTTTCTGAGCTCACTTGACTTCACTCTGTTCAGATACATATCTACACCCTTCGAGTAGAACTAAAATTGACCGGTTATCTGAGATCGAAGTCGAAGACTGGACTTCCGGATCGCCCGTGGATAGGTGCCAGGTACGTTCCGAGGTCGTCTCCTGAGTTACACCTATCGACCCTGGTGGCGAATTATTAACGTTTCTGATCCAACGCTGTTAGCCGTGGCTGATAGAATCCGCCACATCTCATTCACACGCACCCACGTACGCCATGTTACCGGGTCATGCGTATGGCCCCTGGGTCACACTCCCCATGTTGCGAAGAACTGTGACTTGCAGCATTCCCGCGACGTAGATAAAGTCTGGACCGGGGTTTGCGCCGGTGAGCGTGCTTTTTCACCCAACTCTCTTTCCTCGCTTTCTGAGATGGATGTTCATAACCTGGTCTTGCCCGCCGCCGCCGCCGTCGGGATCGCTGCTGTCGCTGTCGCCGTTAACGTTACGAAGAAGCGCCAGGACAAGCCGTATCCGCCCGGACCGAAACCACTTCCTGTCATTGGCAATGTGCACCAGATGAACGCATCGCGAGCGTGGCTGACGTATACGGAGTGGAAGGATGTTTACGGTACGTCTGCTGCCTCTTCATGGTTCTGCCCAAGTTGATTTGCTATGCCAGGCGATATCGTGTACTGCAAGATGTTCGGAACGGACGTGGTTGTCCTGAACACCGTGGAGGTAGCTGAAGACCTGCTGGAAAAGCGATCGGCGAATTACTCGGACAGACCGCAGATGGGCATCGTTGAGCCGTAAGTCGGACTGCTCCTTACTACACCTGCGATACAGATAGATGCTGAACATGCGACTTTGTGCAGATACGGCATGACGTACAACGGAGCAATGTACAACCACAACGACCTTTGGCGAGCGCACCGGCGAGTCACGCACCAGGGGCTGCGCCCGAACGGAGTGGTGGCTTTCCTCCCGATGCAGCTTCGACGTTCGTCTGAGCTAGTTCATAACTTGGCAACTTCACCCGATGCGTACTGGCGTCACTTCCAAAGGTGCGTAACCATGTATACTTTCATCCAACAAGCGATGGACGCGTACAACTTCAGATTCTCGGCAGCCGTCATCCTATCGTCAATGTATGGGCACGAGCTGGGAACAGGCGAGGACCCTATTCTGAACATAATCGAAGAGGGCATGGAGCTCGTCGTCGCCATTGGATCCCCTGATAATGCCCTTCTCGTTGACACACTTCCCTTCCGTGAGTAATTTAACGCATTCGTGCGCTACCCACACTCAACCGGTCGCCTTCATCAGTGAAGTACATACCGACTTGGCTCCCTGGAGGCTTCTATAACGCCAAATCATGTGCTAAGAAGCTGGCGGAAATGACTACCATACCTTTCGAAGGGCTCAAAAAGAGGATTGTGCGTATCTCGACTTTTCCCCTGCGGAGCGCATTTTTCTGACCCCGTCCTAGGCCACGGGGCCGTGTGGGCATTCTCTCGCTGAAGACGCGCTCGCGCGATTCCAAGACACAGGCAAGATTGAGAACTTCGAGCAGGTTATTAGAGACTGCTGTGGCACGGCGTATGCCGGTAAGTTCACCGCGCCCTCTTCCATCGTTTCTTGACGGTGACATTCTTGATACCAAGCTGGCCAAGAGACGACCGCCTCGACACTCATCATCTTCTTGCTTGCCATGGTCCTCAATCCGGACGTTCAGGCACGAGCACGTGCGGAGATAGATGCCGTTGTTGGAACCGAGAGGATTCCGACCTTCGAAGACCGGGGGACATTGCCTTACGTCGAAGCTGTGTATCAGGAGACCTTGAGATGGAGGCCTGTTGTACCGCTTTGTGAGTTTCCTCGTTTACATTTGGAAGAACCCTACTGATACTGTGTAGGTATCCCACACTGTACAACGAAGGAGGACATCTATAACGGGTACTACATTCCCAAACGTGAGTCTTCATAGCGTGTTCATCGTATGCTCCTTCTGATGGAGCACTGCAGAGGCGATAATCATCCCGAACATCTGGTAATACGCACTACGTTTCCTCGCAGCTGAGTCTAGTCGCTGATAGTACTGTACGCACAGGGCCATGTCTCAAAACCCTGACAAGTTCCCGTCTCCTTCCGAATTCAGGCCTGAGCGCTTCCTCGACGCCAATGGGAAACTTACGGGTGACACCTCAGACTTCGTCTTCGGCTTCGGCCGCCGCCTCTGTGTCGGGCGCCACTTTGCCAGCGCCTCGGTATGGGCAGCAATGGCGCGCATGTTGTCCCTCTTTGAGATGAAGAAACCAAAGAACGAACATGGCGACGAGTTTGCTCCAAACCCGGAGTGGACTACTGGCCTGACGTCGTAAGTACCTGATCTTGAACGTGCTGTCAAGTGGCAAGGTCTAACGTTTACCTAGTATCCCAAAGCCATTCCCGTGTAGTATTGTTCTAAGGCGACCGTACAACGGCGAGTATGATATTTTCGCTGATTCTGCTTGAAAATGAATTGTAGCTTTGGCAACGTACGGGCTTTTCTACCTTACATGTTCACGATATCTAATTCCATTCGGTATATACCTCCATGTTTCTGTACGAATTCAAGTGTGATCCCAATACAATGTTGGCAAACACCGCTTCGTGTACCGGTCGCGATGACATCTAAACGGCTTAGAGTTCCACTATAACTTGTAATTGTACGACTGGCATGGGAAATACCAGCAGGATGGTCCTGGATGGATGACATGTTGCCAATTCAAAGATCTCGTAATCCAGTAGCACTTGCGTAGCCGTGTGCAGTACAATGTTTTGGGACGATTGGGTTGATTTCGCGGCGTTGTTAGCGGGAGGTAGGCACTGTATATTTACTGCCGACAACAGAGCATGGAGTGTTGAAGCGGTGATCTCGACGTCCAGGTGCAAAAGAACGTGCAGACTTGAAGTTGCAGTGATATTCAAGTTATAGCGTTGCGGAGTTTGGGTGGCGGCGCGGAGTTTGCCGTGACTCGTATTAAGAGTTCGTGAGGCAATCGGCGTGGGTCGCGCTAGCCTCGTGTTGGCCCCGTTGCTTGACTCACCCCACTACGTCGTGTTCGCAGCACTGACTATCTCTAATCGCAACAAGAAGCTACCTATCTTGACTTCATGAAGCTCAAGGACTTCGATGTTACCGTCTGCGGGGTGCACGGTAACCCTACCATGCCGGAATATGGCGTCAGAATCGACGATTCGCAACGCTCGGTTTCTGGTTGGATTGCCTCGACAGCGGGCAAGGTCAGACCAGCATCCTTCAAGGTCCATTGTGTTACTAACGTATTCTGGAAGGCATTTGAGCTTACGTACAAATGTCCTCCACAACTGTCTCAGAAATATGTCGCGGAGTTATACCTAGATGGTGAACATGCTACGGGGACCTTCTTTGACCCCAGTAACAAGGATGGGACTTACGCAGCGGGGTGGGATGATCCACCAGATAATGCGGATTCAGGGACGCGTCGTCTTCGTCGTTTCAAGTTCGTGGACATCGCACTCGGAGGTACGAGCGCCATTCAGACCCTTTCGAAACGTCCTGAGAAACATTGATAGACGGAGAGGAAAACGCTCAGCAGCCAGTCTCGGGCAGCATCGGAGAAATTCGTGTGTGCATTAGACGCGCCATCGTCACAGACGACGACGCCGAGTTTGCCCCAGAGCAAATGCCCCAGGACAATCAGCCCCCCCAAGCTGAAATCGAGGACGGCATAAAGCACAAAATAGTGTGAGCACCAAATACGTCAAGGAGTTATGATACTATAGAAGATACTAAAGAATACTTTTAATTTCGTCAGTGCCGGTGACCACGAAACTTATCCTTTTTATCCGGTTAATGAATATGAAGCTGCCGATGATTCGGAAGAATCGCTGGATGTAATATTCTACTATCGTCCTCTCGGTTCGTTGACATTGTCTTCTTGAGAAATGTCACATATCACGCTAAACAATTTCCCAGAGGTCTTGAGAGAAAAGGGACTGGTTCCACCCGCCACAGCGGCCAACACTAAAGACAAAGCGTCATCCCGTACGTTGGGTAAGGTCGCCAAGAAACGTACAGCCAGTACCTCAACGCGTCAAGAGCCAGTCGATAGGATTGCCGAATTGGAAGTACGTCCTCTTTTCAGCTACACGTGAGTTCACTCTGATGGTTGCCTTGATTGTAGGAGCGTGTCCGTCGCCTTGAAACGGAACAGCTGAAACGTAATCGAACCGCAACAACAGAGGGAACGGAGGCCACCAAACGGACTAGGGCTAGTGCCAGACTGCGTAAGTAGAAGAGTAGAAGTACATAAAAGTTCACTCAGCCGATTTATGGCGAATCGAAGAAAACCATGCATGCGTCTCTCAAGCCTTATAGTGAGACTCTACTTCTGAGACATTTAGCGCAGAATGCTCGTGAATGCAGACCTCCACATACCGAGCATTAACGTTTGCACATGTAGTCTTTTTGTCGCCGGTCTAAGGAACAAATGTAGGATGCAACGATGTGTACCAAGCCTCACGGTAAAGCCCTCACGATATGGTGTTTTTGGTACCTACGCTGAACGACGACACGCTCATGCTCATCTGGGGCTTCGGCCGACGCATCTGCCCCGGAAGGAACTTTGCGGTGAACTCGGTGTGGATTGCGATTGCGAGGCTTTTGGCACAGTTTATAATTGATTTTGAGCCGGAGTTCGTGTGGCAGGATGTGGAGGTGGAGTGGGCTAATGCTACGACTTCGTGAGTGTTTTTTTTGTTGGTTGTTGTATATGGGGTATGCTGATGTTACCTTTAGCGTTCTTAAGGACTTCCCACGTAGAATTGTTCCACGAAGAGTGGCAAAGGTGGGCTAATCCCGTGTTTCTCTGGAGAATTTCACTTATTCATAGATCCAGGCCAATTTATAAATATGACTGCTTGTGTTTTGTAACACCCCTGTGCTATCTGACAAGTAGGAAAGGCGGAGAAGCTTTAGAATTGATGTTGATTGGATACAGTACATGTACTCTATCTGCGCGTAAGAAGGATTTAACAGCCGTTACGAGCGTAAATTCAAGCGGTGTCCTGAGGGCGCACGACGAGCTTGATACCGCTGGCCTTCCCAGCCTTCAAGCGGTCTAAGCCTGCAACGATGCCATCGAGGCCTCCGGGTACCACGTCAACCTTGTTGCACTAATGGATAATGGCGTCGCGATCAGTCGCGTTTGTAGATACGGTTGACAGTACACGTACAACAATAGTACCGTTCGCCAGCCAGTCATGCACGGCACCCCAGAGCTTCTCGCCGAACTCGTGGTGCGGTGGGATATGAGGCGAGCCATAGGAGCATTCGACCGTGCGCGTGTCGGTCTCTCCACCTGGGTTCTTAATGTTATAGTTGGAGACGGCCACATGGCCGCCGGGAGCGAGGATGCCCCAGCCAACGGCCTGGGTGCTCTCGTCGCAGATGGCGTCGTAGAGGACCTTGATGTCACCTTTCTCGATGCTCCTGATTGAGGCGATGATCTCGGTGGTGGGGAGGCGGCGGTCGATGACGTGCGTCGCGCCGAGGGACTTGAGGAGGGCATCGTGCGCGGGCGACGCGGTCGTGATGATGTTGGTGTAGCCGGCGAGGCGACAGAGCTGAATGGCTGTTATTTCAGGTGATTGTTAGGTGCCTCCGTTGCGCCGTTGGATGTGGGCAAATGTGCTCACCGAATTGGGCAATAGTGGCAGAACCACCCAGGATAACCATGGTCTGTCCCTTGTATGCGCCAGGCTTGTCGATGGGTGAAGTCAACTTGGCGTTCAGAGGCCCGAAGAGACCCAGTGCGGGGGTGTCGAGAGACACACCCAAAGAGGATGCCTCGTCGAAGGAGATGTTTGAGGGAAGCTGAAAATAAGGCAATGAGTCAGAACCTCGGACGCAGAAAGGTACACTTCGTCAGGGTCCACGCTTACCTTGGCGGTGAAGCGCGCATCGCCGAGTGCGTACTGCTGGAAGCTGCAGTACTCGCTGTTGCCGACGATACCAGAAGTGGCACTGAAAAAAGCCGATACCTCGTCAGCGTCTCTGTTTTTCGTACCGAAAGTATATTGCAGACTTACACTCTGTCTCCGATAGCAAAGTTAGTGACACCTTTGCCGAGCTCAGCAACAGTGCCGGCAAGGCCGTAGCCGAGGACGGCGGGATAGTCCTCGATCAACATGCCGTAGGCCTTGACTTTCCAGTCGATGGGGTTCAGGGAGGCGGCCTCGATTTTGATGAGGATGCGACCAGGGCCAGGCTTCGGGATAGCTCTGGTGCCGAGGGCCCATTCGCCTTGCTTTGCCGTTAAGAGGAGAGCTTTCTGAGACATGATAGAGAGTGAGCGAGGACTGATGAGAGGATGGACCTGGCAGACGAGTTCGAGAGTCACTTATACAAAACCCCACGAGACACTGACTACACAGAAATGATACGCAGTGAATTGAGGTGTGGCCTCCCTGTTAGCCAGTGTTCCACGTCCAGGACGCGACTGTCTCCGCGGCAGTATTGGTAAGCCTGTCAGGGCTTCCTGCGACGATGCTTAGTAGCAGTGAGCGCTAGTGAACGTCGGTGTATTACACTCCCTGCATAAGCTGCGTGAAGAAAGTCAACTCCTGCAGCGTACTTATGGATGACTCACACAATACAAGGCGATACTAGGAGCAAGACGATACGCACATCCGGCATCGGAGAAATCAACAAGACTCTACGAGTCAAAATCGATTTCGGTTGGAAGCAAGCACAGGAGCGAGCATCGAGTGGTGACATCTCAATCTAAAACCTCCAACGCAAGAAAGTTGAAACTTGAGGACTGAAGAGTGAATTGCTGTTAATAAGAAACGGACGAGAAGTTGGTGATAACAAGCAGCGTGTCGCTCCGTCTCTTGGAGAGCTGAGTCAATTGAGGTTAGTCAGCGTCCCTGGGCGTCCTTGGGCGCTTCCTAGGTGAGAAAATGTAAGGTAAGCTTATCTCACGCATTCCGTCGCGTGCACCCCCGACGTGCGTCGTGAACGGCTTTCAGCTGCATCCATCAAGTGGAAAGTCGGGATTATCCAGGCCATGCGACCCCTAAGTGAATGCTGGGGGACAGTTGGAATGATCATCGTAGAGCGGAAGGCATGCAGAAGATAGATTCAACTTTGCAAGCAGTCAGCACCGGCACATTACAATGACTGTTTCCAACTCGGAGCAGATTGAGCGCAGCGCTCAAGGGACCGTCACTTGATTTATGATTACCTTGGAGGTGCCGGTGAAGCATTGTATCATGCATGCATCCCTGACATAACTCGCACGTTCCGACGAAGTGGCCCGAGAATAGGCGCTGACTGCTGAGTACGCGTTGTTTCTTCATCCCTGACTAAACGTGGTTTGCTCCCTCCCCCCATGTCATCTCTAACGTACCCCGCTGCAGCACTAGGTCTTGCTCTAGTGACGTGGGCAGCTTCATCTGCCTCGCGTCGCAATCGTCATGACATAAACGCTTACCCACCTGGACCTTCTGGACTTCCTCTACTCGGCAATGTATACCAGATCGATGGGATGGCGCCATGGATGACGTTCACAGAGTGGAAGGATACATACGGTGCGTGCCCCTACTGGATGCTGCGTCGATTTCCCTTGTCAACTTTTTGTCTGTCTTGTACCTGTACTCCAGGCGACGTCGTATATTGCCGGCAGCTCGGCACTGAGCTTGTCATTTTGAGCTCTGAGGAAGCCGCACGAGACCTGCTCGACAAACGCTCGAGCAACTACTCGGACAGGATGCACATGGCAATGATGGAACCGTACGTCTTGTTTTGCCTACATTCTCCTTGGTCAAAGCGTGCGATGTCTTGATGCCCCTATAGGTACGGTTTCAAGTACAACACTGTCTTCATCCTGCATGATGATATATGGCGCCTGCACCGACGCATAGCCCATCATAGTCTCCGAGAGCATCACGTCAACATGTTCCGGCCAACACAACTACGCTTCTCCGATGTGCTTCTGGAGAATCTAGCAGCAAACCCCGACAAGTACCACGATCATTTCCAAAGGTATGGGCTCATGTTGACATCATTATTTGTCATGTCTGACCTGTTTCTTCGCCATGTTGACTTGCAGGTTCTCAGGCTCCGTAGTCCTTTCTGCAACCTTTGATCACGATGTAGTTGATAACGATGACTTGCTAACACGTGTGGTTACGGACACCACTTCGCTCACCAACAGGCTCACTTCACCCGGTAACACGGTGCTAATGAACTTCCTCCCCATTCGTGGGTGCTCAACATCATGATTCTTTGACGTATTGACCCATCACGACTTTCTACCACTACAGTTCAGTACGTCCCAACGTGGGTCCCCGGTGGCTGGCGCAATGCCGCCGCAGCGAGGAAGAAAACAGAGAGGATGCTGAATCTGCCGTTTGAACTGCTGAATGCTAAAATTGTGCGTTACACCCTTGCACGGTTTAGTCACTAAACCGGTGAAAAGCGCTTCCACTGCTAACGTCTGCTGTCCTTCCAGGTGTCCGGCATGGCTGGGCATTCGATTGCCCTCGATGCACTTGAAGGGCTCGAAGAGACAAACAAGGTCGACAACTTTGAAGAGGTTGTGAAGGGAGCGTGCATGACCCTGTATGCTGGTGAGTAAGCTCGATGTGAGATACATGTCTCCACTCACACAAGACTGTCAGCTGGCGAGGAAACGGTATTTCTCAGCAATGCTCGCCGTGACCACCTCACTGATATTGACTTTAAGACCGCCTCGACCATGATGGTCTTCCTCCTCGCCATGTGTCGGAACCCAGATGCTCAAAGGCGGGCGCAGCAAGAGATAGACGCAGTTATTGGCGCAGACCGCCTCCCCGACTACAATGATCGGGGATTGCTTCCGTATGTTGAGGCGGTGTATAGAGAGGTCTTGAGGTGGTATCCTGTCGCCCCTCTAGGTCAGCTCATATCCTCACGGACGGAGACTCCCTAGCTTACTGTACCTGATATTCACAGGTATTCCGCACGCGTCGACGAATGATGATGTATATGGCGATTGGTTCATTCCCAAAGGTGACCCCTCATTGTTCACTATCATCTTCTCTGTTCTAACGAATATTTCCACCTAGGAAGCACCATAATTGCCAACGTTTGGTAAGCCCCTAACCTCTCTAGTCCCTCCTGTAAACATAACTCATTACGCTGTTAAACAGGGCAATGTCCCACAACCCCGCCAAATATCCCGAGCCCTCCGCTTTCAAGCCCGAACGCTTCCTCGACGCGCACGGGCAGCTCACGGACGACAACGTTAGCTACATCTGGGGCTTCGGTCGGCGCATCTGCCCCGGCCGCCACTTCGCAACCAACTCGGTTTGGATCGCGATCGTACGCATGCTCGCTGCGTTCCGATTTGAGTTCCAGTCCGAATTCGAGAGGGCGGGAGCCGATGTAAAGTGGATCAACAGTATTACTTCGTGCGTTTGTTCTTCATCTCGGCGCAGAACCTCGGTCATTGACGGTCGAGCGTTTCTTCCAGTGTGCCGGCGCCTTTTCCGTGCCGCATTGTGCAGAGGCAGAATACCACGGTATGTACTCCTATTATTCATACTGGCGAGACTTAATTGAGCGCACTGGAACTTAGCATGATCTATGACATTTGACATCGTCAATCTCAAGGCTGCTATTTGCCTTAGCCTGCGACTCGAGCGTATAGTATAGGTTGTGTTTAACTGAAGTGTTGAATCGAAGAAGTGACCGAGTGAGAGCTTCGCGTGATACACCCTTGTAGTGTAGACGACTCGGAGCGATCGGCAGACGTTGCATCAAACCTCTGTTAGAGAAGCTGGTTGTGTCAGAGCGCCGATGGCCTTCCCATGCAAATTCATGTCAAGGAAGGCATGAACCATTATCCAATGTACATCAAGATCACGTCTGGAGCATGTTCAATTTATTTGTTATCTACTTAATCTCTAACACATAACCATCGGAAGGAGTATTCGATTCTACGGATAGCGAACACGTAGACCATATCCTCAGATATCGTAGCTATACCATCTATCCCTGGTTTCGCAGTACAAACGCGTCTTATGCAGCCCATCAGCAAATTCTATGGCCCTAATTGGAAACTCTTGCTGTACTTTAGCTGCTTCTTGACGAATCAATCCTCCTACATCGTCTCGCCCCGACATGTTGGTAAACGTGAGACTATTGAGACGGCATTGAGATCGTGCCAGGAATCGCCGGACTTGGTTGATATCTCCGTCTTCCGGCGTGGGTAGGACCAGGTCAGAGAGGGCGGGGAAAGTCAAGATGCTGACAATGGATGGGGTGCTTTCTTCGGAGAAACTGTCCACGTACGTGGTCAACGAGAACAACCGCAGCTTGGGTGAAGATATAGACCTCTGGTGTTCGGAGAGCGTGCATGCTTGGGCTAAGACGAAGAGTTCCTCCAGGTCTGGGGCGTGGAGGAATATGGACTGTAGAATCTCGTCATCTAAGTCGTTCCAAACCATCATTGTCAACGACTTCATGTTCTGCCATGTACGAGATTTGATGAACATCGTTGCATCAAGTTTTTGACGTAGGTGTAAGTGGAGGTGGGTCAGGTGGTCCAAAGATGCGGTAGAGTTAGGAGATATGTCGGCAAACAGGACTTGCTTGAACGTGAGGTGAGTGATGCATCTGAATTGAGATAACCACTGGAATATGGGTCCGCAGTCGACATATTTGGCAGTCTCAACATCAACGCATTGGACGCCATCGTACTCTGGGTTGCCTGGCAAACGATTGAAGTCCTCATCTTCCTCTATCAGCGCTCCGCCGATGCGAAGCTCAACGACTACGGGAAGGCTTGCCGATCTTCCCAGAAGATCTTTCGGGAGGGAAATTAAAGACGAAAGAATCGGAGTATGTCCACCAGGTGTTACTTTGATGATGTTCCACAAATGCGGCGTGTTCAGGGCAATATGCCTCCATTTGCGACACACCTGAGCGACATTCAGAGCTGCTGAGGGGAGCGCCTCGACGCGTAAGATTGGATAGAAAGCGTGAATATGATGGCGCTGGAGTAGGCTGAGCACAAAAATGTTCGCCAGAATTTCAATTGGGACACGCAGAACGGCAGACACCAGTCGAGACTGGTTGGTAGCAGCAGCTTTTAAGTCTTTCTTGAGTCTGTCTAGCTCCTGGGAGATTGACTCGATGTCTTGGATCATGAGTGACACGTTCGACAACGCCGAGCTGACCTCAGCTACCTGCTGTGCAGTGCTGGCACTATAGTTCGTCTCGGCGAATGCTGCCAATGGTGAGTTGACGATATTCTACAGTTCTTGAGCATCACGGTCTGGTGTTACATTACAACCACGACGCACGGAAACATTGGCAGCCAGGTGGGGCAACTGATGAAATTTTTGTTAGTGGCCATGGCCAGCTTTCCAGCACGCGTCGCCACTGTATTTAACTTACAGCTTTACTGATCTGATGCAAGGAAGATTGAATCTTGGGCGTCGGTGTTTCTTCGTAGGTGTCCATGAGCATGGTTCGCGTAAGGTCTGGAGCAAAGATGAGCGCTGAGCACAGAATGAGAAAGGCGCGTCGGATCCCGCGTTTCTGGGTTACCTTTACACCGTTTCTCACGCCAGAGACAGGGGCTATCCAAGCGAGACATGGCAACAACATTGCAGAAGACTTCAACGCAACTTAGGTACAATTGACGATCATATCTCATTAGCAGCCTGAAATAGTAGATACCGGGTGGTATAGTTGCCAGCTGAAGATCTCTCGTCGGTTTGATAGGCTAATATCTATGCACATCTACTAGTATTGGCCTAGACGAGAATTCAGATGTACCAGGTAGCCTTAGATCTGGAATACATCTGACTACCGCGCAAGTCTCCGCGATGGAACTTAACATAAGGTATCGAATAATCCCCGCCAATCTTCCTCCCCGCTTCTCGTAAACTCGAAGCCTCGTGCGACTGGCCAAACACGCTGGAGAAGAAAAACTTTAGGCTGTAAACATGGCACCCTGAACGTTTCAACATTGCGCCTAAAAATCCGATGTCGAAGTCTTGCTCTGCTGAAACTTTCTGTTTCGCGCATAGGCCAAGGTTGATAAGACCGGGAAGCACGAGGTTCTCGAAGAACTGCGTCATCTCTTGCGTGTCGGTCACTGACACACCGAACGACTGTAGGTTATAGTGGACGACCGGCTCGTTGAATGCCCCTGGATCATCTCGTGTAGGGGTATCGGAGAAAATATACAGTTCAACGAGGTTGGGCAGATTTGCTAAAATCCTGGCAGGGTCAAGGGTGCGGTTCGGAACCCGCTCTAGAGTGAGAGACACGAGGGTTTCCCACCCGCGCATCTGCACGAGATAGGTAGCGTCGACGTTCACGATGGTGGGGAAGTGGCCGCTGGCATCGAACTGTATGTGGAGATGGGACAGCTGGCGTAGCGGGCTCGGGGGTGTCTCTGGCCAGGGGAGATCCGTTTCGTATCGGAAACCGTGCAACGAGAGACGTCGAAGGTTGGGAAACTGTGAAAGCCACGATGAGATTTGGCTAAAGCGCATCGGCCACTGGTTGGTGCAGAGGACGTCGACGCCCTTGACCGTATCTAGTGCTGTGCTGGTTTCGTGGTGTTGTATGAACCAAGAAGTCTCCGCTCGGATGGATAGCGCGAGATACGATGGTAGAGCACCTGATCTTCTGAAAAGGTCGAGCGGAAGGGAAGTTGTCGAGAAGTTACGTCGTGTAATAGTGTATTGCAGCATGGTCCACAAGGCTGGAGTGTTAAGCGCAGCTCCCCTCCATTTCTGACAGACATGGGAGACGTCCAAATAGGTGAGTCGGTATGGATACTGGAAGTCAGGGTGTGAAGGGACACAGCGCTCGAATATCTCGGAGAGGACGTCGTCCGGAAGCCGCGCGACAGCGGAAACAATCCGCGAATGTGAGGTGATTGACCTCGACAGGTTGTCGATGGCACTATTGAGAATACCGCAAACGCTGCCGAGGGTGTCTTTGAAGAGTTCCATACGAGACAGGAGGGCTTTCACCTCCCGCGATTCACGGTCAGAGCGAGGATAGTAATTTGTCACCGCATACTTTGCGAACGGGGAAGAAGTGGTGACTTGCTATCGATCATGAGGATCTGTAAGCGCCGATTTTTGCACTATATAGTACGTTCCTGCTCACAGCAATGTCTGCGACAACAAAGGGTAGCTGGAAGGAAAGGAAGTCACAGAAGATCCGCCTTTAGGTTACCGCAAGTATGCAATGGAGACATATGACGTACAAGTTTGACTAGGGCATTTAGAGCTGGAGGAGGCGCTGTAGTTGTGGGGGAACTCTCTATTGTTTCGACTTGCATAAATCCAAAGTCCTATTTGGAGCGGAGCATATGACAGTGAGAAGTAGTGCAGTTAGGTGTAGGAGAGTGTAAAACCGGGCAGAGCGTAGACAGTGCCTTGGTCAAGACTCGGCGTCATAGTAGCTCCGCATCCTCAGGGAGCCATATATGGCTTTGCCCCTATAAACATAACGATGAGGGGGGTTCAATTGCTACAACTAAAGGAATACACGTATCGTACTACAACTTAGTATAGAATAACTTAACCAACAAGAGCATATGGTGTCCACGCCCTCAAACCTGCTCGGCTTCCGTCATCCGCACCCACATCCCTCCCTATCCACCCAACCCAATATTTGGTTAACACAATTTATGTAGACCTTGATGCAGAGATAAACACATACCTTGGCATATAGTGTCAAATGCGACCGCGGATGGAACCGTTCGATTGGCGCGCGACCTGGACTGCTCTTCCAGTGCTCGGGAGGATGGGCATCCGGGTGCAGCGCTTCGGGCGCGAGCTCGATGCGCGAGAAGTTTTGCAGGAGGCGGATGAGCATGAACGACATTTCGTTGTAGGCGAACTGCGTTTACAACGCACGCCCAGTGAGCAACCGTGTAGAGGGGTAGAACTAAGGGTTGGATGAAAATGCGCACCTGCTGGCCAAGACAGATCCGCGGGCCGGCATTGAACGGGAGGAAGATGAACGGGTTTGGCACAATGTACTTGTGCAGGCGCTCGTCGATGAAGCGGTCTGGGTCGTATTCGTCGGCTGAAGCGGATGTGACGGTGAGCATACCCGAGTGTAAATATTAGACAAAGGCGTACCGTCAGGTCCCCACAGGTCCTTGCGGCGGTGCATCATCATGACGGAGTAGATGACCCTTTGAACGATGTATGCGTCAGGAGAGGGTCGTATGAATGAGGGTTGGAACATACGCCGTGTCACGGGGGATGAAGACGGGTTTTTGATCGGGCTCTGGTGAGGGGAGAGTCGTGTCCTTGGTAGTTTGGCTATGAGATGCTGTGTGAGTGAAAGTTGCCGCACTGGTTTTAGAAGGCCCTACCGAATGTTGAATGGCCTTTAAGGTGAGTGTCAGCGAGTGGAGTCACTATATGCGCATGAAATCGCTTACACTGGAGGGAACAGTCTGAGCGTCTCGTTGAGCACGGCCCGAAGGTATTTCATGTCACGGATGTCGTCGTAAGTGGGACGACGGGATGGGCCAACTTTGGTCAGAACCTCCTCACGCAGGCGGTCCATGACGTGTGGGTACATCGCCATGAAGTAGATGGTAGACGTAAGAGTGGAAGCGGTCTAGGTGCGGCTCAGCACCTGGTTGTGCCCAGCCAACGAAAAACAGAACTCACGGTATCTCTCCCAGCAAGCATGATGTTCAGAACCTCGTCTCTGAGCACGACCCGATCTGAGCGCGGCCATGGTCATGAGCATACAATGACAGTAAGATGGAGAAAAGGGCATACCAGTAGTAAGCCTGACCAAATGATCCAACAACGTATCCCCCTCTTGCACCTCCATCTTCTCCGCCTCTCCGAGCTTACTCGTCCCACAGGCCTCCTCCTCGCGTTTCCTGATCGCCTCCTCTACAATCGGCTCCAAGAACTCAAACACGATCCCCATCGGCTTTTCCGTCCTATCCTCCAGCGTCTCGAACAGCGGCCACACCCCGCCCAAACCCTGCCTCTTCGCCACCGCGAGCTGCGCCTGCCCGAACGCCTCCGCAAACCTCTCAGTCTTACGTCCCTCCTTACGCGCGACCTGTTCCTCGATCGTGAGCTGCGCGTTGAACGGGTAGGGCAGGGGCGTGTGGAGCGTGTGCGAGCAGTTGGCGAAGAGGAACTCGGTCGCGGAGTCGAGCGTGAAGCGCGAGATGAGGTCTTGGAAGTCGATGGGGCGGCCTGAGCGCAGCCGGTCTTTGGCGGCGCGGATGGCAGTGTCGGCGTGTGTGTCGAATATGTCGAAGTGGCCGATGCGGTCGTGGGTGAAGAAGGGGCGCGTCATCGAACGGTGGAGCCTGGAGGAGGGTGTCAAAGGCAGGAATGAGGATTATTTTGGGGCTGAACGTACTTCCACAAGTCTCCTACGAGCAATGCGTGAGTTTTCGTGAGTTTCAAAAACAGAGATTATAACTGTATTTCTCACCGTCAGAGTTGAACACGCCAGTACCCAACAGCGATCGGAGTGAGTTGTCGAGCTGCTCGCCTAGAATGCCAAGTCAACACTTGGGCTGAGAGCTGACATGCAAACACGCACCCTTTACCCAGTTGTTGAAGTCGGTTGCCAATATTGTCTTCAAGGCACGTATAAGTCACAAGCAAACTCCACAGAAGACGGCAGTGACACTCACCTTGACATGACTGGGTTCGTGGGTCATGACGACGTCGTCCCACAAAAAGTGCAGGTTGAATATCGCTCCGAGATCCTTGCTCACCTCCAGAGGATAGTTACCTTGATGGCCTAGTAAGCACGAAAAGCCGTCAGGTGTGAACGCGAGGCAATACATACCCATATAGTCCGTCTCGACTTGGCTCATGAACGTCCTCATGATATCCACATTCCCAGGCCACTTCCCCTTCACGCACGGCAAAAGGCGCGCCCCGAGCGCGTCTGCCCTGCGCCGCTGCGAGAACCTGTCGTACGAGACCTTGAAGAAGAAAGCCAGTGGCGGTGCGGCTGCGAGAAGGGCGGAGGTCTGCCAGACGGGGAGGATGCTGAGCGCGCCAAACCGGTACGCGAGGAGGACGAGCGCCGCTGAAGGTGCAACCACAGCGACGAGCAGCTGGCCTATGTACCGCAGGCCTGGTGTGAGTTTCATCGCGGTGCGTGGCTCGTGCTGAAGGTGAGAGTTGTTGAAGGCTAATGCGTGTCAGGTAGCGCCCCCATCATGATTTATAAGTCCCAGGCGCACGGTTTCCGCCGTCGGGCAAGCACGGATCGTTTACTATTGGCAGGTCGAACGAGGGCCGAGGGTTGGCCGAGAAGTTGGAGGGCAACAGCAGAGCAACACGGAGGGAGATGTGGGTTATTCAAGTTGCTGTAGCATATGGGTCACTGCAGGCTATGTATGTCTAGCCCCTGTCGAAAACCTGGCAATACGGAAAAGGTTCTCGGTTTAGGGCAGGTCCGTAATGTATCTGGAGAGCAAAGAGAGGTGATACAATTCTAAGCAGACATTTCAGGGCTCAATATTTTTACTTCTCTGCGCGTACAGCCTGCCTCTATCGTACACCTACCTGTCTGTCTACATTGATCTTCGTCTCGTCTTCACGCCTCCCCACGTTCCTGCTTCACCACCTCCCTAAGCCGCTTCAGCGCCTCGCGCACGTCGTCTTCGTCTAGCAAGCTAAAGCTTGCGCGCACGTACGCCGTCTTGCGCCCGTTCGGGAGGAAGACCGTACCCGGCAGCGCGAGCACACCGTTCTCGTACGCCTTGGTGCGCACGAGATCCGACGAGTCGCCTTCATCTTCATCTTCGTCTGCCGCCGCCCCAGTCGTGGGCTTGAGGAGAAGCTTGAACCTGTACACATTTGCATCAGTCAGCGTCATATGCAACGAGCCAAACCTAGACAGCTATGGGCACCGGGAGGGCGGGGCGAACGAACCAGAAGAACATCCCCGCCTCAGGCGCGGTCCACTCCGCAAGCCCTTCCATGTTCTCTTGCATCGCTGCCTGGAAGACATCCCGCTTCGCCCGGTAAAAGGCGGATACGGAGCGGATGTGCGCGTCGAACCCATCGTAGCCCCACGACTCGACGAGTGCGAGCAAGATGGATTGTACGAGGGAGGAGGACTGCAGGTTCGCGGTGCCGGTCTGGGTGCAGAGGAACGTTCAATCGAAGTTGGAGACGAGGGGAGGGAAGAATGACATACGTGGAGGTCTATGGCATCCAAGAGGGTCGCGGGGCCGGAGACGAAGCCCATGCGCATGCCAGCAGAGACGATCTTGGAGAAGGAGTCAAACCGGAGTACACGGCCGACATTGGGGCTCCCTGTTCAAATGCTCAGTTCTACTACCAATACACTCCAGACATGCGACACTGACCGTCCTGACTCGGGATAACCTTCTCAAGGTGGAAATATGATGGTGGGCGGGGCGCGTCTCCGAAGTACAGGTAGAAGTAGGGGTCATCTATAGGGCGTTGAGTAAGACCATTGCGGAGGCAGAAAGCGCTGACCTTCGAGGATGAGGAAGTTGTGCTCGCGAGACAGCTCGATTACCTCTCTCCTGCGGTCTTCGGCGGCGGTCATACCGGTCGGATTGCAGCCGTACTAAAGGGACGGGTAGGGCACACAGAGCGTATGACCATGAGATAGGCAACATATGGACTTTGAAAAGCTCTACGCACGGGAACTGTGTAGAGGACTTTTGGTTTGGGCTTGTCGGAGGGCCATGAAGAGAAAATAGTTCGGAGATCTTGCGACCGGATGCCAGAAGCGTCAGTGGGGACCTCTGCGAGTGCAGGATTAGCTTTCCGTCAGACGGTTGAGCGTTCATCCGATAACGTACCAACTTGTTCGCACTTCAGAGTCTGAAACATCGGGATGACACCTCTGCAGTCAATCCAAGTCAAGATGCAAAGGACACGACAATGGAACGTAGACTCACGCGTAAACGGGCGACTCGACGAGGATCGTGTCACCAGGGTTGAGGAGAGCATTGACGGCCTGGACACTTCACGATGAGCGCTTGCCCCAATACTCTCATCCCAGTCACTGTAATGATACGTACCTTATAGATCAGATCCTGCGACCCCGCGCCCACACTAATCCTCCACCCCTCCCCCTTGCTCCTCCCATGCGACTTCTCCTGCAGACCATGCAACCACTCCAACAACCTCGGCAACCCCGCCGTCGCACCATACTGCAGCCCCGCCTGCAGATCCGCGCCCGTCACCTCGATCGGCTTGTTCTGTCCCTGGGGGAGCGGCGTGCCCGTGGCGATGCTCTGTGCGTACTCGGGCGCGGTGGTGGGCGCGACGGTGAAGTTGAGGGACGTGATGGGGAACATCGCGCTGTTAGGCTTGCCCGCGAGGAGGGAGATGACGCCGGGCTTGTTCTCGAGAGGGTAGAGACCCCGTATGGGGCTCGGCTTGCGCAGTTTGGATATCTGCGAGAGGAAAGGCTGGTAGAAGGATGCGGGCAGGTGGGTCACTGCTGAGGTCGCCATGGTCAGAATCGCTGGTAGATGTGAGTTGACGGTGAAATCCTGAATGCGTGGTGGAACGGAGCTAAAACGTGGAGGTTGCTTTTAGTATGATGGATTGATCATGATGAGGAAGGTAAGGCACACCGATGACTGTGGCGGTTGATGGCGACCTATGGCTATGTCGGCGCGCTCCTAGTACAGCTGTTGTGTCTGATGGTCAATGAATTGGTGAGGCACTGAACCCACGCAGCGACGGACACTGAAGTCTTGCGATTGTTAAACAAAGAACGTAAACTGAGAACGGTCTAACAATCGCTGGTGACATGTTCGTTAATTGAACTTAAGGCAGAGCCTCGGAGCAGGCTCAAAAAGCGCCCGTCCATAGCGCGTGCCTCCTTTGAGCAAAACACAATGTCTAGTCGAAGCGATGATAATCAGAGACTTCTGCTATATTCCACGTCCGTTTATTGCCACATCGGCTAGATATTGACCATTAAAAACCGACATATTAACGAAAAATACCAATGGTATTATTCTAGTTCTTTACAAAGCTCTGCAGCCCCAGAAGGGAGCAACTGCTCTTAAGGAGATCGTATCTCATACCACCTGTCCTTGGCCTCTTGGAATGCTCGAGTATCTTCCATCCTCGAGGCCAGCTCCACTGACGGAATACCAAATTCTTGGGCTAGAGCGGCAGCAGCCTCTCGAAGCGCAGAGTCCGCATCAGCGCCGGTCGGCGGGCCGCCGTGTATTGTGAGGGTACGGCCATCTTCGTTCATTGAGACAAATGACGTGTCGGAGAGGAGCGCCAGATCCAGCAAGCGGCATCCTGAACGCTCCAGGAATCGACGAATATACCCTAGGTCTGGGCTTTGAGACACCGGCGCTTGAGTGGCAAATTGGGTGAGGCAGGGGAGCCTGACTTTGCTGAAAAGAGTCTCCAGGGAGGTTTCCACCGTGTCCCTGTTCACAAGTGTCGTGACAGAGTCCAGGGCGATGCCGAATACGCGAAGTTTATTGGATGAGAGCGGGGTTGGAGGTGCAGGCGAGATCCTTCTAACACTGATGAACAACTCGGTGAGGTTTGACATGTTAGCGAAAATCAGGGGGAAGAGGTCACGTGGACCCTCGAGATCAATTGAGGGCATGTCGATGTAGAGCGCCGTCAGGTTCCCCCAATGGCGAACCTGCGCCAAGAGGACCATCGCCATGTTCCAGATTGGTCGGATATGGAGATGTGTGAGGCGGTCGAGAAGTTCGGCAGTTGAGGGGCGCGATAATGCAGCCTCAATATCTTGAATGTCAACATCAGCGAGCGAAAGGCGCGCAAGGTTCGGGAACACCAATAGCGGACGTAGAGCTTGGAGCAACGAAAGAAATTCTGGGAACGGCCCCCTAAGCCGAGGTTTCCCATTGGGATTGCATCCTACGAAGTCGACGCCCTTGACGCTCTGGAAAAGCTCGACGTCGGATGGGCAGCCTGCCTGCACGAACCCAAATTTTCCCCTCCGAGGAGTATCGACGAACATGAACACCGGAAGCTGAGCTGACCGCCGCATTGGCTCTAACGGAAGAGGCAGAGAAGACGCGCGTTTCTTTATAGAGGAAGCGAATTTGATAGTATTCCACAAAGATGGAGTGCCGAAGGCGACCTGTCTCCACCTGCGACAAACTTGTGCAACGTTCAGGGATCCATGTGCGTTCATCTCAGTCCTCCAGGGACGATGGTATTGCAGCTTGGCTTGCTGGTTCTTGGGCTCCACGACTGTCTGTGCACTGAACTGGAAGATGTATGCGAGGAGTTCCACGGGAATTTGATGGGCAGCGGGGATGAGTCGGGAATGGGATAGGATAGCTTGTTCGAGGTTCTGGCTGAGCGTAGCGAGGTATGCAGAGATTGACTTGATGTCGTCTATCGTCGACGACATGCTCGATATTGCCAGTCGAACACTGTGACCGTCTTGCGCTGTTTCGGATATGTTGGTAACTTTCTACACAGAACCGTTAGCTCACGGAATGGGTTATGTATGCGTCAGAATAAACGTACAGCGATATCAGAGGCAACTTCGGGAAGCTGACATGTGTTGTCACCTCAATGCTCCAGCGGACGTAAACAATGGATTAAGACATACCAGTTTCCTTATAGCATGTAAGCTCGGAAGCGTAGCCGCGCTCGTTGGCAGCGAACACGCGTCTTCACCTGTTGAAGACATGGATTGTAGTGACTGATTGAGACCTTGGAAGACGGGCGATTGGCGTGAAGTTGAAGGTTAGGGCGCGAACGTTTGGACTGGGGTAAGACGTGTTCAAGTTGAATGTTGAAACGCTGAAGACGCGTTTCGTTGACCCAAAGGGAGTTAGGGCGCAACTTTCTCACGCTTCCCGCTCAAGCTGAAACATTCGCATTGTCGTGTAAGGCACAAGGTAAGGCATTATTTAATTCAACGCACATTTATCATGCTAGCTACACCTTATACGACCCGGGAGCTTCAGTCAATTGAAGGACGCAAGCCATACCAACTATCCTTGGCCTCCTGGAACACTCGCGTATCCTCCAGCTTGCTCGCATAATCAGCGGATTGAATCCCGAACTCCTGCATTAAGCTGTTGGCAATCTGGCGGCTCTTATTCTTCGACTCCTTGTACCCGGTCATAGTCAGACCCGACAGATGACACTTGGACCGAGCCAGGAATCGGCGCAGGTAACCGTCGGCCGACTCCCTGTTGGATGTATGCACCACGAGATGCGACAGCGAAGGGAAGGTGAGAGCGTCGAAGAGAGACTCCATGGCCCGCGCGTCTTGGCCCATCGAAAAGGCAGCGTCGAAGCTGTCCATCGAAAACGCGAAGACGCGTAGGTGGCCCGACGACACAGGCGTCCAAGGTCCGGTTTCCATCGTACCCACGAGTATGAGCAGCTCCGTAAGGTTGGGCGCATTGGCAAATAGGGTGGATAGGAGACCACTATGGGGAGAAATCCACGCGTAGCGGCTGTGCATATCGAGGTGGAGTGTGTTCAGATTCGTCCAGGTGCTACAGGCAAAAAGCGTGGACATCTGATTGGACCCGACTGAGCAGATATGGAGATGGGTGAGGCGACTGAGGGTATCAGAGGTTGTGGTGTCCTCCAGCGCCTCTTCAGCGTCTGAGACATCAACCTCAGCCAACGAGAGATGCGTAAGGTTCGGGAACTTCCACAGATCTTCAGTAGCTGCTGCCAAAGACAAATGGTGTGGTCCGTCTCCAAACTCTTCTTCGAGTCGAGCCTTGGAATATTCCATCTCCTCGAAGTCGACGCCTCTCACATCTGGATACATGTCGCGTGGACTGCCCGTCGAGGCGAAACCAAACTCCGTAGGTCGAGAAAGGTCAAGGAAGATGAAAACGGGCAGATTTCCCGATCGTCTCATCGGCTCAACCGGTATGGGTAGCGAAGATGCGCGGATCCGACCACCAGGGACAATCCTAACCATGTTCCACAGCGACGGGATGCTCAGCGCGACTTCCCTCCATTTGCGGCAGACCTGAGCGACATTCAGAGAGCCATGAGGATTGGCCCCGATCCTCTGAGAGTGGTGGAACTGTGGGAGCCCGCTGGATCCTTTCTTCGCAACATCCCTCTGCGCACTTAGCTTGAATATTTCGGCAAGGAGCTCCACGGGTATGTGATTGACGACGGATATGAGTCGCGAATGAGACAACATCGCCTCGTCCAATGTCCGTCGGAACTTGCCCAAATGCCCCGATATGGAGTCAAGGTCCTCGACCATCGATGACATGCTCGAGATTGCTGCCTTGATGTCGTGCGCCTCCTGCGCTGACGTTCTAGCCTGACCGCGGTTTGTCTCCGCGAAGAGCGCGAACTTGAAAGGAGTGTTCACAGCGCGCTGAGGTAACGGTATGAGAATCATGGACAACTTATTCGTAATACGAACGCACAGAAACGTCCAACGCAACACCGGGAAGCTGAAATGCCTTGCCACGTCAACAAAGGCAGTAGCGATAAGATGGAAGCACGCACCAACTCTCTGACAGCCTCCAAGCTCGCGCCAGTAGAGGCGCGTTTGAGCATAGACGTTTCTTTTGTGGAATCTGTGGATGAAGACATGACCTCCGTGCGATGAGATAAATGATGGGAAAAGAGTCGCGTGTTAGAGTAATCTTCGCGCGGTTGGGGGACAAGAGCCAGCAGATAGGCTCGGAACTGAGGTTACGGAACACGGAACATATAACGTCGTAATTTCTCACGTTTGTCATACACACTTGAGATAGGGGTCAAAACAGAAAGCAGAGACCGCCTATCTCATTGACATTTCTCAGCATTGTTCGGAGCGAACACAGTTACAAAGAAATCCAGGCATATATAATGAAGCGGAGGGAATGTAATATGCAGTCGACCAACAATTAAATCACCTCTACCTTGGGGCAGAGTACTCCCCAGCGTACGCTCGTCGGAGCACGATCTTGCAAGGAAACGGCTTCGGAATACTTCCCAGCGAAATGTTAGCAGATTTGACCAACAAAGTCAACATCAGGAAATAAAACACGCACGAAGTGATCCCAGTCGTCCACTCCGGATTCGGCTCAATCTCTCTCCCCTGCGCGTCCTTCGCGCGCTCGAGATTGAACATCGACAGGATACGGGCCATCGCAGGCCACAAAGAGCCCGTTGCGAGATGTCGACCGACGCACACGCGCCGCCCAAAGCCGAATACAAAGTCGACGGTGTCGTTCGTTAGTTTGCCGTCGGCGTCAAAGAAACGCTCGGGCATGAAGTGGGAGGAGAAGGGGTACTTGGCTGGGTTTTGAGACATTGCCCTTGGAGAAGGGTTAGTTTACACGGCTAGAGGGGGTAGTATAAGAGACCAACCAAACATTAGGGAAGATAGCAGCGCCTGTTGAATTAAATCGTTAATGAGGGATGTACTCGGACTGCGTGGTGGTTTTTAAGGTCACCTTTAGGGATGAAGTATCCTCTGTAAATATCGTCGTTCGATGTCGCGTGAGGTATTGCTGAGTAATGCAACTAGCTGTGAGTTATGAGCTAACGTCAATGAGCAGTGTACCTACATAACGGGACAACAGGTCGCCACCTCAACGTCTCACGAAACACAGCCTCGAAGTATGGGAGCGATGGTCGATCGCTATAGTCAGGAAGACGGTCATCGCCCACAACTTGGTCAATTTCTTCCTGAGCACGCTTTTGGATGTCAGGGTTCAGGACCATGGCCAGCAGGAACACCATCAGTACCGAGCTGGTCTATCAACGCAAAGTCAGCGAGCATTACTTAGAGCTTATAGCATCAACGAACTGTCTCAGCTCCAGCTGACGAATAATGAACGGATTAAACGTGCGAGTTTACAGGAGATTTTGGGTTTCTTACCTCCATACGCAGTCCCACATGCCCCTTTCACCACTTCTTCAAAATCTGCGATCTTGTTGGTGCCTCGGAATCTTGTCAATGCGTCAAATGCTAGAGAGTGGTTGGCTGTCCCAGAAGCCTTGAAATTGACGAAGAGATAAACAAGAGCATTTCAGAGAATCGAGAAAACGTACGATGTTCTTCTCCAGCGCTTCGAACGGCATGTCAATCATCTCACGGTTTAGAATTTTGACCCTGGCAGCGTTAAAAGTCCATCCACCAGGCATCCATGACGGTAGCCATTTCACTGCTGTCGTGTGAATTGATCGCTCACAGCACGCCAAAGCGACGGTACTCACAGAAAGGGAAGATCCCAACCAGGAGGGAGTTTTCAGGCGCGGTGATAGCGATAATATGTTCCATCGCTTCGATGACACTGTGCATGATTGGATCATCCTTGAGAGCTAGTTGATGATCATATACAGCCCCCAAAATGACAGCAGCAGAGAAACTGAGGATTAAGATAACTTGATCGGTGCACATTCGGCGAGACGAGAAAGTATCAAACCCACCGTTGAAAGTGTTCACAGTAGTCTTCCGGAGATGTTGCAAGATTATGAAGAAGCTCAAGGGTTCGCTGGAGCTGCATGGGTCGGAATGCAACAACTGCGTCGGGCCGTAGGCCTTGGTGAACCAGACGTCTATGAGCACGCCATTGGTCGTTGTGGCCGAGGAAGACGCTGTCCCAGAGCAGATCGTATCTATGTGCCGGTTCTGTCAAGAATTTACACGCCGGAAAGCGAAAAGTACGCACGGTTGGATGACAGGCATATTCATCCTATCTGAGTAGTTCCTCGATCGTCTGTCTAATAGGTCCTGGGCCACCTCTTCTGTGTTCAGGACGATGATGTCCTCTCCGAACATCCTGAAGTGCACAATGTCGCCTGTACAGCTCTTGTCAGAGCTGGAGGAGAATAGACGAAGGCAACGTACCATACACTTCTTTCCACTCGGTGAACGTCAGCCATGTCCCGTTCAGGTTCAGCTGGTGCACATTCCCCAGCAGCGGAAGCGGCGTGGGTCCTGGAGGAAAGGGCTTCTGGGCGATTTTGCGGCGAGAGTTGACTGTCCATATGGCAAGAAGTAGCGATGCTGCCGCTGCGGGGTATACAAGCGCGCTTGATGCTGGCATAGCAGGCTGTTCTGAACGGCGTACGCGAAGAGAGGAAATACGACAGAGCGTGGGGCGAACGAGCTTTATCTCTCCGTGTTCAATCTCAGCAGCCCCAATGTGTACTTTTCATTCATCAGTTGCTGAGTTACCGAGGGGTGGGGTGCGAAGGCTTGGAAAGCGGAGCCTAAGTATATCAGCTTCGAGAAGCTGAATTGTCTGTGTTTTGCGTGATAGCCAATCACATGCACGAGAATAAGTTTACGGCGTGATGAACAAGTGATGAAATTCGATGAAATGCGAAATTCAGTCTGGTCACAACGGGAACCACACTTACGAGAGATAGCAAGGCAGAAAGTTTTTCCCGACAAGTGTGTCCCCTTACGTTGGCTAATACATGACTAGGTGTGTGACCCGTGGACAGCCACAGGACAAAAGGCGGTTCTGTAAACATAATTGTGCTATTATACTCGGCTGTCGAGTAAACTTTCAGTGGGATGATTTATAATGCCCAGTTAAATCATTTTGCGTGCAAGCACTTCATGATTTATTCACCCACCCATGCATCTCTCACCTCACCCGTACAATTATCGGCTCACTCATGCATCTATCAGCTTGACCGTACAGCTCCCAGATCACCCGTACATCTCTCCATTCACCCGTACACACCCCAAGTTACCCAAACCCCAAGGCCTTATTTTATTTTATTTTATTGAATTTATATTCCCTATGTGCTTCAGAACATCCGTGGACTGCTAAATTTTGTACATGTACCGCCCGGACTGAGCACACTTACCCAAAAATTATACCTGACCCCGGCTGCTCACCCTACACTTGCTACAATCAAATTGCTACAGATAATTGAGGAAGATGAAGCACTGAATCTGAAGCGCAAGACGCAGCAGCAAGGTGTGAGACAAAAGTGCGAAAGAGGCAACAGCTCGGAATAGCCGAGACGCGGCGGAATCAGCCAATCAGATGTTCGTTTTGTCTCGTCCCCAGCCAATCACATATCAGCTTTGTCTCGTGGGGAAAACACCAAGCTCTAATTCAATGTAGAATTGCAGTCAAATACGCTGCGAAAAGCGTGCATCAGTAACATCGTCGGCGACTTGGCGACTTGTGAGTCTTGGCAAAAGATTGCCCAGTCACACAATGTCACACCCATGCGCGAAATCATGTTCTATGTAACTTTGAGGTCAGTTTTTAGCCACAGTGCGGCTGTGTACACTAACCATTAGTTCTTCCTGCAACGAGGCATTTTTGAACCAGGGAATTGCACGGGAATGTCGATTCGAGTGGACTCGGCTACTCAGTGACATGCGTTATTTATGTGACATGTCACGGATTTAATCACATTTTGAGAGTAAACTTTTCAAATTTTCTTACTTTCTGGTCGGCTTTCGGCCTGTCCGGACTTTCGGGGCTTGTACAAGCTTGCACAAGCTTGTTCAAGCTCCGACCAGTCGGCTGTAAGGTTCCTGATGACTGTACAAGTGCGTACGTACGCGTCTTTTTCGTCAGAGACTTGTGCCTTTGTGCTATGAGCGCACAGGCAGCGTCGAGACCCTCAACTTGGCGGATTCGACATACACAATTGTTCTCATATACATGGGCAGCTAGCGGCGATGGTGAGAGCAAATCGGTGGCCGGGATTGTACATGAACAAGATTGGAACAAGACGGAGTGGGGCCGGGGAAATTCGTCCCTTTGTTGTGGCCACGTGGCTTAGCCGAGACCTCTCTCGCACGGTCCAAACGCGTCGGTCTCATCGACATCCTGGACGCGTCGAGCACCATGTCCTAACCATGTCCTCCGCAGCAGAAGAGTACCTCACCAACCAGATCTTCGTCAACAAGAATATTGTGAGAACACCTTGTACCTCTTGATCTCTGTTCTAACTCACTTAACACCTCCAGGTCACCTTTCGATCGCTCAGTCGCGCGCTCAAGATCCCTGTGAACCAGGCCAAGAAGTGCGCCTCATTCAATCCTACGAGGTGTAGCCCTTCCTAATTGACTTATAGGGAGCTCACATCCTTCTATCATGGCGGAAACCCCCACTCTGAGACCTTCGCCGTCTATTGGGTCTCGGGCGAAGCAGAGCCAATCACCGATGTTTACACGCCCACGCTTTCTCAGCAACGCAGACCACCAGCTAACGACGAGGAGGACGAAAAGATGATGTACGACAATGACGACGAGCCAAACCCAGTGATGGTGTCGACGCCGGTGAAGAAGGTTATGCTGGTGAACGCGGATGAGCTTGAAGGTGCGTCATGGACACCGTATCGCCATGTTCAATGCCACTCACATATCCACATCGCACAAAGACGTCAAAGCGAGCCTGGTGAAGGTCCACTCCGTTCACGTGTACAGCCTAGCACCATCACGTATAATTGTACGTCCTGTCCTATCCCCTCATTTATCCGTCCCCAGTCATGGAGCCTAATTCCTTGCTGTTAACCTAAGGACGGGGACCATCTATGTATGCACCGCCGAAAGATACGCTCCATCGACCAGAAAACACCACACGATGAGATGGCGTCGACGTTTGGCATGTGCGTGGGGGCGCACGTCAAGGTACGAACGCCGTGCCTTCAGCCCGCGCTTTATCGTATCTGACAGGTACCATACGCACAGATTGGGAATGCCGGTGTCGTGTCCGGCCGTAGCAAGCTGATCGCCGTGACACCGAAACGCTTAAAGGAACTAGAGGAGGAAAAGGCAAAGAAAGCAAAGGCGGAGGCGAAGGCCAAAGTGAAAGCGGAGAAGGAGGCGAAAGCGGAGAATGAGGCACAAACGAAGTTGAAGGAGGAGGTGCAAGCGAAGGCTGGCCCATCGAAGACGAGCGCTGACGGCAAGGATGAAAGCAAGACGGAGCCCGTCGTAGCAAAAGCCAAGGATGACGCAAAGGCAAAGGTGAAGGCAAAGGAGCTGGTCAAGGAAGAGGTCAAGGAGAAGAAAGAGAAAGAGAAGCCCAAGACGCTTGGCAAGCTCGATTGGAGCAAGGCGAAGGAGAAGACGACGAAATCGACGGCGGATTTGTCCGCAAAGGACAAGGCGACGGAGGAGAAGGATAAGGGCAAGACGGAGAAAGTGAAGGAGAAGGAGAAGGAGAAAGTGGTCAAGAGCACAACGGTGCGTTCATTTGTTATTGGCAGCGATAGTGACACTGACATAGGGAAACCAGGCCCTCAAACGCAAGCTCGCAACCGTTGTCTTGTCCGACTCAGAAGGGGAAGAGCCGGAGAGACCCAAGGCGACATCATCGAAACCAGCAGCCAAACGCAACGCGATCATTTCGTCCGACGATGACGAGGAATCAGACGCCCCACGGAGGCTCACGAAAGGCAAAGGCGGACAATCGCTCAAATCCAAAGCCTCTGAACGCAGTCTACGCTCAATGATGGACATCGACGACGGTACGTCCCCTCTCCCTTGCTCTCCCGACCAATTCTTTCACTTACGACGATTGTCTCTCTATTAGACGAAGTAACGAGAGTCACCCATACGGACAATGACATGGACCTAGACGACGATAACGACGACGACGCTAGCGAAGCCCAGTCCACGCATGACATGGACGTCGAAGGCGATGCTGCTGCGGACGACATCGACAGCGACGACGACGCGCCCAAGCGGCCGAAGACGAGGAAACCGAAGAATGTCGTACCTGTCGGCAAGAACGGGCTCAAGAAGCGGCGTGTGGTCAAGAGTCGGATGACGGAGGACGCAAAAGGATATATGCGTATGCCCTCTTCCTTTCTCGCCCTCGCGACGCGCTGCTGATGGCCGCCAATGATGCAGAGACGGAAGACTATTCGTCCTATGAATCCGTCGACGAGGGAGAGGCGCCCGAACCCGAAAAACCAAAGCCAAAGAAGAAGGCTGCTGCAGCCCCAGCCGCTGCTGTGCCGGAAGAGAAGGTAAAGGAGAAAGAGAAAGAGAAACCTAAAGAGAAGGGGAAGGATAAGAAAGTCGACACCGACTCAGCAGCTACTGGGTCGAGAGCAGCAACGAAGAGCAAACCTGCCGCTGGAGGTACCTCGAAGGCTACTGCTAAGGGTAAAGCAGCTGCGTCAGCGAAGAAGGGGAGTCTGCTGAACTTCTTTGGGCCTGATACCAAGGCCAAGAAGTGATCGAGCGGTTTTTTTTTTGCATCTGGTGGTCTGACTTGGCCTATTTGCATAAATTTGGCCTCATATACCGCATGTACATTCACATCATGGGCGAATACATTGATAGTCCGGTATTGGCATAACATTCCTTCACTCCGAGACACTACGTCCACTACGGTTAGCTATACCATCTATCCTTGCTGTCTCGGTATACATCAGTCGTTTCAAAAGGTCCTCGATGGAATACAACGTGTGGGATCGACCAACGTGTGCCAATGCGATTGGCGGACTCCGTCTGGATTGGAGATACGTTGGTAGCGGAGAGCAATGTGAGGCTTGAGATTTTGCACTGAGACCGGCTTATGAACGGATCGAGAAAGTCGACGTCGGTCTTGGTCTTGACAGACCACTCGACGTTGAACGCGAGGGTGGAAAGGGAGGAAACGGTAGTCTTGTCAAAGAAATCCTTGATCGTTGCGGTTTCGTCGACCAAGATACTGAGCGACCGAAGCTTGGTGTTTGTTAGCCTCAATTCCGACTCGCCCTGGACCCTCTTTATATGTGTAAATGATAAGAGAGAGCATTCAACAAGATTCGGGAAGTTGACAAAGAGCTGTAGAGGATCGATTTCTTTACCGCGCTCGAGGGTGAGGACGGCAAGATCAGCCCATACCCGAAGCTGGAGAAGTCCTGTAGTCCCATTCCAGCCTGTGCATATAATGTGTAAATGTGATAGTTGCTGTAGGTTGGTTTCAATGTAGGTCATGAGGGTCATGAAAGCGTAAGTGACTTGTACTCCCATCAGACTGAGTCGCCGAAGGTTGGGGAAGTGCGATAACCAGGAGGTGATCCACCCAAGATTGAGCGAGCCGTGGATGTCGACTCCCTTCACTTTGTGTAGAGAGGAGTGATCGAGGTCATGAGTGGAAGGGACATGGGGGAATGTGAATGTGAGATTAAAGTTCATGGAGATGTAAACAGGGAAGTTCCCCGAGCGTCCGAACAGCTTCCACGGTATACGGTTCTTTGAGAGCACGCCGTTATACATAGTCCAGAGACGTGGTGTCCTCAAAGCAACCCTTCTCCAAGCCTTGCATACTTGAGAGATGCTGATACAGGGGTGAGAGGAGGGTAACTGTGGAAGACAGTGTTCAAAGATCTCGGAAAGAACGTCGTCTGGAAGCGTCGCGGCCGTGGACAGGAATCGTGCATGATCCATGATAGATGTTGATAACATATTGATAGCGCGAGTGAAAGTGTCACAAATGCTCTTCAACTCCTCTTTCATCAATGTTGCTCTGGATAAAATAGCGCGAATATTGTCTGACTCGGGGGTCGACCGCGCAGTGTAGTTCGTCTTCGCATGAAGCGCATACGGAGATCCTGCGCTCAACCGCTGACATTTGGATGTTATTAAGAGTATGGAGAGAATGCATTGCGCTTACGACAGCATCTTCAAGGACCATTGGGGCCTGCGCATGCACTAGTCATGACAGCTGATTAGATTATGGTACAGTGCGTGCAACGTACAAGTTTCGCGATATCTCCGAGAGAGATAGATTGGACCATTGCCATACTTATGAGTCTCTCGGCTATATGCTGTTGAGAGGTTTGATGTCAAGAAGAAGATATTGCACTATAGGGTTACTAATGTCGTGCGCTGGTCGGTGTAGGAGGGTAAGCAATGCGATGTGGGAAACAAGGCAGCCGCGCTCCGCTGCGGCACTTAGGGCTCTCGTCCTACCATTTTGCTCAGTGAGAATCGCAATTCCATTGTACTGGAAAGGAAAACTCGAACACGAGTGGACCCACTGCCTGTCAATATCTGCCGTGCAATCTGGAGCCCTACATCGTATATAAATATTTAAATACCGAGCACAAACGTCAAAGCGAGAGATATGCCACAGCCACAAAGCCAAACATGTACAATGCCAAGCCGGGCATAATTTTGAATATACGAGTAAATATACGAGTAATCTCGGGGTCGCGTTCCCAGCCACGTCCGTTTGTGTCGCCACTGCCCCTATTCTTGCTCCCTCACCCTCGAACGCCCAGTGCATTGCAGAGTAATAGACCAAAAATAGCTGATAAATCCTGATTTATATGGCTTGCCTTTTTTCAAGGACGCGAAAAACCCTAAAGGTGCTGTATATATCGATTCGTAGTCTGCTCGGTATTATCTGAGTGTTGTCAGGTACTGTACATAGCCAGGTATGTTTATCTTGATCCCGTCGATACATGTTATACCAGAAGGAAGACTCGGGGATATTGCGAGACACGGGTTATTCTGCCCTTCCATCGTCATATTGTCTAGGGACAAAGTTACACGGGAAGGGTTTAGGATGCCTACCACGAGACCCGGGCGTCAACTCGGATTCTAGGATTAATTCCTGACCTTCTGACTCACCATGTCACCCCTTCTGCCCAATCTGGAGCTGGCTCAATTGGCTCTCCTGAGGCATCATTATCTCGTAGAATACTAAAAGTTGCGAGAATGTGCGCCATTGCTGTCCAAACTGATGCTTGCGCAAAGTGCCTTCCTGGGCAAACGCGGCGTCCGAAGCCGAACACAAACTCGCACGTATCGTTCGTAAGCTGCCCATCGGAGTCAAAGAATCGGCTAGGATCAAAGGTATCCGGGGAGGGGTATTTATTCTTGTCTTGAGCCATGGCCCTAATCTTTCGTTGGCATGGTTTAATGCGTGATCCCTGATATTGGCACGCACCAAATATTGGGTATGATGACAGTGCCTGAACGTCGTTGATAACAGGTCATTGTACGAAATTAATAAAGCGGTTACCTTTAGGGATGTAATAACCTTCATACACGTCTTCGTTCGTTGCAGCATGCGGTATCCCTACAAAATCAGTCGGTCTATCATCAGTAGCATCGGGAGCATTTTGGGCGCTGGGCATACCGAGGGGAGCAACAGGCCTCCATCTCAACGTCTCGCGAAACACGGCTTCGAGATAAGGCAAATCCGGCTTATCGTTGAAATATGGAAGACGGTCCACTCCTATCACTTTGTCTATCTCATCTTGTGCGAGTTTTTGAACATGCGGGTGAAGGACCATGGCAAGGGTAAATGTAAGCAAAGTTGACCCCGTCTTACACGCCAAACTAGTCGGTGAGTATTGATAGAGAAGAAGTTTGTTTGAACCTACCGTCTCCTCTCCAGCTATAAAGTTAACGGGAAAATCTCAGCTCTGACCATTTGCATCAACCGTGAACGCACTTGCCGACGTACGCCGTACCACAAGAGCCTTTGATAACCTGCTCAGCATCTTCCAATTTGGTATTGTCCTGGAATTTGTCAAGGGCATAAGATACAATACAAGGTCCTGCTTCACCAGCAGCCTGAAGTGGAAACCAGAAGTCGGTTTAGCCTCCGAGTCTACACTACCTGCAATACCATGGCACGCACAATCCTGGCTTGTAGAAGTTCGTAGGGTGTGTCGATCATCTTGTGTGTACAACAAACGTAGTTGGCAGCGTTGACATAGCGCCCGCCTGGAAACCATGTGGGTACGTATCTCACTGAGTCCGGAAATGTCATTGATATGTCATTGAGCGTCTTATGTAACTGCAAGAGACTGCTCACATATAGGAAATGTGGTAAGCAGGGCGATCATCGCTGGGGAGCCAACGAAGAAGATTAGCTCATTTGCCTTAACCACATCGAAAAACGCTTTGTCATCTGTCGGCTCTGCCGGCAGCTTGTGGTCATAGATGGCTCCCATGATGACGGCAGCTGAGAACCTGAATATGGTTTACATCAGGCAAGGCCACAGTAAATCTACATAACCGTGATTGAACGAACGTCCGAATGTGCTTCCACCACAATTCCGGGCCATCGTTTAGGTTTTGTAGCAGAGCGGCTACGCAGCGTAGCTGCGTTGTCCGGTAAGCGGTAACCGTCTCTGGACGTAACGTTTGCTGGAGAACACGTCGATGGTTTCTCCATAAACTATTATGGTTGAGGAGAACGGTGTCCCATGCTTGCTCATACCTACGGTACAAGTGCTGAGAAATACACGTTTCGTAAATAAAAAGTTCGAGGTGCATACGATTCCAGAAAAAGTGGCATGCTCATCCTGTCCGAGTAGTTGTGCGAGCGCTTTTCCAACAGATCTTGCGCTACTTTCTCTGAGTTGACGACCACGATGTCTCTGCCGAGGATTCTGCAGTAAACAATATCCCCTTGTGGAATGATAAGTTGCGCTGACTCCCGAGCCTGTGCTAAGGGACGATACCATATGTTGACTTCCACTCCGTGAACGTGAGCCGTGGATGACTTGATTTAACTTGGTGGATATTGCCAAGAAATGGGAGCCGGTCAGGTCCTGGCGGGAGGCCCTTGCCTCGCTGCTTTCGATGAGGGAGGAGGGCGATGACTGTCACCACTGCTAGAGCCGTAGCTGAGGCGGCGACTGCAAAGTACATGGCGGGGCTGACAGAGTTGAACGGGACTGGACGTGATCAGAGGGCTCGTATATAGAAGGATTTTAAACCCTCAATGCATATCGCTTGTTCGCCCAAACAGGATGCCGGCGTCCTTTTAATTGTGCGTTGATGAGTCCTGTGGAACAACGGGCAAGCAAAAAGAGTAGCAACGTCGACCAGAGTTGGCTAGACTGAGATGCGCTGAATGGCGACAACGCGGGCACATGAGCGCAGGCAATGGCATAACCAAATTAACATTTTGTGAGAGGAAGATGACGCACTATATCACGCAGCGTGACCATAAGTGCATACAAGGTTGGTGAGAGAGTTACATGATCTCGTTTCAAATCGCGAGCTGGTGTTAGAGCCGGCTAGTTCGGAATGGACATTAATGTTCTAAGGTTTGATAGGGCATTAGTGCTGCTGGCACAGGGTGCATTTTAGGGTAACTAGTGACAAGTTATGTAAAACTTATCTTTAGATTAGTCCGAACATGTTGACCAAAAATGGTCTAAGTCATTCGACAGATATTGTAAACCTATCGAATTAGTGTCTACAAAACATCGGTCCCACTTACGGTGAATTTATTCTAAAAGAATTGTTAAAGTGGTTTATGCTAAATTCTGGATGAATCAAAGCAGTTATGTAAATGTTATTCAAGACTTTTTGTGCACATATGATGAGTGGTAGTTTAATTAGATGATTGATACCTTTAGCATATGTTTTAGCAAAATCTAACATATCTGCTAATATGTAATCTTAAAATAACATTACAGTATCTGCTGAATCTAAAACTAATCCGAAAATCTTATTTGAAACACATTGGGAAAATATTAATTACTTGAAGACTTCAGTATTCTCCCGAGATGATCTACTGCCTTCTCGTCCTAAAACTCCTCCCTCGTATGTTGTGTTAATGACGCCTGAGCCCTCACTTCCACT